TTTTTTTTTCTAATTTCTTTTTACCTATTAAAGTAACTAAACTTTTGTTATTGTTTCAGAAAGAACATGCTTATAGATGCTACATGGCAGCATCCCTCGTTTATGAGGGCAAAGGATGGGCATTAGCAGATGATCATATCAGTTGTGCACTCGGAAGGCAATCATTTCAGTTGGGCAAGTCAGAAGAAGTGCTTGAGCATTACAAGAAGCTTTTACGCGAAAGCAGGCAAACACCGCAGCAGCAGGCTGTTTACATGAAGGAATTCTTAAGCGTTTACAGGGTAAATTCACAAGCAAAAAAAGCAGGAACAAACAAAAAAACATACTGTTTGTTCACTTCTCATATAATTATATATATTTTTTTTTTTTTTTTTTTTTTTTTTTTTTTATTTGTGAATGCAGGATTATACCAATAAGACCGAAGCCGATCCCTTGCGTGAAACCTTCCCAGACTTCCCGCTTCCTGTAGTGCTTGGTTCGACAGCCAGAATTCTTCTCTCAACTTCTCAATCAACAACCGAGGATAGCGAAGCATGGACAGAACTAGAGAGTGGAATACAGAGTTCGTCTAGCTCTGCTGGGGGACGTACCGTATCCACTGTCGGAGGTATGTCATATCAATTTGTTTATGATATAGAAGGCAGCTGGAAATGATAGACAAGTCCAGCAAGAAATAATTCAATGATGTTAATTTATAAAAACATCACTTCCTTGCTATGCATTAGAATATATACTTGCAACTATCAATGTAAAGAATCCTTTGCAGATCCCACTTATCTTGACAGACGTTATCCTTGGATGTGAACATAGCACTTCAACCACCACATTCACGGTCCCTGTGGATGCAGCCGAGGAGGCTCATCTAGCACTGTATGATCAACAGAGTCCGAGCTTTGAAGGAAAAGTCTCGTTCAATGCCTTTGATTGTGATCGGATCGATCGTGTAATCCTCGAACCGGGCCAAACCAGGACGTTGACGTTTGAGATCCTACCTAAAAAAGAGGGTCAAATCCGAGTTATGGGTCTTCATTGCAATGTGGAAGGTCAGGTTCATGCTTACAAAGATATTGTCAAGCGAGGCAAACGATTGAATAAGACCAAGGAGCAAATGATGTCCATGGTATATGAAGAGGATAAGAGCCTGGTGATTCTAGTGGCGCCAGAGATGCCCTTATTAGATGTCCAATTCCATTCGTCTCCAGAAATGTTGTTATCGGGTGAAGTGTGTGAAATTTCACTAGAGATCAAGAATCGAGGCAAGAAGGGACTCAAGAATCTAACTGTACGGATGAGTCATCCTACATTTTTTTGTATTGGTGAACAGAGAGATACGGGCGACTTGGGACTCTACAGTAAGTTACCTTAAGCACAATATATAGCAATCAATGAGTCTCTCACGAGATACCTGTACTAACGCCCATATTTCACCATTTGTTGTTCAGATAAAGGTGATGGTAACAGAGCAGTTGAGATAGTTCAGGTTGACAACTCATTGCAGCATAGTACAGCACACAGAATCTTGGGTACAGTGCTGGCGCCTGGAGAAAGCATTAAAATCCCTAGTTGGCTACGTGGGGAGAAAATTGGCAAACATAATTTCTTATTTTTGTTCTCGTATGAATCAGAACAAGAAGGGACAGCCATGGGGACCAGGACTTTGCGGCATGCTGTTGCTGCGCAAGTCTTACCTTCCCTCAAGATTAATGCATTCACTAGACCGAGTACCAAGGGACTGAACGAGTTTATTCTTGGTATCGAGGTACTGTATTTTTTTTTTTTTTTTTTTTTTTTTTTTTTTTTTTTAAAAAAATCCTCTTTAGCAAAAAAGTAATAACAAAGTGTTCTTACTATTTCTTATATTGTAGACTGAAAACCTGCAGACGGTCCCCGTTTTTGAATTCCTTCAGATTTCATCCATGAGTGCTTCCTGGGTCATCGAAGCTGTTGGCAAATCTGAGTATGTTACGCTCTAGTATTTCTTTTTCAATTTGATAAAATGTTTACTACACATTTTAGCTCTATCTCCTCGCTGAAGCTTTTGACTAAAATACGTTTAATTAATAGTGAATCCGAGGAACATCGATCCATAGCGCCTCGTCAAACAGTATTCACGTATTATAGGGTCCGTAAGAATGATCAAGCCTCTGCCTCCACATCAAGAATTACACCAGAACGATTCATGGCTAAAGCCCTTGAGAAGCTTGTCATTGGTCAAGAACGGCTTAAGGATGTTCCACCTCCTTTGGATCTGCAACACTGTCATCTCTCCACTGTACGTGTTTGTTTGTTTGTTTTTTTTTTGGCCCTTACCTTATATCTTGTCTACTATATCTTTTTTATTCTTATTCTTAGACGAATTCACATATCAACTCAACTTCTCAAGCCCTCCAATACTTCTCTCGAGCTTCACGACTTAGCTGGCGTCAGAGCTCACTTGCTACTCAGTTCTCATCTATCCCTGTGGCTGTGGACAGACGTCACTTGTTTACTGTTTATGGAAGCAATGATATCGACTTGGCTTTATTCTGGAACATCCCCAAAATGAACCGTCGAGGGCACCACTTCATCATAGGCATCAACTTGGCTGTCCAGCAGAATCCATTCCAGCCTATTGATCCGGTGGATGATCTCACATTTGATGCGGATGGAAATATTGTCGAAGGGGCCGAAGCTGAAGCAACTGAGACTGCACGGAGAGCACTGTATGAACAAACCATGAGAGATCAGGCGGCCCTTGTCCAAGCACTCACCATGAACCCACATTTCAAGGACGACAGTCCTGTCAAGATCTTAATGAAGAGTGAAGACACTATAAAGCATGACTTTGGGCAAACAAGGTAAAATGCGATAGTAATATTAGGACATACATATTCATGATTATCGGTCTAATTTTTTTTTTTTTTTTTTTTTTTTGGCTTTACCATTACTAGACTATGCAGTACACCTGTCAGAGTAGTAATCAAGAACTGTTCCTGGAATAGACATATTGCCTATACACTGGAGATGCTCTCTAGTAAAGACCCTATGGTCCCTCAAACTCAACAAAAGTCAACAGCAGCAGCAGCAACGATAGGTGGTAGTGGAGCCATTGAAGGTAGCGGGGTTGCAGCCGGAACTGGAACTGGAGCTGCGGCCGCTGTTCAGGATACAACCAATCCTCATGTCAATGCACATCCATTCTTTTGGTCAGGACCAACATTTAGTACAGGGTATCTGGAACCTTTAGCAGAAATTGATATTGTCTTTGTCGCAAGCTTTACAAAATATGGTGTTTATGACATCAACCGTTGGCGCCTGGCTGTGCAGGTTGTCAAGGCACAAAGAAAGATAAAAAGAAAGAATGGCTTCAAATCCAGTAACAATAACAAAAAGCAAGTGGCTCTCAAATCAGTTGAAGAAGAGCAAGACGAAGAGGAGAGACAGGCCATGCTTCCCCCGGAGACTCCGCAAAGCGTGGGCAAGGGGTTTATGCAAATGCCAAATCTAGCTCATTACATCCAAATTTCTTGAAAATAAATACGTTTCTGTCAATGAAATTGACAACAATAATCCAACCAGAAATGATAACATGCATTTATCACCAATAATAATAATAATAAAAACATCTGTAAAAAGTAAACGGAGGTATGTCCAGCATCTTTTAATTATCAGCATCTTTATAATGGTAGATTGAACATGATTATCGTTTCTTCTTTGATAAAATACTCATCTCTCGGATAACAGGTACATTACTTCGCATGCCTTTGAACTTGCACTCCACCATTTCAACTTCGGATAAGTTTGCACGCAACCTAAAAACAGCCTATAAAATTTAAGTATATTAGACTTCTGTTGAAACAACAGTCAGACACTCACAAGGAATAATGACCTTACTCTTTTGGCCTCGGGCTCATTGGTGCGCACAAGATCCCTGAACTCGGCAATGGAGTACTCAAGGAGTGATTCCACCACATGCTGATCTAAAACGGCTTCTAATTTCATATCTGTTTCTGCTAAAGCAGTAACATTGTCTGCGGCAGTCATTGTTCCCGGAAGGAGGAAGATCGGGATGGAGACGGCCAATGTAGTCAATGAGAATTTTCCTAGCTTATGGACACGGGACTGCCAAACGAAGGAAAAAAAACAAGTTAGCACGCTTTATATAAACTGTTCTCTGTTCCAACCAAAAGATTATTCTTTGGAACTAACCTTGGCTTTCACTTCACGACCTTCCTGTACCTCTCTCTTGACTTGGTCCAATTCGACCTCCGGAATTATAGACATTGCCAAGGCTAAACTTCCATAATCCTCGTCATCATTCATATCGAACTCAAGTAAGGTTTCCTCTTTCTTTATTTCTACCATTGTTTCCTCGTGTCCTGGCTCTTTCATCCACGTGGCATTTGAGGTAGTCGTGCGATCAAGGGGCTCAACTTTGATCTTTTTTTGCAAGTCTGTGCTCAACATATCATAGTTTAGAAAGCCGCTGAGATGTGTATGGCTGGCATGGCTGATAGTTTCGGCTTCGTCACCAGATGAAAGATCAATTGCTGCATGATAGCTCTCCCCATTACTCGCAAGGGTTTTCTCAACTTTTACTTTTATCAGGGTAGTCTCCTCTGCAATACTATCCTCTTGCTTTAGCCCATGCAAGACGTTTTCATCTCTCTCCACTTTGATTTTGATTGGCGTGTCTTCTTCCATCCCTGGTGATGGCAAGAATGAATGAGATCGCTTCCTGTTAATAATATTGTCTTGACTTAAGCCATCATGCTCTACTGCTGGTAGCTTTTGTTTGTCATCCTCTATCCTATCCTTGTTTTGCTGTGATCCATGATCTGTAGAGTGCTTGATGCCATTGACAAGTCCAATATCTCGTGGCTCTAAAATTGGTAGCTTTATCTCCCTGAACTCGTCATTTTTCACATCGGAATTAAAACCAGTTCCTTCAGCTAAATCAAACGCAGCATTTAGATGTGGACTATCTTGCCATTTCCTCTTCTTGTCTATGTGGCCATTGGTGTCACTGTCATTGCCACTTGAAGGCGTAAATTTCTTTGAAAAGTCAGATGACTCTTGAAGAATGTTCATATCAACTACTGCTTTGTCTCTCGCATGCTTAGCTCTTTGGTGTTCACCGAAAGAATTTGAGTCCTTGCCTCGAGTGATTTTTTCTTTTTGGTCCTCCTGCTGCTGATGAAGAGAACGGGGTGACTTGAGACTGAGAGAACGACGACTAGTGAGTCCCTTTCTAGGTGGAGAGTTACTGGCAATGGGTGGCGGGTATATATCATTGTTACTCTCGGATTCTCCTGGCTCTGAAACATTTTCCTCAAGGGATATATGGGACATGGCTTCCCAACCGAATGCATCATCATCTAACAGCCTGATCTCATCTAGCTCCATGTCCTGATTAAGATCCCAATCTGGCTCCTGGTCCTTTAGTATGCACTGATACTGGTTTTCTTCATCTCGCGTATCCAGTGCTGATGGTAATGGCTGTAATGGTGATGCAGAATCGCCCGCCGGCCTGAAAGTCTTCCACGAGTTTGGTATGTTTTTTGGTGTAACTAGGGGTTGCACTGGATTTCCAGCAGGAATGGTATCTTGAGTAGTTACTAATGGCTGAGGACTCCTCCAGATGTTGGGTGTGGTGTTTGTGTTAACCCTGTTAACAGATGTCGGTGTCTCTGCTAGATGGCTAATCCTTTGATCTTCCTGCTGTGTGGTTGATGCGTCATCGCTCGGTGTAGGCAAAGGATCCAATGGTAAGCTATGGAGGTATGGGAAGTGGAAATGAAGGGGCTCTCAGTTAAACTTTTAAAATGCTAGACTTTCGGTTTTTTTTTTTTTTGTATTTATTTTTATATTACTTACCCCAAGCGCTTCTTCATCTGGTTCATAATAACGAGCCTCCTTGGATACCGATTCATACTCGCAACTTCGCCACCCAGCAGTAGAGTATTGCTCCGATTTAATTGGAGCACTCCATGCCTGACTTCCACATCACTAATTCTAATCTGTGTGATTTGTTAAAATAAAAAACATAAAAATAAAAAAGTTAGTGTCATGGAGTTTTGTAATGCTGGTCATTGCTGCTTTACCATTTTTCGGTTAATCCATGTCATGTAGATAAAAGGCTTTGCTTACTTTGGCCCCAAGTTTCATCTCCATTGCAATCCCTGGGATTGGTTCTATTAGAATGGCTTTCATCTTCCGAACACCATCCGTGACACTCAACAAGATCATGCCCCGAGGCAAAGCTTTCTCGATCAAAAACCCTCCTGGCTGATCGCCTGCAGTACCCAAAGCTTCGCACGCCTCCAACATCTTTAATGAACTGATACCGATATCTTGAATCTCAAGGATCTGAAGAATGACGCCACCACTGGTCTGGTGTAAGCGCTCCCTTGTTGAGCCATTTGATAAAGAAGGAGGATTGCTGTTATCATCGCTTTTGAAAAGCCATTGCTTATGAGGGGTAGCAACAGAGCTTGGAAAAATAGGTTTAGGCTCAAGAGTGCGAAAATCTGCAAGGAGATACATCTCAAAGATGAATTGAGCAGGGTCCTGGTTGGCAGTGGTGGATCGAGGCATGGCATCTTGTTTGTGTTTGTAGGCGATGCATTGTCTTATCCATTCGATTGAGGCATTTACAGCCATGCGCTGAATGGCGTTGCGGATAAGGAGGTCATCGTAGACCATGCCAGGAATAAAGAAAGGTGTGAAATGGTTTTAGAGTGAAGGATGTGTGGAGACTTCTCCAAAACAATGACAGGAACAAAAAAAACACCAGTCAAACATTAAAGCGTTGACATCTGGCAATGTCCATTTTTAGGAATTTTTTGAGGGGAAGCTCAATTGACAGATCAGTCACAATTTTGGTGGCAAAAACGGCAATCTGCATTATTACCTTCTCCAAGCAATACTTCTCAAACCACTCCGGAAAAGGGGCATAACATATTCATATCACCGCCCTGTCACTGTAAGTTGTATTGTTCACATCAACTTAGTAAATACCTCAAATAAGAAACCACATTGAAATGGCTAACAGGAAAGCTTGCGCGACGCTAGATAGACGCTCTAGATCATTGGTGGATCAGTGAGCGGGTTATGCTGAATAAAACATTTGCCATGGAATGACCTCATAAAGGATCTTCACTTTCCTATTCAGTTCCCCCTGGTCTTGGCTTGTGCCTGGGTTTCAGGTAAAGCCGCCTGATCAGATAATTTCTTCGGTGCTCTCTGTTCTTTAGTGGCAGTTTCCCGAGGATTTTCTTATTCATAAACAATTGAAGGGGAATGGATAAGTCAGGAGTACATGTTGGCTGCGCCATTGCGCCAATCCCGGTGGCTTTTAACCACTTTCCTGTCGAGAGACCTATCATCATAATGTTTTTCAGGACTCACATAACATCAGGAAAGATATGATGCTCTTGATTCATATCTGGTATTAGTTCAGTAAGCGCCTTATCAACTCTTGATGACGAGATAGGACTTTTGTCGCACTTGAGAAATGAGGGGCCATAAGAACTAAATCGGCGCTTTTGAGATCAGACTTCAAAGAAACTTTGGTTATCTACTGCTTATCATATGGACGCGATACTGGGTTGATAGGGAAAGAAGGAATAGAAAAGATGCTCTACGCCCACACGCGATTTTTCGATACTTGGGTAAAACAGTAGAAGATAGCAAGGCAAATGTGCGGCAATGTCATGCATAAGGCTCTGCATGCGCCATATCACACAGTTGCATGGGCCATAAACTTAATTCGTTCTGCTCAAACAAAACGCGACGCGTTGCACTAGAACTTTAAATCACAATAGGTATGTCTCGTGCATCATATTTTGTATCTCATCCTCCTTCCTATGTATCATTCTTATCAAAGTCATTTGGTAGATCCTTCAAATTCAATCAATATATGAGAGCCGTCTACGGGTTCCATGCCTTGATCATAGTATAGAATAGATATCAGTTTTCAACAGTAAATTGACTAGAAGTGAAGACCATAGAACATTATTGTATTTGCTTCATTTCTCGCTGTTAGTGGCTAGTGTCGTAGAATTCGGAAGCTCTGCCTTTGTACTATTTTCCCGGGGTAAGGCGTACGCGAAGAATAAATATAAAAGTAATAGTTGCCCATAAGGATCTTAGCGACTCTTAACATGGCTGTTTCAAGAATAGAGTTATTTCTATAAAGCCGCAATCGTAGTATCCTAGAGGCATGCGCTTCGTAACAACTGGGCCAGATCTAAGACAAAGCGAAGGATTGGTTTTTCTGAAATGCGCGCTCCAATGAGTTGTTTGAAAAAAAGAAACGTTTTATTTCTCATGAGGCAAGCTGAAGATACCGTACTCAATAACGACGTAAATGAAGTTTGGTCTTTATTTGTGCCAAGTATGGCCCACGCCTACATATATGGTCCCTAAGAAATTAAAAAAGAAGGGTTGCTGGTAGAAAACGTTGGGACATTATTACCTAGTAGTATATATCACTCCAGACTGAAAAGACAGTGTAAAAGGAAAATACTCAGTAACTACATTTATAGGCAAAAGGAGACCGGTTGGTGGTATAGCCTTATGGGTGACTATAGAAACCAACAGCACTAAAGTCTCCATGATATCGATTGGGCTGCTCTTCAAGGCCAAGGCCATGAATGAATGCATGCAGCTGTTTTGATTAGTAATGATCGTTATCACTAAATTTCATCTCAGCCTGGGGTCTGCATTCAGAACGATCACGAATACACATCTATCAAGATGCCAGACATAGAGAATATAGTTATCACATTTGGATCTATTTTGGGTGTTTGCTACGCTACTGTTTCCGAGCTACGTATATCCTGGTCTTGGTACGTGTAAATGGCTTGGTCGCTTTTGAGGGGGGGTTTTTTTAAGAGCCTTGGTAGTTTTCGGTTTGCTGGACTCTTTGATTGGCTTTGGCTTTGGCTTCGTAAGACTTTGGTTGGGGCAGCCGCTGTTGGTTTAGTTTGGTTGCAGCTGCTGTCGTTTATTTTGAATGTGTTTTTTTGGATGTGTTCATCGGACGCTTTTGAATGTGTTCTTTGAATGTTTTTGGATATGTTCTTTGGATGTTTTTTTTTTTTTTTTTTTTTTTTTTTTAATTTGCTTTTCTTCCTTTCTTTTATTTTACTTCGTTCTACCTTTTTTTTACTCTTTTTTAAAATTGTTTTTCTTATTTTTTTTTGTTTTATTGCGGGGTTGAGGATACTAGATAAAGTTTTTTTTCGTTCTTTTTCTTCTTGTTGGTTCTTTGTGATGAGTTTTTTTTTTATCTTTATGGCTTTGTTTTGTTTTTTCTGGTTTTTGATGTTTCTGCTTGTTATTCTGGCGTCCTCTGGTATGCTCGTAATTGATTGTTGCTGGAGCCTACTATGGTTATTAAAAAAGAAAAAAAAAGATCACAACTGTGGGTTAGCAATATTGTTTCTTCAAAAAGTGGGCCCCTTTTTTTCCATTGGCTCTAACAAAACGGCTGCCGCGCCACACTAAAGCCACTTATAGTCTTACCATTTCCAGGCAGCCGGGACTCACAGTGGACTGTTGATACCTTAAGCTGCCTGTGCTCCCGATGGGGTGTCTGTTCCGGAGCTATTTCAGACATGGCCCCACGTGGGAACATCCAGACTGCGGCCCTCCACTGTCAGATCTGTTCCCTTTGCAAGCCACTCTCGAGGATCGGTCTCGGCCCAATGGTTCTCTCTCTCCTGGGGCTAGGATCTGTGCTGGTTCTCATCAGATTATTCTAGGGACCTCCATTAAGCGAGACTCCTTGTTGGCCACCGTTGGGGGCCCTCAATTGGACGAGACCCACTGTTGGGCCGGGCCCTCCCACTGGAGTGGATAGACCTCTAAAAAAAAGAAGGATAAAGTGAAAAGAAACAAAGGAGAATATATACATATTTAAAAAAGCGTACAGCTATAATATTTGTTAAGCACTAAGTACAGCACAACAGGGCGCAACTTGGAATATATAAACAACTCCGCGCTTCTCATTACATATACGGCAGAGCACATCTCGATATATACGCAACTGAACACACCCTAGTATATACACAACTATACACTATTTGCTATGTTGCGTGATGCCGAGTTGCGTATATACCGAGAAATAGCAAGTTGTGTGTATAGGCAACAAAGGAAAAAAAAGAAAAGCGTAAAGGAAACGACAGAGAGCACTTACAATCCGCTTCTCATCCCACTACTGGAAGCACTGTCCATGGCTGTGGCAGTCTTCGGGATAAGCGGTGTCGAGCATTTTTGTTCTTTATCATAGTTAGCGGGAGAAGGGAAAGTTTGAAGAAAGAACAAGGCGGGTGAATAGGTCTGGATGAAAAAAAAAAGCTGTAGAAACGCCAAGACGAGTAAACAAGTTGATGAGCGTGGTGGATTAACTAAGCGTATAGGGGATTTTGGATAACAGGATAGAAAGCAGCAAATAATAATACATTGTATACTTGCTTGACGGTGTCGATGGGGATCGCTCCTGTGTCGTGTCTGGGCTGACCTGCCAAGGGAGGTATTGCAAGAGAAGGCAGTGGAGGGCAGTGCAGGGTGGCGAAGGCCAGTGGGGGTGAGGAGAAAAAGAAAAGGAAAGAAAAGAAGAGAAAGGAAAAAAAGTCTTTTATTCAGCGAGTCTCTATTCAGTTTCATATCTTATATTTTCATATGTTCACATATTCCTCACTCTCTATTTTGCTATTTCTCTATCTCATTTCGCTTGTCTTTTAAAGTCGCGTGAATTCCAAAAGGTCAATGAAATGTCTGCATCCCATTGACCAGTTTTTCTATTGCCCTGGACAATAGGAATAAACTATATCCAACTTTGCTTTACTCGTCTAATGAGTCTCGATAATATAATGAACATCTAGTTATCAGTATACGACTTGAATGAAGTTCAATTTACATCTTGGCTTTTAGTCAACGATTTTGAGGTGTGGTATGTAACTATTAAAAAAGTAAAGCTTTTTCTCTTTCTGTTGGCAAACACATCTAAAACATGAAGAAAGCTTATTTCGTTCGCATAAATGCACTCATAATTCCACGTGGCGACGATAACAGTACAAAGAAGAAACAGAATACTAGAAATATATATATAATAAAGTTCACCTTACAGAACATTGAGTTTATGCAGAAAGACTATAAGAGGCAAGGAGTAGGCATAAAAGAACCAAAGATGGTTGTGTTGTACTATCCTAAGCTATTTTATAAACGGGGTATTCAAAGCACATAAATGGCAAAGATAAGAGTTCTTTTCCCGAAAGGGACAATGGTAGCAACGGCTACAGCGGCAGTAGCGATGACGTAGTCCGACATGACTTTCAACACAGTAGCAAAGAAAGATTATTAATAGGAAAGCGATAGGCAAAAAGCATGAATGCTTGTTGCTCTGTCGTGTATACATGCTCTGGAATCTGTGCAGACATGATCCTTGTACCACGGCGAATGTTTTTTTTTAAGATTCTCTACTCCATTTGACCGTAGCTGTTGTTCTGTTATCTCTCAGCTTAATCTTTTATTTTAGCAACCAGTTGGCCACATAGAAACCCAAGTTACTAACAATGCACATATCCATTCCTCTTTCATTCTTCTTTCTACCCCCTCCCATGGGTATTTGTAGTCCTTTTGTTGACACTAAAAGCATTGTTATTGGACAGACCAAAAAGGCAATGTTCATGAGTCTCTGTGTAGCGGCAATGAAAAAACTGGCCAATGGGATGCAGATATTTCATCGACCTTTTGGAATTCACGCGACTTTGACTTTTTTGAAAGGCAAGCGAGATGAGAAAGAGAGATAGCAAAATGGAGAGAGAGGAATATGAGAACAAATGAAAATATAAAGATGTGGAAATATGAACATATGAAAAACTATATAGGCCCGCTGCATAAAAAACTTTTTTTCCTCCTTCTCTTCTTTTCTTTTCTTTTCTTTTTCTCCTTACCCTCAATCGGCCTCAACTGCCCTCAACTGCCCTCAACTGCCCTCACTGCCTTCCACTGCCCCTATAAACAATGTTGCCTGGGTATCAGCTGCACACATGAACTGCACGATTAACATCCATTGAACAGATATGGGAGTAGCACGATAAGGAAAATTCGCTTTGCTTCTTCTTCCTCCCATCCACATATACACATGCACGCGCAGCTGAAGATCTATGCACGTTATGCAGCTCCATAGATAATTGACTATTTCTTCTTCTAGCCAAAGAATCCCAAGTGGAACACGTGTATCATTTAACGCTTGTTTGCAGGATCATATTGCTCTCAGCTGTGCTGTTTGTAGAAAATATTGTAATAATTTAATGGTGTAGAAGATCTTGAATTAAAAAGACATTCTATCTTTTTATTCGGATGCGACTCGTGGACCCATCCGAAGATTAAATGTTATTAGAATTGAGATTGGCAAGGGATATCTCCCAACGTGGGCCCTGAATAATCCTAGCTTTAACATGCTAAATCTACAAAATAAAAAATAAAAATATAAATGCCAGAAATATTTATTTAATTTGCTATTACAACCTCATCGCGAAGGTAAGCACACTGATGTGTTTGCTCGCAGATATAACCTTGATGAGGAGATGCACGGTATTCAATAATGTGTAAAAAAGTGCATATCAGTGTATCATCTGCTTGCTTTTTTTTTTTTTTTTTTTTTTTTGAGGGTGATCATTTACTCCGTCTCATCACCATCATCCTGGACAGATACTGCCGAGAGGTCTGTGGCCACTGATACCAAAGCAGCAGCCTCTGCCATGGCACGTTCTGTCTCTGCAGACTCCTTCCGTGCCTTGGCAAGGTCCTCCGGATTTTTATAAGTATAAACTTTTACTATCCCATCTGTGAGAAAAAAAAAAGCGCATCAGTATTCCAGGTTACTTTATAAAAGTGTTTAATAACATTGACATTAAAGAGAACTTACCGTCGCCACTTGTGAGGAGTAGTGGTCGCGTTGGATGGAAGATAATATCGCGTACTTCGACATCTAAATTAACAAGTTGTTGGTAAGAATATGTACACGGCTATTCGGATCAACAACAGGTTGAAATCATAACCGAGAATCCATTATACCATCATGGTCTTTGAGAGTTCCTGTCACTTGTCCTGTTTTCAGGTTAAAGATGAAGACCTCTCCCGTGCATGTTGGTGCCATCAAATATCTTCCATTAGACGCAATCTTGATAAGCCAGGCATTCGAAAAATACCTATGAGATCATGTGTTATTAGATTATAGGTCATGATTCTATTTGTTAGTGGAGCTGACCATTTCAGTGTCGGGCACTTACTCCTCATCTTGGTATCGTTTGACCTCAGTGAGGTACCACTTTCCACCTTTTGTATCTGGATACACAAGTTTATGCAAAGTACAAGAATTATAATCCTTGGCTTAAAAAAACAAAAACACAAACAAAAAAAAAAAAAAAAAAAAAAAGACTCGCGTTAGGCATAATTATCTTCCGACTTTTGTTTCAGGTGCAAGTGAGCACATCATTGCCATTTCAAATACAAGGCATTACCAATCATGCGTTCTTCCGAGTCAAGTAGCTCGACACCCCTTGAAATAAAGTACGCGAACTGCTGTTGTTTTGGTGCAGGCGGTGCAGGTTCTTCAGCTTTCATCTTGCCCTTCCTGGTATGAATTTCTATTGGCGCTTCCTCCTCCTTTATTACCGGAGCAGGCTCAGGGATGGGCGGAGGCATAGGGAAATCAACTGCCGTGATGAACTTTCCACAATCGCAGTATGATGAATACATATTCTCGAAGGTTTGCAGTAGCTGTTAATTTTAGAGAACACAAGGTCAATTTGATTAAACAGGATGACTTAATTCATATGACAATAGCGGCTCCAAGAGAGAAATTTCTTGAAATCCTTACAACAGCGTTCTCAAAGTCATAAAGACGAAGGTTTTCGTCTGCTGCAGCAAGAAAATATTTGTTGCCAGTGTTCGGCACAAAGGAGACAGTGAAGGCCATGCAGGTGATTCCATCTCTCATCTGCACCGATGACTGTAGTGTCCTATTCAATTTTTAGTCAAAATGTCATAGATATTTAATATTCATTGTCTGAGTTTTGAAACAGACGCCATCTGTCTGTGCTTCTCACTTACTTCCAGTCGGAGTCCATGTGCCATTTAGTAAGATATCCATCCTGACTACCACTGAGGAAGTAGTTCTCCCCCTTGAATTGGACTCTCTTCACACACAGCATCTCTTCTGTATGTCCCTCAAGTTTAGTTACAACCTCACCCGTCAAGATATCAAAAAGCTTCAGAGGACAGGGCAAGATGTTGTTATCGTCATCTGTCTCTGACCAATTATTTCGGTCTTTGCGCTTGCCACCAGCCAAGATTTTAGTCTGGTCTGGTACGAATGTTCCAACATAAAACTCATCAATATGCTCTTCCTATATGGTTGCATATGAGAGGAATGTATATATATAATAAATAAAACAAAATAAAAAATGCAAGAGCTTATTGTACATGACATCGTTACTTAGACTGCAGCTAGGCGAAAATATTAGATCACTCAATTACCTTAAAATCACGTAGAGTCTTCAAAAGCGAAAAATCCTCCAAATCCCACAGCCGAACTGACCCCAAATTACAGAACGTTGCCAACATGGTGCCGTCAGGCGAGAGCACCATACCAGTGATAGGAGCTTGGTCATGGATATTGCAGTCAACCAATTGCAGAGGATGATCCTCGTTAATCTTGTTAAGCATTCCGGACTTACTCTCAGCATGATGTTTTGCATAGTTATCAGGGTATTGACGTGCCAAGCTGTAGACGTAATCTGGATCAAAGTCATGAGGATTATCAGGCTGCAAAAAAAAAAAAAAAAAAAAAAAATTGAGATATTCTTTGTTTAGAGAACTGTTTTTGATAGATGTATATGCATGAGATCCAGATAACAAGCCTGAATATCAGACTAACCTTAACATATTGCATCTTGGATTTGGGGATGCGTTTGAACTTGGTAAAAGCGCTCTCGGTAGAAGGAGCTTCTTTTTTTTTTTTTTTTTTTTTTTTTTTTTCACAATAGAGGGTGAGTCATATATCCCTGTCGATTAAGAATCATTCATATACTATTAAACGAATATGATGGCCTTACCAGAGCTTTCATCATCGTCACTAAAAGCTGACTTTATCTTCCTGGTTGTCTTCCTTGGTGCCTTGACGGTAGAAGCCTCATCCTTGGCGGCCTTGGGTGTCCTTCCCACTTTGGCCTTGGGTGAAGGCTTTTTCTTGGTCTTGACCTCTTTTTCTAGAAGCTCATCTGTATCCATTTCTGTATCTTCATCGAAAGGCACCTTGGCTTTGCGTTTGCGAATAGGACGACCATCCTCAGTGTATTCTGTATCAGAAGGTGTAGGGCCATCGACACTCTCAATGTCAATAGTTTCTTCAACAGCTGCCGCTGCAGCAGTCGTGGTTTGAGATTTTGTTTTGATATCTCCGTTCAGGAGACTTTCATTATTCTCTTTGCCACGAGGAGGGATGCACACATGAGAGACAACGACGCGTTTTTGAGGGGATGTCACCGAGTGGGTGGTGGTGTTAGTGTCCGTAGGCGTCAGAGGTTCAGTTGCCTAGGAGAATAATCATCAAGGAAGGAAATTATAGCCCTAATAATGATTTAGTATGCTGTACTGTGAGGGAAAGACGCGTCTTTTTTTTTTACTTTTACTATAGAAGTCTAGTGCGACTATGTTTCTCCATCTCATTATCCCTCACATTCTATATTTTTTGTATGAGCAAATGGCAAGGAGGATGAAGGTCAAGACAATACAGAGATTTAACAACATAGGAGCATTGCTGGGGGTTGAGAGAGTGGATTGAGAGTATCATGGTCTTGCTCATATACATCTGGAAGCCATATGGTTTTTTTTTTTGTTTTTGGTATGAAGTTTGTCAATCAGTCATGTCGCGCTGGTGCTCGTTTCTTTTCTTTCTTTCTATGAATCCTACCGGGAGTGTCATGATGAGGGGTTCAACTGGTTTATGAGAATGCTTTAGAGCTTAGGAGTTGTTTTGTGTAGTCAGACACGTAGGATGCAAAGCCCGATGAGGATGAGGATGATCTGAATGAGCAAAATGAACTTGAACACTTTTTCTTCGAATGAGTCTCAAAGGAGTAGGAGTTTTGTTAAAAAAAAACAAACGCGTTTCTTGCAGTCGATGTGAGTACAGCACAATCTCAGCTCAATTACGTCACCGAAAGGACCAATTTTGCACACGTTGTATAAATTTTTAGTCCAACGCCTGCTGCTTTGGCCATTTGACGCTGTGTTAAGACTCGGCCCTCTGTCTGCCCCTGTACCTGTACCTGTACCTGTACCCATGCCTGCTCTTGTGCCTATGCTTATCGCTGATATTGCTCTTTGATGTATCCAAGGAGACTATTCCCTCGCTGGTGACGATGCGGTCGTCCTTGTCTCTTTAGGTGGCCATGAATAATATTGCATAAGCTATGCGCCACCATCACATTGCGATGAAAATACGTTTGGTACAATACAAGCAACTTGCTCAACAAAGTCTTGACAGGATGGATGGATATTTTTTAGGTGTATAAATCCCTTGATCACCACCCATATAACCAAATATGCACACCTACAAAGAAAGATCTAGTCAGAGAATACAATCCTACCTGTTAAAAAGAATGAGGATAGGTTAGCAAAGAACTGTGGCTACAAAAATAAAATACATAAAAAGATAAATATAATCATGAAGACTTACACAAAATCCTAGCATCTGCTTGTGTTGTTGGCTTAATACAATCATTATTATAGCCGCCACTGTAGTTGGGGCTGCAGAATAATATCGTTTGTTACGTCTGCCGCTCCTTCTTGCTGCCTTCTCATGATGTATGTAAATTGCTGCTAAAAAAAATTGTGGGTTTGTTGAGGGTATTGGGAGCCATTTCAACATATCGCACTCATGGTGACATGTTGGAGCAGGTGGTGAAAGTTTTATTCCTTTATGTGATTCGAGTGTTATGGATGTAGACGGTGAAGGAATAAGTTGAGAGGGTTTGAACGGCGATAAGAAGGTATTAGGGTGTGAAAGAAGGGTTTATATGCCATTAAGTCCTTGGCATTTCATGTCAATATACTAGTAGAGTCTATACGTCTAGAATGCACTTGTGATCACAGATAGCCCTATCTTCTATGCATCCAAGGCTATGATGCGATATATTTTATTTTCTTATTTTATTTCTTTTTTTTCTGGTATACTTCCCTTGTGTTGAATGAAAAGATGAATGTGTGTGGACTAAGCCTTCTCTTTGAAGGAACCTCAATTCCCTTTTTAGTTGCTCAAACAACTGATTGACAGGACATTAGGCTTGGTAGAACATCCATCAGAAACCACTTCAGTGAAATTAAGAGTAAAATAAAAATAAAATATCCCTCAAAAAAGAGATTTATTGGAGATTTGCTTTCAACACGAAACAAAAAATGATGCCACAAATATATACGACCCTACTGTAATATTTTATAACTAATGGATCTCAAGGAGATTAAGGTAATTTTTATTATTGTTACCAGACGAGAGGTTTTTACTAAGGTCTCACCATATAATGTCCTGACTCTATAGTAAAAATGGACCTACCCCTGAGGTGCTCTCCTAAGCTTCGGTATACACGTAGCAGCAGGACTCTGCGTGTGGTGAAAACCCTACGAAAGAGACGCCCATTTCAAATTTCACCTCCATGCTTTTTATAATACGAACGCATGTCGTCACACCATAAGCGCTAGAAACGTGAGAACCAGTAAGCCTATATTCCTTTGGTGAGAGATTACAACTACAGTCGCATACACGGCGACAACCGAGCAACCATCTTTAATATTTAGAGAGAGTGGGACCGTCCACTATAGACCGCGGGGGAAAAGCAAACATATGTATTTGAGCCAGTTTGTAGCCGCAAGGCAGCTGATGCTACATGCTGTCATCGTTGCATCGTCGTATCATCGCCATCATCCCCACCAAAGCGCGTATCGAAAAGAAAATGCGCCAACAAGAAAGTCGTCAGAGCCAAGAAGAAAGTATATACAAATAGGCCCAAGCAGAAGAAGCATCCAAGGAAGCCACGAAAGTCAATCAGCAGCTCATAGCCACACATCCTATCGAGAGAAAACACTGATAGTGCGTCTTCGTATGTCGCCTTAAATGCAACTCAATGGGCTCGAATCCATCATGGCAGCAGCGGAGTTACGAAGGGTTGCCTCAGTAGCGCCTGCAAAGCACCCGAGGCAGCAATGGTAGGAAAGGCTGACGGGCCTAGGAGAAAGAAGTCAAATCTCATGGTCAATCCACAACTGGCTGGTTTGAGGACGATAATGCATATTGTGGTCTTGTCCGCCTATGCTGAGCCATGTGGTATTGCATATTGCCTCGAAAACCTTTTTCAATTCATGCATTGTTTGGAGGTTGGATTAACAAAACTCATATAAAAATAAGTAAATATTCAACTCTGTCGAATCAGCGACCATTCTGCCTTCTTGACGCTAACTTTTTAAAAAGCCTTGGTTTTTTTATTTTTTTTATTTTTTTTTTTTTCCTTGAGACTTACCGCTCTATTTGCTAAATATACCACCTCAGTACCAATATACTTTTACCTGCTATCAAATTTTTTCTTTTGGGGATCGTAGGGCTGTCGTCACTTCTGAAGGAGAACGAATACGAGCCAGCTTCCATCGGTCGCTCCTCGTTTGCGCATACCTACCCCAAATAAGCAAAGAGTTGACACCATTCGTTTTGCCTATGCCTTCCGTCCACTCGATACGGTCCACAAGTCCCTAGAACAGAGAAACCCAGAGATCGCTTCTAAGGAAAGATCTATCCTTTACCTCGATGGAGAACCCTGCTCCGAGAAGGAGATGGCGAATGCCAAAAGACAAGTGTTGCGTCAGAATGCTTTGGCTGAAGCGACCAGGCTCTTCGGGCAGTTCGGAGAGAGAGTCAAAGGAAAGCAGGCGATCCGAAATGCTCTCTTCAAGAGCATCAATAAGGACTTATGGCAGCCTTCCATTGGGGGAAAGCTGACAAGGACACCTTTATCGCTTACATGGCCTCGGAAGGTTGGTCCGTCATCATATCTCCAGCTGAGGCGGATTTGAGGATCACAAGACTGTCAAGAAGGTGCTGTCGCTATCACAACAGGCAGCAATCTGTTTGCATACAGGAGCGCTAAAGCCATCTGGGGAATAATTTCGAGACCCAACATCCTCGAATACAAGTTGGACAACATCATTAAGCACCTCGAAGTCTCCAGAGAAGAATTTACAGCCTTGTACGCTGTGACAAAAAATAACTACCGTAATGAATCGCCATTGATATACAAGGCAAATTTAGGTATTATAAAAACACTTGACGGAAATGCCACAAGTAAGTACAATATTAACCTGTCTTAACCTGTCTATTCCCTCATTTAAAGTCATCTTCCTGTCAATGGGCAAACAATCGAACTTTTTTTTTTTAAAAAAAAAAAAAAAAAAAAAAAAAAAAGTGCGTATATACTTATTTAGCTCTATCAACAGCACGATAAGGTCAAGGGTCCAAATAAAAATATAAAGTCTTTGTGCATTTATACGGCCGCACGGAAAGTGTTTGTTAACATATTGCAAACCCTGCTATCACCCTCGCAGTAGGCCAATCTGGATCGCCCTAAGAGTCTCCGGAGGAGCAACACGGCCGGGAAGTGAAAACTCTGGTAACAAGATTCCAAAAGCATCAGGTCATGTATGAAAATAACAAGGTAGAGCTTCAGCAGCAAAGAGCCAGGGTCAGCACTAGAGCAAGCTCATCCGGTCCTGTGGCTGATCAACCTAGGTTCCGAGGCCATTTCAAGCAAGCTTTCAATCATTTCTGAGCTGTCGAGCCTCGAGCACAGTGGCCGCAGAATTCGTTCAAGGCGCACGAGTTCACGCACCATCATGTACCAGTCACCAGCGCGGATGAAGATGTGTATTAAAAAGTTTGCAGCAGGACCTCCTCCTATTCCCACTGCCCCAAGGGCCAAAGAAAAGAAAGAGTCAGTGTTGGTCACTGCCGGCAGCCTCGACAATATGAAAAAGGTTTATCTTGTTAGGAGGATGGACATAAATCCATTGATGGTGCTGACAGTCGGTCCTCTTAATGCTAACGTCGGTTGCGCGCTTGATGGAGAGGAATCCGAGAAGTCATATGTACTTGAGCGTCTGGCTGCCCATATAAAGCGGAGGGGGGGGGAGCAAGGGCTGGTTGCTGGACCAATACATAGAAAGAGTTACCTCGCGCCTCATGAATGATGGCGATCAAGATATCCTGGATACTATCTGCCCTCGCATATCGCAGTAAGATGTCGCGACGATAGCCGATGGAGTGGTAGCTCGGGGCGAGAGCGGTCCAGAAGAATCACAAGGCGCTGGCGAGGAAGGCAAGGGAACATCACAGTACAGTCAGTTTAGGTTTAAAACAATGTTCCTGCGGTACTTGTACACCGGGAAATCCACTCAAAGCAGCAAAAATAGGTAAATGTTGAGCATGTTCCTCCACAGGCTGCGAGGCTTCAACTTGGGTCATGGCGCTGCGACCTGTAGCGGTGTGCCCCGTCAAAACCAAATTCCGTTCACGCCTTTGACTCAGTCCGTAGCCACTCAACTTTTCTTGGAGATCAAAAGGTACTTTAGACATGATAGCGTTGAGCTTTACAAAAAGGTAAGAATGGTTCGAATATTGAAGGCCTGCACATACTGCCAACTTACGACATCCTATTAAAGCTCGTCTGTATGCATTATTTATATAGGCCGAGGCGCAGAGAAACAAGGGTGTCATTTCCGGCTCATCAATAGTTGATATCAATGAGAACCACAGTACCATTGAGAACTTTGCACGACTGAACGGCGTCACTAAAGGCGGTCGCACCATGTTGCCCCATAACCCGCCAAGGTATGAGCTCATAACGATCTCAGAGAGCTCCCTTTTGCAACAGCTGTTGCACAACCAGACTTTGAGGAGATATATCGCTGGCAAGGCAATCCTTGGGCCTGATGACCCGATAACAAGCTTCACATATTATGTCGGAACCTATATGACGCCAGGAGTGTTAGTCACGATGTTGATATCTAATATTGGAAGAGATGCGCCTAAAGGAAGATCGCAGAAGATTCAAGGACAACACGTATATGATGAACATCCCAGACATGAAAACACATCTGCGTCAGATTTCAATTGATAATTTTGATCCAAACCACTGTCACGAGAACAGATACGTGTTAAGAGGCAGTATCCGGACCGACGGTCACACTCCATTTCTTGGCGTTCAAAATGAAGGAGCTGGACTGCGTCAAGTACAGGAGGCTTGCTGATGAATGGTTACCGAACCGCATTACGAGCATAGTAGGCGGTACAAACTATTACCTCCCTGAGGCCTGAAGCGTCATCAAAACAGGATAAGACGTAACCGATCTTTGGGGATGTGGTGCCGACAAAACCAAGGTCCTGGGCCTGGACCTCGATCATGACAAGATGCAATTCAAGGAAAGAGCGTGGGCAAAGCAAGCCGATTATAGAGCAAGCAAGATTAGCTACTCAAAAGTCGATGGATGTATTGGCCAAAAGCGAGAAGATCCCAACAAGGTCATTATAGGAGCAGGGCTCGACTAGTTTGGGCCAAGCTCAAGACCTTCCTCATTGCATGGATCATTCCAATCTTAAGAAGGTACTCTTATTTTTTTATTATTATTGTTACTCTCTCTGACTCAATATTTCTTTCTAGGAGCGCTCACTCGGCTATGTGGTTATTGGAGCCAATGAGTACTATACTTCCAAGAAGTGCCCATCCTGTGAAAACTTTGTCGGGCAAGTGGAGATTCGTCGCTTATATTGCATACATATTCCTACCGCGATGTAATGGCGGCGCATAACATGTGCAATATCATCCGCGGCCATCTGAAGAGACAACAACGATCGCTGTATCTTCATCCTGTGAATGCAGAGGGCACTCTGCTTGGATGCAACAAATAACGCCACCAACGGCAGGCACAAGCACAAGCACAAGCGCAGGAGTAGGTGCAGGGTCGAGTCTTGGTCCGAGCACAACGACGAGCCGTGGCGAGAGTAGCAAGCGGCCAGTAACATCTTCAACTCATAGCAAGCTAGGTACCTTAAAGAGAGGGTGTGAGAAATATTAAATTTTAGGATAGTTAGAATCTATAGTTTAAAAACAGCTGCCGTTCCCGGGCCTTTACTGCAGAGTCTCGCGCAAATATACAGTGTTTAAGTGCTACTATGACTGCAGACGTACGAAAAAGAGAAGCAAAATTGTTTAGGATGTAAAGCCGGCCATTGTTTTTGAGACGTAGTTGTTCGGGAATAATGGAAAAATGTTATATGCAAGTCCCAGTAGCAGAGCTGAATAATGTACTCCACACTATGAAAGCAAGGGTATCCAAGCTCCTGAATTTGTACAGCTCTCTTCATTTTTGGGCCAGAATTCTGCCTCGACCCGTCGATGTGCGTGACAGCTTTCTATGAAAATCAAATAACGTGATTAGTAAATTGAAACATGTCCCTGTGCTGTGCCTAACAGACAGTTTCTGTGTGCACCCCACATTGTCCTCGGAGAAAGATAAAAAGGATTGGGAGGTTCGTAGGAAGATGCGATCGCTTTGAGCTGGAAGTAATTTATTCTTCTCTACTTTTCATATTGTATGATGTGTATAATACGCTGAGCCAAGCCAAGTATGAGAAACTCCCTAGAGCCCAACCATCCATTCTTTGATATTGGTATGAAATAGCCCTTAAAATTTTGCAATAGATTGGCTTGTTAGCTAATACAGATTATCCTGATGCAACGACGACGCGTTCAAGTTGATCGTGAAGGAACGGAATATAAGGATAAACTTATAATATAATATGTATAAAAATAACGTGAAGTCTAAAGCTTTAACCTCTCCTCCCTTTATCTTCTCGAAATAGACATGAGTATCTATTATGGACGACAGCCAAACGAACAATTTCCTTTTTTTAAACTAGGTCAGGATTATAATACAGTTGTGCCTGAATAAGCAACAACGATAATAATAATAGTAATAAAACTCATCTGCTTAGCTTGTATGGTGCGTCTGCATAGTATATAACATAGCATGGCTGCATTAAGCCAACTGCTCTTTTTTTTTTTTTTTTTTTTTTTTTTCCAACAAGAGCAAGAGAGGAACTATGAGCTTTTATTTCAGTTATTCAATTGAATACTGAATACACTATTTGAATTTGTTCTCACTGCACCCTTTCCTTTTTTTTTATTTATTTTCCTATCCTTTTGATGCTCTCCCACATCTTGGTCTTAAAAACTAGCGTACTTTAGCTGCCCTTGAGTGGTGTGAGACATTAAAAAAGAAAGAACAACTTTGACAATCAACTGCTTCATCCCTTTCTTTCTTCTCTTTTATTTATTCATTCCTCAGTCCTTTTCCATTCTCATTTCCATTCGTTCTCATTCTCATTGTCATTCTCTTTATCCTTCTTCTCCTCCTACACATTCTCATTCTCCCCTCTACATTTTGTTTTAGTTCTCTTCCATCATCTCCTAACCATGTATGCCACCGAGGAAAACTCGAACCCCTTGTCAAAGTACAAAGACTTAACACCGATCCAGCCTATTAGAGAGCAGGCCCCCACCAATGGCTCGGGTGTGTTGAAGCATGGTTACATCTCCGTCAAGGAGGAGGGTCTCAAGGCCTTCATGTGGTTGAAGAGATATATGACTTTAAGAGAACTCACCTTGAGTTTCCATAAGAACGAGGTATGTCAACGATTGGTTCCAGCCCCCAACTTCAAATGCTTTAATTCATAGAGCTATACCAGTAATATTCCTCCGAGAAACGAGGAACAAAAAGAATGCATTGACATCATCCCCACATTTCAACAAGTGTGAATGTGCAATTGCTTTTTTTTTTATTTTTTTTATTTTTTTTTGGTTACTATTTCAAGCAGGATGGCAAGTGTGAGAAAACTGCTACTGCTGTAAATAGAATGTTAACACTTCATGTCGAGGAAATGACAATAGCTAGCTCACTAGTTCATCTGCAATTGCAAATGTAGCTCGATAGTATAGATGTAGGGGGCCAAAACGATAGAACAGGCAAGAGTTGTATACATTTGACTGTTTCTTGATGGTGGCAACTACTGCTATCGCTGCTTGTTGTCTTTATTTATTTATTTTTTTTTACATATTTGCTCCTGTCTCTCAAACCTGGCAAGTCAGGACTGTTTCGACTGACTGATGGCCGAGTCGTGAGGGCAGGTTGAGAGGATGGATGATTGCCCTTATACTCATGCTTTTGCTCATGACATTTTGCCAACATTTCCCCTCTTTTAACTTAATATCCATGTCTCCTGTTGTTGATGGTCAATGTCTCTCCTCTTTGCCTTGCCTCACCTCTCTTGATCCTGATCTTAAAACATTTTCTGGTTTCTGTTCATAGTCAACTCCTCATGCGGTAGTCTTGATCTTCCTTAAGGATGTCACTGCCGTGACTCGCACTGATCTCAAGGCCTATTGCTTCGAGCTCGTCACAAAGGACCGCAGCTACTTTCTCTCGTGCAAGAATGATGAAGAGTTATACTCGTGGATGCATGAGATCTACTCTCGATCGCCACTCATGGGTGTCTCCAACCCTACAAACTTTGTGCACACAGTCCATGTGGGCTTTGATCCAAACACTGGTAACTTTTCGGTATGTGTGTTGCACAAAACCATAATACAAATGAAAAAGGAGGTTGTGTCGTTGAATTATTACCAACTAATGAAACTAAAACGTTACTATTTATTGTTGGTATTACCAGGGAATGCCAGAGCAATGGACAAAGTTGTTGACTGGATCTGCCATCACAAAGGAAGATTATGCAAACAATCCTCAGGCAGTGTTGGAGGTCTTGGAGTTTTACACTGACCAGACAAAACGAAACGAGGAGGAGTATGGTACACCATCGTTAGTCCCTGGCAATCTTCCTCTTGCACCGAATGATGCTGAAGGTGATCGATGGGCTAACTTGATGCCGAAGCAATCGCCCTCTCCACCCTCCAGCCGACCTGAGCGTCCACAGCGCCCGCAGAGACCCGATGAGCAGCGGCCTTACATCCCTGAGCGTCTGCAGAGTGTGGATATCATACCTGCTCCTGTTACCCAGAGAATGTCCAGCTTGGCTATCTATGATGGAAAGGTATGTCTGTTCTGAGCATTGTGTCTTCAGACTTTTTTTATGTATTTATTCAATTGCTCTCGTATGAGGTGTTTATTTTCAGATCTGAGCATTATAAAAAAAAAAAAAAAAAAAAAAAAGGTCCGCCTTTAAAATAGTTATATTAATCTTTTTTTTTTATTTTATGAACGCGATCTGGATAATCTACAGCAACAAGGAGGTGGAAAGCCAGCTGTTGCGCCAAGACCACCCAACAATCTTTATCCAGACTACAATCCCCCTTCACCTTCCGTAAGTCTGAACTTTTTTTTTTTTTGTTTATTACCAATGTTACTATACCATTAAATCATATAGACCTTGCATTTAAATGGAGACTCATCATTTTCAATGTTATCTTTACTATATAAACTCAGTTCACACCTCCATTGTCGAGCTCCCCATCCAATAAATATAACAACGGCCCTAAACCCCAAGCACAGCAGCAATATGGACGAAGCGACGACGCTGGCCATAAACCACCGCCTGTGGCTCCACGCCCACATGTTGCGGAAGCCGCTGCTGCGCTGAACGGAACAGCAAACAAGGATGTTGTCGAGAGGCGAATCTCCACCATGACTGAGGCAGAAATCATGGAGAAGTTGAGAAGCGTTGTTTCTGCTGGGGACCCTAGCACTCTGTACAGTAAAATCAAGAAAGTCGGTCAGGGGTAAGTTGTATTACATTTTTATTATGTGTTGTTGCTGTCGTTGTTGGAGTTGTTATACTAAAGTGTTTTTTTTTTTTTTTTTTTTTTTTTATCAGTGCTTCCGGATCTGTCTACGTTGCCAAGCATCTTACAACAAATACAAAGGTGGCCATTAAGCAGATGGATCTTACAATGCAACCTAGAAAGGAGCTGGTGGTGAATGAAATTCTGGTCATGAAGGAATCAACCAACCCCAACATTGTCAACTACTTGGACTCGTTCTTGGTCAAGAACCAAGAGCTGTGGGTTGTCATGGAGTATATGGAGGGAGGTGCCTTGACAGATGTCATTGAAAATAACAAACTGAACGAAAGTCAAATTGCATGCATTTGTTTCGAGGTAATGTATTACGATGTTTATCGCCTGTAGTGGTTGGCAAAGGCGACTTTTAACTTTTTTGTGCTTTTTATTATTATTATTATTATTACTATTAAAGAAGTGAAGGGAATACTGATGGACTGTTTGTTGCTTCTTTTATTACTACCAATCTCTTTCATTTCATAGACATGCAAAGGTCTGCAGCACTTACACAGCCAGAACATTATTCACAGAGACATTAAATCGGACAATGTCCTCATGGATCCCTTTGGGCGTGTAAAGATTAGTAAGTTGGAAGATATATATTATATCTGGTTAAACTATGGAAAAAGGGACATTTGTTTGAAAGAAGTCGTGTGAGGACCAAGTTCTAATATGTATATTTATACTTTTTTGCGTTTGATCCTTGTGTATTTAGCTGATTTTGGTTTCTGTGCAAAGTTGACAGATCAAAAGAGCAAGCGTGCTACGATGGTTGGTACACCATACTGGATGGCACCTGAAGTGGTGAAGCAGAAGGAGTATGGTGCGAAGGTTGATATCTGGTCATTGGGTATTATGGCTATTGAGATGATTGAACAGGAGCCACCATACCTGGATGAGGAGCCACTGAAGGCCTTATATTTGATTGCGACGAATGGAACGCCTACACTCAAGAAGCCAGAGGCATTGAGTTCAGAACTGAAGAACTTTTTGGCAGTTTGTCTGTGCGTTGATGTCAAGAGCCGTGCGACTTCAAGAGAATTGCTTGATGTGCGTAGATAAACAACGATGCTTGGTTGCATGTGATGTTTTGAACTCTATTGATGTTTAATGTATACTGTCTGTACTGATGTTGCCATTTTTTGTTCCTTACAATTACAAATAGCACGAGTTTATGAGTCGAGCAGGACCACTTCACTCATTGCGTCCTTTGTTCGAATTCAAGCGAGGTGGATAAAGAATCCTTGCAAAAAGAAAAAGATTGAATGTTTTTTTTTTAATACAAGTCACTAACAATACAGATACAAAAAACTTAATAGAGATAGCTCATTCCAATGCAGTAATAAAAAGAAGATTAATAAATAATAGTAATAGTAATAGTAATAATAATAATAATAATAATAATAATAACAAAAGAGCGTGTATGTGTGCGTGTGGAGAAAGAAAGAGAAAAAGAAAAAGAGAGAGGAAAGAAGAGAGAGAGGACTTGACCCAAGCTTATTTCAGATTCCGCCCAGGCACACGAATGTCATTGGCGGAGATTGGGAAGAAGTGGCAGGGCACTACGAAAACACGTCAGAAGCTTGTGGAGAGAAGGTGAACAACCATGCAGGCAACAAGCATGCGTGGTTGAGGGGTAAAATGCATGGATGAGACCAATATTTATTTACAAACATGATTACACGGAAAATGCTTTCGCGGTAATGGTTTTTTTTTTTTTTTATTTTTTTATCTCCTTTCGTCTTTACCTTTATTTTCACTTTTTTATTTTTTTTTTTCCTTTCCTACCCCATCCACTCATATCAATACAAATCTAAACCCTTTTCTCTCTCTTGCTCTCTCTCTCTTTTCTCTTAAATTTATTGCTATTTTATCTCTTTGCATTGCATTGTATACACACGCAACACATTCAAGTCTTAGTGCTCCATCAATTTTTCTCTTTTCATATTCATTCCATTCTTGGTCAGTTACTCATTCACTCCCTGTAACAACACTATAATGGTAACACTTTCTTACTCTCTCTTTCCCTTTCTTTCTCTCTTTCTCTTATTCTCTCTCCGAATTGATTTTCATGTCTAAGTTGATATTAATACAAACATTCTTATTTCTTTCTTAATCTTTGTCGATGACATCGTTTCCGTTGATCTTATTTTGTCCTATCGGAAAACAAACAAACCAAAAAAAAAAAAAAAAAAAAAAAACTTCCTCTCGTAGAGCGTTTCTAGTCAATTGGATCCAGAAGAGTACTACGTGAAGCTCGAGAGGATCGGTAGGTGTGCTAACGTTGTTGAGAAAAAGAAGGAAAAAAAATTCTCTTATATTCGAAAATCAGGGTAGTTTCCTTTTCTGCGAAATGTTCTCTGCATAAGCTTTTCTAACCTTTCTTCTCCCTCTCTCTCTTTCTCTCGGATCTGTAATAGGCAAGGGATCCTTTGGCGAAGTATTTAAAGGGTAAATAAGATTTCTTTTATGTCTTTATTGGAGCTTTGTCCACCATAATACAAACTTATCCTTGTCACAAAAAAAAAAAAAAAAAAAAAAAAAGACGCACATAAGAATAACTGTAAGGGCAAGGCGATGGGAAATACCGGGGTAGATTATCTATCCCTTATTCCTCTTTTACTATATCCGCTTCCTGTCATTTACATCTTTCCGACATCAGCAATCAACATTAGAAGGTTTGCTACAAGGCGCGGTTTAGACCTCCTTGTCCCCCTGAGTTCAATTTTTATTTTATTTTATGTATTTTTTGTATTTTTCCCTTGACATTGGAAGAGGATGATCTACTGTCCTGCGAATTACGCACTGGGCTTTTTTCGTCTTTGTGATCTTTATGATTTGCTGATTTGCTGTTAGATGTTTAATGAAACAAATGAACACAATCGACTCTTGTGGTTTTTTTGTTCTTCTTTTTCAGTTAAAAGGGGGGGCGGGATCAAGGAGAAAAAAGTTTTAGGGTAAAAAATTAAACGTCGACATTACGAAATACCTTGATTGAGCCTTACTAACATTTTTTTATTTTCTTGTGTCAATATTTAGTTTCGACCGCAGAACGAAAAAACCTGTAGCCATCAAGATCATCGATCTGGAAAGTGCAGAGGATGAGATTGACGATATTCAACAGGAAATCAATATCCTCTCACAACTGGATTCGCCATATGTGACACGGTAACTATTAAAAAATTTTAAATTACAAGAGCCTTGCTACGCATAGTATCTTTTTATCTTGTTACAATGTTGATCAGGTGGATTTAATGTTTTTTTCTTCTTCTTTTGTCTAGGTACTTTGCATCATTTCTTAAAGGGGCGCATCTCTGGATCGTCATGGAATATTGTTCTGGAGGCTCCTGTGCAGATCTGGTAAGGGGCGCACAACAGTAAAGAGGTGGAGAAGGGATGAAAATAAGACCGAGGATCAGTGACTTAAGAACATTGGACAAAGAGAAAGGAGAAAAGAGGAAAAAAAAAAAAAACACGCTAGCACATAAAACCTGAATATCTCTCATGCTATGTAGCCTGAATATCGCCTAGAAGAAGGAAAAAAAAAAAAAAAAAAAAAATCGTCGACTGTCAATGTGCCAAATGTTCAAAGTCCTAATCTCGTTTCCTCGCTTTACTCTTCTTTGCAACTAGATGAAAGCTGCGGCTTTCAAAGAAGATTATATCGCCATCATTGTACGCGAATTGCTAAAAGGACTGGAATATCTTCATGGTGAGGGTAAATTACACAGAGGTACGCCCAAGTAGCAAGCTGCTTTGTTCTGCACTGGATGTAATTTTTTTTTTTTTTTTTTTTTTTTTTTTTTTTAATTTGACCATGCTTACGCTAACTGCAGGATATTTCCTTTCTTCAATTTTATTTTGTTTCCATGCATGAAATGAACTTTTTCACAAACAATGAAAAAATAATAATAATTAGATATCAAAGGTAAAAAAAAAAAAAAAAAAAAAAAGTGAATGCACCTCGCTCATGATCGACCGATTGAGACGGCATGGCAACTTATGATAATGCGCTGTGCTCAGATGCTTACCATCACTTTTTTTTTTTTTTTTTTTTTCTTTTTTTTTTTTCCTGCAGCTGCGAACGTTTTATTAACTACAGATGGAGATGTCAAATTAGCAGACTTTGGTGTATCAGGGCAGGTAAATGATAAGCTCGATAAGAGAAAAGTTGTGTCATAAGCATTCCTTCACATGGCAGGCCCATAAATAATACTGACAGCCATAATTCCTACTTCCTTTTAACTGTAGCTTACTGCAACGATGACGAAGAAAAACACATTCGTTGGTACTCCTGTAAGCAACAAAACGACCAGAAGATTTTTTTTTTCAGTTTGTGTATTCCGGCGCTCTGATACACTTGAAATATGATAAACAAACAAATTAACCTCTTTGCGTTTTTAATATAGTTTTGGATGGCTCCAGAGGTGATCAAACAATCTGGCTACGACAACAAGGCTGATATTTGGTCACTAGGGATCACAGCCATCGAACTAGCCAAGGGTGAACCGCCCTACTCAGATATGCATCCAATGAAAGTCCTTTTCTTGATTCCTAAGAATGCCCCTCCAGTGTTGGAGGGTAATTATTCTAGAGCCTTTAAAGACTTTGTCGCAGCGTGTCTTCAAAGAGATCCAGCATTGGTAAGCATCACCTAGAACTGTCAGGAACAAACACAACAACAACAGCAACAGCAACGAAAGCTATTCAGTCAAATAAGCTTTCCTTTCTTGAAACATGTTCCTTACTCCACTTCATTTAATTCTTCAACGCTTCGCCTCCTCTTGCTCCTGTCTCTAACCTTTTATTTATTTGTTTATACTATAAACAATGTATTTGTAACATCTCAAAATGATAGCGTCCTTCAGCAAAGGAATTGCAAAAACATCGGTTTATCCGCGCTGCCAAGAAATCATCTTATTTGACAGAGCTCATTGAAGCTCATGAGCGATGGATAACAGAAGGCGGTGGACATGAAAGTGACTCTTCGGATGATGCTCAAGGAGGGGGACATCAAGGCGAGGTTACAGATGATGGAGGATGGGACTTTGGGACCGTGCGTGAGCCCGCAAATTTGACACAACAGTATCAATATCAACATCAACATCAACACCAAACCCAAAACCAACCAATACCACAACGCCCATCATCATTAACAAATGATAATTATACCCATGAGGATGTACGCTACTTTTTTTTTTTTTTTTTTTTTTTTTTTAATACAATACTTAATCCAGGAACTTCATTCATGTGTCCACTTTACAGTGAGCCTTCAAAAAGAAAAAAAAGACTAACCAGGTTTTTTTTATTACTTTGTTTCGTTTTCCTGAATTTTTATTGGCATTTAGAAGGTACGATTAAGTGATTCTGGATATGATACTGTTCGATCACGGTACTATCGAGAAATCCAAAACGTTGAAGGACTATCCATTCGGGAACGGCAGGAACGGCTACGGGAACGTGTAGAAAGGTCCGAACGTCCAGAGCGTCCGGAACGTGCAGCAGAACGTATAACAGACCGTGCGGAACGACCAATTTCTGCAGACATGACACGGGACAAGGTTTATCAGACATTTGTTCGACCCGTCTTGGCCAATGTAAGTTTTTTTTGTTTGTTTTTTTTGAGATCTCTCCTTCATTACCGATCATAAAGACTTATTTTTATTTTATTTTTTCCCTTCTCTTTCTTCATTCTACAGCTCCAAAATCTCTGTCTTCGAGAAAGTGAACGTATTGTGGTAGATGACTTGCGCTTGGCGTTCGAGAATGCAGAACGCGAGATACCCGGCATCACACGGTTATTTGTCAAAGGCCTGGGCGAGCAGCTTAGCGGATAAGAAACCTTTTTGTATTTTTTATTTATATTTTTACATCTATCTCGCCTTACCTTTTATTTTTGCCTTATCCGTTTGCTCTTTCGTGCGTGTTAACCCTTAATTGCTTTCTTTTGTGAAAATAAAGGAAAAAAAAAAAAAAAAAACTTCTCAATCCTCGGAATTTTGTCCCGCCTGGGTCTTTATTTTATTTTATTTTTACGGATCAGAGTCCGAGTCAGATTTGAGTCTTAATGAATCATGTCGCTGGAGCGCAAAGGATCCCTTTACCAGCTGATTTGAACTTTGTGATGCTAGTCTACCAACAGTTTCTCCTCTTCTAAGGAAGCTATTCTCATCCCATCCAAATGTATCATTACGCTTCAACCCGTCTGAGGCATGCTGAGTTGTAATACTATTAGTATTCTCAGATCCTGATTTTAAGGGAGAAGGATGGAGGGAAGGATGGAGAGAGACATCGTTGTGTTGATGATGTAGTAAGTGGTTGTGTCGATATGAAGACATGGCCTGGTTCGAGAAATAGAATCCACCAAAAATGATGATCACCAGGAACCCCTACAGTGTAATACCGAGTAAAAAATAAAAATAAAAAAATAAAAAAAAGTTAAAAAAATAAACTAAATATGCATAGTAGTCAGATCATTACAAATGGCTCAAACTTGAAACCTACAATGGTTTTGTATGAGAGTGTGTTTACGAAGGCATTCGCAATATGCGCAAATGTTTCTGCTGCAACTGGCGCTCTATATCCAAAGAATAGGGATAATAAAAGTTTAGAAAATGTGTTTAGCAATTAATTAAAAAAAAAAAAAAAAAAAAAAAAAAAAAATACCTCTGCACACGATGCTCTTTCACGTCTAAACAAGCCTCCAGTTCCGCACAAGTATCCCATAGCTTAGGGCCCACTTGCCCACTGCCACAATGATACATGTCATAATCTCGTTGACACTGAATCCTCTGGTTCAGTTTTCGTTCCAACAGTCCTTTGGCTCTCCAATCGACATCACTTTGAACAGTAGTTATAAAATTGGCCAAGACATAGATCAACATCACCACAAAAACTGCATTCATCGCCACTTGAACATATCTAATCATATTAATGTAATATGTGTATATGAGCAAGAACTTTTCATTTAAAAACAAATAATAATGATAACCTGACAACAACAGTAGTGAAAAAAAAAAAAGAAAAAAATTACCCTGACAAAATAAAAGGGAGATCCACATTTTCGGACCAAACTCTACCCTGTGAAGGTGGTGGAGATTGGGATTGTGGTTGTTGTTGTTGTTGTGGTCGATGACGACGTGAGAGTTGATTTTGACCATTGAGCTTACTACGAGCATATATCTTTCGCTTATCCTGCGTCGAGCCCCATAACTGAACTCAGGGTGAGAACGTGGAACAAAGAGAGGAAGAAAGAAAACTCTACATGATGAGCTTAACTTGAACTGATTTGCTTCAGCGAGAGAGATAAGAAAAAAAAAAAAAAAAAAAAAAAAAGGCGTAGTTCTGCTAGGCTCTGTTCCTTACCTTGGTATATTGACTATTTTCGCCTTGACTCTCATGTTCGCCAGCTACATCATCAGTATATCGGTCTGTATCATTGCTACGATCAATACTGTCATCATCATCCTCATTATCATTCCAGAATGAAGAAGGGGAAATTTCACTTCGGTGTCCGTTGTAACTTGCATACTTCAGATTGGCCGTCTCTCCTTTATCTCTTCCTTCGCCTCCAAGAGACGATCGAATTTGTGAGCGCCGTTGCTGTTGTTGTTGTTCAGGGATATTGCCTCGAAGAGCATTTAAATCGAAGCTACTGATATTGGTCTTCATGGAATTTGCAAAAACCCCTGATGTGGAATCTGGAGACGGTGACCGAGTGAGGCTTGTTGTGGAAGCGCCACGATCCCTGCCAAGTCCGAATAGCCTCTGTTTAGATGATGCGTCCTCAGGTCCGGATCCAGATCCAGCTCCTGAAACTACTGCTGCTGTTGTTGTAGATATCGAAGCTGGAGCTGAGATAGCCTGTGAGTCCTGGCGGAAAGGTCTGGATACAGTCGAGCCCCAGCCTTCGGAAGTAAATGACGAACCTATAACACATCGTTAAATTACAACGGTTGATATAAAGTACTCAAGTGTTTGACATCAGCAGTTAATGAATGTAATGCAACGCAGTGCATTACAAGATCACGTACGACTGCCTTGAGATGAAAAGCTCGATTCTCGTTGTTGAAATGATTGAGTACCACGACCACGATCTGATATGAATGACTCAGGAGCCGTGCCGCTCTGGGAATCTAAAGGTTGTGGTGTTGCTGTCGCAAAGATATTGGGTAGATTTCTATCCTGCTCCCGCTCCCATTCCATCGGTGCCTCTCGTGTTCGCATCGTCATTCGCGCCATTGTTAGGTTCCTTCAAGACAGAGCTTTTTTTTTTTTTTTTTTTTTTTTATTTGATGTAAAAAGAAACAATCGAATGATTCATTTTAAAAGTTGGACTTTATTATGTAGTTGTCCTCTTGGTCTAGAGAAAGGGTTTATTATTATTGGCTGAAATTTACAGTTACATTGGTTACATTGTGAAGATCAAGTTCAAGTTCACAGGGTGACTTGAGCTCAGTTGCGGCTTCTGTTCATACTTGGACCGAAGGATATCACGGATGCTATTCAATAGCTCTAGGTAGCTCTGCTGTGGATTGGCTGTCAAGCTATAATGTTGAACCATGAAAAAAAAGTATTAATTTAGGTAACTCTTTTGACAGATACTCTACAACTGTACTGATGATTCTTACGCGCTAATAAATGAGAAGGTCATGGCGCCAGTCATTCCAAATCCCTGCTCATGTGCGTCTGCTGATGTTTGTGTATCCTTGCATCTAGAATAAGAAAGGAACGAGGCTCAGCATGTTAATTTTTATCTTAATGAGGCATTTTTTTTTTTTTTTTTTTTTTTTTTTTTTGCTCCAAAAGGAACCATTCTAATTCAGCTCTCGCCCTCAAATGACCAAGGCGTAATGATTTGATATAGTTGACATACCCACTGAACATGATACAGTCTGCAGGGCTTGACTTGGCCTCTCTGTCTACATCCTTGCTCATCATCAACTTTTTACCTAGTCCACCAAGCCCGCGTATGACCCCTTGCATGTCGCCTTGTATATAGGCCATGCCTGCTGCCAGAACGCCTTGACCTACATCAGCCAACTTGTTGGGCTCCTTCAAATTTCCTTGTGTACTGTAGATATAGGGTAGATCAAGGGCAGATCCAGAGTGACAGCAATCCATGATTGCAGTCAGACGACACCCTGCAGGCAAGGGCCGGACCATAATATCGTGCATCGTATCATCAATGATGAATCCGCTCTGTTCGTGGTCGACCGGGTAAATAGTTTCATCATGTCCATCATCCTCATCACCATCCTCATCCCTGGCCTGGCCACCATGCCCACTGAAATGAAAGAAAAACCTATAATTATTTTTATCAGCACAAAATCTCCTTTTAGTTTCGCCGACTGATCTTTGTAACTTTACGCCATATGAACCGGCATTAGTGAATGAACTAGCTTTGACTTACGAGTCATTAGGTTGTGGATCATGAACAAGCCAACGCATGGCTTCAAGGATGTTACTATGAGTGGGGATGCGAGTCGGATCTTCCTGGTCATCTGTTAACATGATGGTGTCCTCTTCCCGAAATCCGAAACGTTCAATGATGAACCGCTTAATGTTCTTGGCGTCATTAATACATCCCCTTAGTTCACTTTGTTGTCCAAAATAATTGATACCGATAAAGAGCGCACGCTTACGGCCCTGACAATTGGACAGCTTAAAATCGGATGGAACATGTTTTTTGGGACTCTCACGGACAGCCCAACCTTCTGGCGGAGGCGGAACTTCAGTAGGCGACATCTTGTTTCCGCGAAGAGTATCAAGTTATTATCATCACTACTATTATTATATATAAAAAAAAAGGAGAGGAAGGTACGAGACTCAAGTCTTTTACATACCATGTGCTGAGGAATGGGGTACATGGGCTGTTGGTATTGTTGATGCTGTTTCTCAGGTGAAGATTGCTGGTAGTAATTCTGAGATGAGACAGGGGGTCCATAAGGCGATGAAGCAGGAGGAGGATAGTAGGGTTGCCCAGAAGGGGGCGCATAGTAAGGTTGACCTGGTGGTGGGTAGGCATTGCCACCATATGGATATCCCTGTTGAGGGGGAGGATTGCCAGGAGGAGGGGCATATCCAGCATTATTGTAGCCTCCATAGTACTGTTGCTGTTGTGAATACTGTCCAGGATACATTGGTGGATTAAGCTCGTTGTTGTGCAGTGGGCAGAAGAGTGAGGAGAGTAGGCGTTGAGTGTTGGTGTGGTTGAAGAATGAGAAAGAAAGAATGAGTGAGAAGCATTGCACTTGAAACTTCAGGAAAAAAGTAGACCCACATGCATTTCCAAAAATGGGTGTCCAACAGATCACAAATCCAAATATTTGGAACAAGAGTTAATGTCAGTTTTACTATTCGTAACGTGATTTACGTTAGTAACATATTTATTATCTATGTTAATACCAACAATTAAGTCCTTTTCTCTTCTTTCCTCATTCCATTCACACAAATCAACTCATTCCATAATGTCCGAGTCCACCATTGATCGTCCTGTCCTTTATTCCTACTTCCGATCTTCATGCTCCTGGCGTGTGAGAATTGCACTCAATCTCAAGAAAATTGATTATGAGATTCGTCCCATCAATCTTGTCAAAGGAGAACAGGTACCAACAACTCGCCTTTCATTGTCTTTGGGCGACCGCAATAAACAATAAATGCACGAAAAAAAAAAAAAAAAAAAAAAAAAAAAAATCGAGAATATCCTTGAAAACTGGAGTTTGCTGATGTTTTTTTTTTTTTGTTCTTTTGATAAAAGAAATCCAGTGAGTACCTCAAGATCTCGCCATTCGGTTATGTTCCTGCTTATGTTGACATCAAGACTGGGGAGACTTTGATTGAATCCATCAGCATCCTTGAATACCTTGATGAGGTTTATCCTGGTAAGAAAAGTCCTAAATCGCAAAAAAAAAAAAAAAAAAGCACTAAAATTCCCACGCAAACCACCAATGTTCCTGCATTCTACAATTTTGGTCCCTACTTCATTAGAAACTCCCTTACTTCCATCTGACCCGTTGGAACGTGCACAGGTAATAATAAATATATGCTTCATAGCTTCATAAGAATAGCACTAGCGGCTATATTTCTATTATCTTGGGAAGCAAAAGCGAGAGAAAACTCCGTATCTTTAAATGTTAATATGAGTATTCCTTGATCTGCTTTTTAAGGTACGCGCCTTGGTTCAAACAGTTGCAATGGGTATCCAGCCTGTCACCAACCTACGTATCCTCCAATACGTAGGTGATGAGAAAAAGGCTGAATGGGCCAAGCACTTTTTGACTGAAGGATTCAAAGGTAACTCTTTTTTTTTTTTTTTTTTGTTTGATGCGTTGTTATAAAAAAAACCCTCCAATTGCTAATTATGATGAACATCCTGACTTTTGTATGATACAGCGCTGGAAGCCATGCTCGAAAAGACCGCTAAAGAATTCGCCTTTGGAGACTCTATTACAATGGCTGACGTGGTGATCGTTCCCCAGGTTTACAATGGTTTTAGGTATGCTTATATTTTTAGGGCTTACTAAAACCTTTTTTTTTTGACAATTGTCTCTACTCGGCGAGTTTTTATTTAAAGTTAATCCTTATTTGGTTATTGCCACTATTGTATTAGATTTGGGGTAGACATGAGTGCATTCCCCATTATCTCACGTCTCAATAGCAAGTTGAATGAGCTACCAGAGTTCCGTCGTGCTCATCCTTCAGAACAGATTGATCGCCCCGAGCAGTGAGGACAAGTAGAACAATAAGTATAGTGTTCCTCTGGTGTTGCACTGTATTTCAATTAAACATTAAACGATATTTTTTATACTGCAGTTTAAATAAGCAATGAGAGAGTTACTTGCTCAAGATGTGTTTGTATTTATACAAATATGTGAAGAATGTTAACGTTACTTTGTACCTGTCGGTGATGACAAAGAAGGCCCTGTCATTCTGTCGCTTAAGCGCAACTTTTTTTTTTTTTTTGACCGTTTAGTTTAAAATTGTCTGTTCTGTGGATGTGCAATTGTTGGCTGACAATTGACATCTTTATCCCGAAACCCCTTTTTCTTTCTGTTTGCTGCACCTCCTGACCTCTTTTTTGACCCACCCCTCATTTTTAGTACTTCCTTCGCGCATTCCTTTCACCATCCCTGCTCTCAGAACTTTTTCTTCTCTTTCTTCTCTTTCAACTTTTTGCCTTCACTATCCTTGATACCTTCATTTTCTCTTGTAATCTCTTATTGTCCCTCCTCCCTTCACAACCTCTGTTTAACTAACTCAATTATTAGACACGATTGAAGCAAGGACAAACTAGCACAGACCAGTAGCTCACTCCTTCTGTCTCCATTTTTCTCCCTCCATTAAAATAAGAAAACATATCCAATCAACAACACGTTGACTTCCCTTGCCCTCTTCAGATGACAAGTGAAGGAATAGGAACAGAACCAACTGCAGCCGTAGCAGCTGGAGTCAGAAATCATGACAGAAACACCGTCAATGACGTCCAACGACCCGTTACGCTCACAGTAACGACCGCAAGTGATAGCAGTAATGATTCTGTGACCTCTCCTCCAGAAGCCAGTACAGGGATCGAAGGAGTCTTCTCTACCTCAAATTTACTCACTTCAAGAGGGAACCCATCAGACAACAATAGTAACAGCAACAGTGACAGCAACGATAGTAATAATAATAATAATAATGATAATGATGTGACAGGAACTGGAGCAAATACTGAAAACACTCCTATTTCAAAATCGAGATCAAGATCCAAATCAACCTCACGTCAACAACAAACCCTCTTGACCAAAGCTTTACTCTCCTACATCAGTTTTTTTCGTGTGGTTCAGCCTTTGATCTCCTTGGCAGCCTTTGGAACCATCACCCCTGTCTTGGCATATTTCCATACCCAGACCGTTTTCCCGACGATCCAAGCAACACTCTATGTCTACACAGCCACTCTCGCCTGTTGCTCCTTATTTTTTAGCATCATTTATTTAATGGATGTTTTGTTGAAGAAACCCTTATTTTGGCCTTTTACAAACCGACATTTCCGAAGAACCAGTCGAGCGAGGATCGGAGGAGATTTAATTGTCTGCATGGTCTTTTGCGGATTATGGTTCTTGGCCCTCATCGGCTTGGTCATCGATTCCATTGGGGTTGATTGTGGAAAACTGACAGGGTTGCAAGGTATCTTGGCAGTGAATGGAAAGAGTACTCGGACTATCACAACCGTTTGTCAATTAGAGAAGGCTACCATGGGTCTTGCTGTTGCGAGCTGGGCCTGTTGGATGGGTGTCCTACTTGTTTTACTTTATGGGTAAATTCTGCATACTATTCTCTTTCCCCAGCTTCCTCAGCAAGGAATCTATGTTAACCCGAGCTTTCCCCTGCCCCCTTGTTATCCCTCTAATTTTATTTTACTTTTTTTTTTTTTTTTTTTTATGTAGGCACTTCTGGAAAAGACGCGAAGTCATTGCTGCCCGCTTGAAAGAAAGGATCGCACGGAGGCGTGCAGCTCACGATAATCATCAAAGTGCCGGCGCCACAGGCGTTAGTACTGCGATCTCACCAGACGCAACCGGCGGCATAGTCTCAACTGGATCTAATGTTTCTGGAAGAGGTGGCGCTGGCATTGGAGGGAATAACGGCGGCGAACATGGTGGCATTAGCTCTGGAGGCATTCAACAGCAGCACTCACAACAACCTTCATCAGTTTATGGTTGTCAAGATATGGAAGGTGAAGTAGGTCTTACAGGAATCATCTGCCGATATGATGATGACCAAAGCTCCTTAAACCCAACCATTCGAAGACATGACCATCCCGAAAATGCGGCATAGCCCTTATTACCAGCATCAGTACTCCCTTTTTAAATATAACCATCATTCGTAAATAGAATTAAATGTTTCTGTTTTTATTGAGATATCTTTTTTTTTTTTTTTTTTTTTTTTTTTGTTCTCGACTCTATACAGCAATCTCGGTGTTTTCTCTGCTCAATTCTTTGGAATGTAATTGCACGTTGTTATTATGGACCTTCTTGATCATCCTAATCGAATAATAATAAAAGAACGAACACAATATACGATTACTACAAACATCCTCCTGCACGTCATTTCAACGCAAAATACCAAATAAAATGTACAGCTTACCCTGATCCAAACCCTGTCCCTAAAAGCGCTGCCGCTCCTAGCGTTGTCTGCCAAAGATTTAGTCCTAACTCCTGCCTATACCAACGCCTGTTTTCCTTGTCATCAGAACCTGGACTTGTCCGCCAACATTCGACATCATCTTCATGGCAACTCTCGTTATTAATGCCTGAACCACTGCTGAAACTGTTGGCGTGCTGCTGTGTCGGGGAGTTGGGTGTAAAAGACGGCGGCGATGGTCCTCCAGAGGGTCGTAAGGGTGATGACCCACGAATTAGCATTCCTGTGTGGAGACCCACATGGATAGGAGGGTAGAGCGTTCCACCCATGCCGAGCCTTGATACTGAGACATGCGAGGCCAATGAACGTTGATCCAATGCTCTAGAAAAGAATCCTTGGTGAGGTTCAGGAATAGGACAACGTCTCCGCCTTATCCTTACTGGAGTTGACGACCCAGATGCTGATGGTGAAGTATGTGGTGAAGATGACCATGAGGATGAAGATGAAGGGGCGCATCCTTCGCCTAGATTGAACGATTGCTCCTTAGAAGTACGATCCAATATCGACCGTGCCTTGACACTCCATGACGCAAATTCTTTAGCACGCAACGAAGAAGGGCCCTGAAGAACATTGTTAGCGACAGCATCGGAAGGCAGAGGTTTAGATGTGTTTGCCTGGCATTGTGGTGGCGACCGAAGAGGCGTGGTACTGCCTGAAAAGGGTGCCGTTGGTGAGGATGGGTCATTACTGTTGAGGGTTGTTGACTCGATCTCATAGTAATGATCACGTGTATATTGTTCAGCAAGCAGTATTCCTCGTCGGCGGTAGGAAGCCTTTTGTTTGCGTGTTGCCTCTGAATCGGAGGAAGTACTATCATATTCTCTTGAGGAACATGGGGTGAAGGACCCGTGAAAGTAATTTGGAGACAAGTCACCTAGGATGGACTCTGGGTTAGAGGGTCGTAGATGAGGCGAAGTTGTAGTCGAGTAATACAGATGGGTAGGAGATGCAGGCACGAGGGGCGAAGAGCGCTGAGAGCGAGTGTCAACAGTATATATCTTTTGAGGACGTCGTCGCCGTTGCTTGAAGCTAGGCCTGGGACCTGCAGCTAGTAAAGTTGACAGGCTGTTGGTACAACATAAACAATGAAGCAATGCATTCAGCGCGTCGATGATATGAGGAATGTCATGCGATGCAAGGTTAGATTTTTTGTCGATAAAGTGTGGTGTTTCGTCCAAAATAGACAACATCGAAACATAAATTGCACCACACATTACTGTCCAAGGAGAGAGAAAAGGGAAACCAATAATCCTGAAGAAGCAAAAAAGATGAACTTTATGAGCATCTCTGGAATGCGTAAACGTGAATGTAGGATATCTGACCTTTCATTAGTATCTGACCACTCTAGCCCCAACACTTATACCCCTTTCCCCCTGCCAATCTCATTGTCATTCGCATTGTACCCCTCAACCTCAATCAGAAGTATAATAACAGTGAAGAGTGATGATAAAGTATAAACAAAGCACAAATGATGATAAACATCGCGCAGTTCGTCTTTTTTTTTTTTTTTTTTTTTTTTTTTTTTTCGTTTTTGATAAGATCTCCCTTCCCGCAAGAACCGGCTAGTTACACAGATCCTTTTTTTCATATGTCCCGTCTACGATTACAACAACGCTCAAACCCTGTTCTCCCTTTAATGCCTTATCAGTCTGCTGACCCACTTTCTTCTCTCCATTGTGTGTGTGCATGTTTGTGTATTTTTTTTTTTTTTGACTGGTCGCATCGCAAGTTTAAATAAAAAGAGCAATGACAAACATTACCTTGCGCGAAGTGCTTCTTCTACTTGCTCTTGCTCCTGTAAGGAATGATGTGACGACGATGCGGATGATGAAGAGGGGAAGCTTGTGTAATCTCCTTTCGCAGTAAAGGCGAAGGACCTGCCCTGGTGTATCTGTTGCGGATGGGATTGTGATGGCGGCTGCTGTTGCTGCTGATGTTGGAGTTGTTGTTGCTGATGACGATACTGGTATGGATATGGATGCTGTTGATGTGAGTGTTCATCTTCATAATGATAATAAGGGGGTGTATCGTAGATCATGTCGTCCTCACCATCCATATCAGAGTACTCAATCTCAGAGTAATCTTCTTCAAGAAGCTCCTTAGCAGAGAGAGAAATCCATGAGCCTTTTGTAGTCAAGCAATAGAACATATTGCAACAAACATGTTTAAACAGTAAAGTTTAAACGGTTAGTTTGAAGTATCACTCATGGCAAGTCATGGGTTGTGCGACACCTTCTTGTTCTTTCTTTTCATAAAAGAGAACTTGCCTTCACCGCAAGGTGACCCTGTGCCACTCAGTATTTGTAGCCTAGGTGAGCCTGTGGATGAGAAGCCCGGTTCATGATAGTCTGCAGTATCTGGAAAATAAAATGCTGGTGATGCCCGAGAGCGGTGTGAATTTTTGTTGGTATTGGATGTTGACGACATTTTAATAAAGATGTAGTTATGAATGTATGACAAATGTAAGATTTTATTTTGCAGGACGAGAGTATTGAAGAGTCAAAAGCACAAGGAGGATGAATGGATGGAAGGAAAGGAAAATGAAGGAAGGAGCAAGAAGAGAGAGTAAGGCAGTTTGGGCGAAGATGGGTTGGGGAGAGGGACGGGCAAGTATCAACTACGGTAACCAAGGCTGAGGTGACTGCGAATGTCTTGTATGTGAAGTGAGTAAGTGGCAAGGATAGTGTGTAACAATGGTGTGTAAAAAGATGAAGAATAAATAATGAATGAGTGAATGAGAAGTGAATGAGAGGTTGCAAAGGAAAAGGGACAAAGAACGTTTCTTATTTTTATAGTCCCCCCTTTTGCGTGATGTATGCACAAAGTCTTTGTTCCCTTCATGCCCATAATGACGACAATGATTCTTTCCTTGTCAATGTCTCTTTTGCAAAACAGCAATATAGCAGAGCATCTGACCCACCGCAGCACTCACGGCTTTGTGTCCCTGACCAACCAGACAAGCTTCTGGCTTTCTGCTGCCCCACACTTTTATTTTATTCATGGATAGCACGAGACTACCATTTCTCTTCCCCATCAATATTAAGCTGGAACCACTGGGCTAAGCTGGAACACATCCGCACAACAAAGAAATGGGCCATGCAAAATGCCATGCTTTTTTTTTACTTTGCTATGCTTCTTGCTCCGCTTTTTATTGTAATAATTGTGATTTACTTTATTTGTGCTACAAAGAAATTAGCCTTTCTATGCATTGTCATTGTCGCTGAATAAAAAAAAGTTTTTAAAATTCACATTTGTGGTGTATGCTTTACTTCTGTTATTTAATTCTCCACTTTTTTTGTTCTTTGTCCTCACATTTTCACTCATTCTCATTCTAATGTCATTGCATTTCTATTTTTTTTGACTTTCCACATATTTTAAATACGTATTTCAGTATCCCATCACCACAAATCCAACCCCCCTTTAGTCTTTTTTGTCGCACTCTCTTTCCACAAAACAAAGACAAGTAACGCTTGGCATTAAACAAAAAAATAAAAGTGGAATCAGATCATGCCATCCAGATTCGAATCTCAACACCAGACCAAAGCAATTCCTCTCGTCAGAGTTTCACTTGCGAGTGGACAGCTTCGACAGACTCGACCTCCCAATAATATTGACCGGAGCGTCGGTAAATACCAGGACGATCACGAACAGAATGGTCAGCAGCAACAACAGCAGCAAGAACACTCATCGTCACCATATGATTCTTTAAACCAGATCGATAACAGCGAACGAAGCAATGAAGTCGCACTAGCGATTCCTCGCAATGAGGATCTGACAGAAGCAGTGTTACATCTCTCACGAACTTTAGCTCATACGAAGTCTATCCCACGCCGCTCACCAAGTTCCTCCTGGCTCTTTATGATGATTTACAACTGGGCTCACACTCAAGGGACTGCAACACGGCTATACCATATCCTCTCGAAACCTATCACACTTATCAAGGAAATTCGGGGACAGAATGAAAAGGCTCTGATACAACGAGAAAAGAAGTTTGAAGTCAAGGGTATTCATCAAATTACAGAAGAACTAGATATGATGGAGGCCGATCCTGATATGGTTAATAGCGCTACTGAAATGGTCCCTGTCAGTATGATGAATGTCCACAGCGCTTCAATTATGAAAGAGTCCCTGCGGCAAGGAATGGATGATAATGACACGCAGACGACTGATTCGAGTGATGACAATGATGCAGTAACTTCAAGACAGCCTAAGCGCCAAATTAATAAGTATCCTAATCCGTTTGGGTCAGGTGTTTCTAGCTCGGATGAACTAGAGGATGATGAAGGCTGGTTTGGTCGTGGAGAGGATCGATCTAAGACAGGTCAGACAAAGACCAACTCTGTACGACTTACATCACCAAAGCTGTTGCATCATCATCAACACAATCGTCGCATTCCTGACTTCGCTACGTCCTCACTAGGCCGGGCTATGGATCATCGGCAGTTTGAGCGTGGAGAAGACATGAGGGACCAGCCCTCATGTTCTTCTCCCCTCAATGTATCCACAATCTTTAACACCTCGAGAGGCGCTACGTTTAATAATCCCTCGCCTACATTCTCGCGAGCTGGAGGTTTGGTGGATCCATGGGTCTCTGTTTCTTCTTCCTCAAGCCCCTCCACCTCATCAGTAACATCATTCTATTCGATGGAAAGATCTTCGCCTACCCCCGCTTCTTTGGAAAACTGGCAAGACCATGTACAAATGGGAATAACAAAAGCCCAAAACGAATCTAGAGAGAATAGATTTACACTGCCCCTTGAATCCCCACCATCACCACAGTCTATGGATTCCAATGACTTTGATTCTCAATCATTTCGAACCGCGCCTTCCTTGTATCTATCAAACGCATCAAATGCTAAGGACATTCAGCCAACATTCACCAACACTTCTGTTTTAGGTGACTCAATACTGTCATTGTCATCATCATTATCGTCTAGCATCCATACTCATGATCATGTTATATCATGTGAGGATGGTCTAAAATAAAGCAAACTGATTCGAATTGTGCAGCTTTTTCAAAACATATTCCTTTTTCATTCTTGCAAACCTTGAATTTTTCTTTTGTAACCATCCTTACATTCCTATACTCTATACTCTGATTGCCAGGAACTATGGACTCTGACAGAGATCACTTCGACTTACTCAATCTAGAATATCAGCAAGAGCTTTTCTTGGTCAATGGCTCGGGAAGCAACACAGTAGTGAATACAGATAATAGTTCTATATTCTCAACCACTCCTATAACTGATGCGGCTGTAACACCAGTGGTGCCAAATATTCAAGCTTCAATAACTTCACTCCGAGAACGCTTCTTATGCACTCATCCTTCGGCAGTAAAAGTCCGCAAGCGATACGAACAGGTACAATTCCACCGTTTCACCTGCTAAAAAAATAAATATAAAAAGCTCTAAGAGCTAAAGCGTATGCTTCTTTTTGTTACTTTTATGTATTTTATTCTTAAAAGAAACGATACCACCCAAGTCGCATCCATCCAGCTGATAAGCATGTCCTGCCACCAAATCCGGAACAATTACCATTGCAGGAAAGAGTCAAGTTGTGTTAGTAGAAAATGTCCTAGACCTTTATGCTTTTTTTTTTACCCTCTTCAAAGTATGCATGATTTAATGTTGAAGAAATGGTTTCATAGATCTTACTCAATTCCACATGTCCGACATTCGAAGGGCCATAGTTGAGTCTGTAAAAACTAAAGCAGAGGTACACATGAATATAGATAAAGCCCTCATCTCAAAATAAACCATCAAAAGCTTGAAATAACATCCTATTTCTATGTGGCGGATATATAGCTAGGGGCGACGATCTCCCGATTTGTTATCAGATTGAAGATTGATCCTATAGAGCTTTTAGACTTTTGTTCCAGTCTTGGAAATGACTTTTTAACTGACCCGGATTCTATCGAGCCTATTTTTCATTTAATCTGTTGGCAAATCCTACAACAAATACTCGGGGATAACTATCCACTCTTGTCTGAGCAAGTACATTTGTGCATGCGCCTCGAGCACCTCCCTAAAGCTTTTCAGAAGTATGCTTTTTTTTTTTGTTCTTGACTATTGTTGACGAGTAATATTTAGCTTACTTTTTTTTGTCCACTTATCTTCTTTTGATTAGATGTAACTTATCCAGCATTACGACTGCTTTAGAACAGACCCGCGATAATATTGGATACGACAACAATAGCTTTAATGGGTTTGTCGCAGTCACTGGCATCATAACGTCCATATTCCTTGTGGAGTATGTAATGTAAGTTTGTTACATGCAGATGGTCTGTGCGTAACCATACTAATGCATTGTAGTATGGACTACCTGCCAATTATTATTGACTTCGCCCAATTTTTTTTTAGATTTTCACAAACTTTCAAGTGTCAGAATCCAAAATGCAACAACAGGAACCATCTTCATTATTCTCCTTATTCCAAAGAATATCGCGTTATCAAACGAACGGCGGATGATGGTTTCATGGAGACAGGAACAAAGTAACCAATTATAAAGAAAATTTCACTGAGAATAAACCAGTCCATTAAATGATGCGTAACTCATTTTGCAACCCTATAGTGCGACCCTATTACAGATTGACCTCGCTTGCAGCCATTGTGGTAAAACAATGCCCGAGTCAGTACCTGATCGTGTATATATTAGTAAGCCTTTTTTTTTAAGTTTCAGGTTCATTTGATTAGTGCCTCGCAGCAGCAGTATAAAACCAGCTAACTATGTTTAATAACTATCGCCTTTGCCTTCAATTTCCTATTGACTTTCCTTTTTCGAATAGGGCACCAAACCATTTCTCTTGACTGCCTAGGCGCTAAGGAGTCTGGGGGATGCTTTACCAACCAAATCACGACACTTTTGAAGGGTAATATGATGCTTAGCTTACATGCTATTTTTTAGGCAAACAAATAGTGATTAAAAAGAATGTTTTCGAATATCAATCTCGACGTAGATGACTTAGCAGAAACAGTCTCTTTAGGCGAAACTGTCCAGATTGTAGGAAGAATATCGCGGACTGGCCCAAAGGAGACAGAGACATATGTGCACGGTGTTCATTTTGAGGTTAACAATATCTTCCGAGTAGCAGATCAAGGACCAGCGGGAATCCCGGACCGGTTTGCTACTATCATTAATAGTAGGTTGATGTTAAATAATAGTAAACAGATTTCAAATGTTTCCACCCTCGAGCTTCTATAGCTGACCAAGTACTTATTTTCATTAGAGAGCATGTCGGCATGGAATACAAGCCAAGCGATCGTGGATAATTTAGGTTAATCAATTGGCAAAGTATGAAGCTGAAAACTTCAAAGACAACGGCTAACCAGCTGATAATAGACCACATTGTACCTAGAAGTGTATATCGAAAGCTCAAGCTAGCACTTTTACTGAGGTAATTACGCTTTAAATATAATGATGGTGAAGCAGCGAATTAAAAAACATAATACAATCCATTTATTTTTAACTGATCAAAAAAAAAAAAAAAAAAAAATAGTGCCGTCTCAATTACCGATAAGAATGAAAGCGGGGGTAGCACTATTATGCAGAATAACAGGATGAGACAAACTGCTCATGTTTTAGTGGTCAACAATAGCTATGACACCGCAATCCCAGCACTTGTAGCTAGTATTGCCTCAAGCAAAAGGTAAACTGGAATCCATCGAGATATATGGCACCTGACATCGTGTCGCTAACATAGACTATGGAATACAAACCGCAGGCATGCTTTCTGGAACCATGGTGAGACTGCAGCAAGGAACCCACTCTACTCGATACGACAGCCGACGGAAAAGTGTTCAGGCAGTATCCAGTGTATGCACCCAATATACTCTTTTACATTTGCGATATGGAGCCGTAAGATTAAGCGATTGCTACTATGATACGGTATTTAGCAACTGTGCTCAGCACTGCAAAGAATGGGATTCTACTCTTTGATCTGGATCGATTGGATAAGAAAACTATCAACCACGTTGCACCGAGTAAGCCAAATTGCACAGGACTCACCCCAATACTGACGCCATTGTAGGTAGACAGCAGCATCTCATATGCACTAATATACCACTATTATAGTCCTTGAATCCACAGATGGAAATGACATTTTCATTCAATACAAGGACTGCATCCAAGCGCTTAATGCAACCTGTTGTTGCTGGGCAACTTACACTCGCATCAATATTGGCACTCCATGCAGGCTCAACAAGAATGAAATGGACCAGGGTGAAACAACGCGAGGCTTGGTGCGAAAAGTACCTTTCATTGAGTATGTCAATTGGGTTTAATTGTATAATTGCTCCAATTAAAGAAGCAAATTACTAACAGTAATACTCAATAATCTTGTGATTAAAATCCAGCGCTTTCGACATGGTAATTCTGCAGGATGAAGTCGAAGGAATTTCGAAGACGTCTCAGTTGGTTGCTGCACATACTATTCAAAAGCAATTTTTTAGCGTAGAAGATCAGGAGCGTAAACAAAAGTCTCTAGAAGAGTTGCAACAGGCATGGTTCAACAAATGTAGATTTGTATCCACTAGGAACCATGTTGTCACAGTTGGGATCCCTAGGTTTTGATGATGGTGTAACTTTTTTATCACTTGCTCATCAATTAGTACATTTGGCTCGCATCGAATATCCAAGTCAGAAGATCTTCAGAATGCGAAAATTTACTAACATCCTACTATCAAGTGATGCGCTCGAAAAACTCAGGGTTAGACAAAATTGAGTTGTCCAGTATCTCCACCATGTCAACTCTGCTGAAGCTGGCTTCCTGCCATGCCAAGGTTTGTTGTCCTCTCATCTAATGGAAACTGAATCTCCTTTGTTCAATTTAAAATATGCAAGTATCGGGGCTTGCTTATAAAAGCCCGGGTTTTCATGATAGCTCTGTTTCCGCTCAGTGGCTTCTAGAGATGATGCACTGGTCAGGTAAGGTATTGACAGGACACCATAATCTAATACGCTTGGCACGTTTGATACAAAGAATGTTGATTTAATTTTGTTCCTTGATAGCATCATGATGATAGAAGAGACACTAGCGGCGCGCTTTGGTAAGGCAATATAGGGCTGCGTTTTTCTAAGTTGACGGGATACTAGACTAAATTCATCAAATAATTTTGCTTACAACAAACAGGAACTTCACGGTTAGGATTTGTTCCTTTAATGGATGGCAAAGAGAATGTCACACGTCTATATGGTCAATCACAAGCCCTCGATAGAAATCCCACCGTATCCGTTGTTCCCTTGTTGTCTTCTATGGTGCGCTGAAAAAGAAGTCTGCTTCTCTATCGACGTAATGGCATATTCACCTCAGAAACTGATCGCACATCTATTCTGAAATCACCTTTACTTAAATCCAAAAAGGAGGATGATATGGACATAGACATGCAAGTGGTTGATTTCAGCGTTCCTATCACCATTGAAGAGGAGAGGAATATGGTCATTGAGCGCATGTGAGTGCCATTCGATGATTTGTTTATCTTTTTTTTCTATTCTTTTTTAAAGCAAAATGACCAATGCTGTCCTGCCTCTATTCTGTCCTCCTTAGGCACTCTCACTTGATGAGAATCATAACTGAACAAATGTAGCAATTACAATTATCTTCCGTATTCCTTATCACTGAGCAGAGAGTAATAAATCAGAACAGCATGGTTTTACAATTATTTTTTATTCGTTGAAGATTCCTGAATTCATGCTATTTAGTACTTATCATGAAGCCTTAATAGTTTATGAGATATACAAAGAAAAAAAAGTCCAGCAATCTAATTATCAATAAAACATAAAAATAGGATTTTAGTTCTTTTTTGTACACTTTTTGGCTTCATTTTTGGCCACTTCAAGACGTTGCTTCAATAACAGAGAAGGTTGCATCAGAAAGAAAAAGAATAATCCACATCGTATATTGAGAGTAGCGATTCATTATATTCATCGTTTGCGGTTACAACAATAAAAAATAAAAAGCAAGATAATGTTAAGGCTTTGCACATGTGTGCTATATAAATGTCCTTTCATACCTGTTGAAAGCTCTATGGAAAAGGATTAAAGAATGAATGATGTACAGAACGGAGGAATGAGATGAGGTTGATCAGGTCCTAAGAAAATTTTTTTATTGAAGTCTTTTTGATTACTTAAGGGTTTGTTATTCATTGATATATTGAAAGCAAAAAGGTATACAGAAAACTTTGCAGCTTCAGTATATGAATACCAAATATGCTATTCATGTCCGAGGCCTCGGTTCTTGGCACGGATGATCGCTTCGATGGGTTGTGTGATGCCCTCACCTGTCGCACCCAAACCGACTCCAGGGGTCCACCTATTTGAGACAAAAGTAACATATTAACACCTTTATTTTGTCTTTTTTTTTTTTTTTTTTTTTTTTTTTACAAAAAACTTACCCCAGCTTTGACAGCATGCGATGGCCCACATTATCAACAGAAATAGCAGATGCTGAAGCACCAACGATTGATCCGGGGACTGCCATGCTAGATCCGCTATTACGTCCTTTTTTGTTATTTCGGTTGTCCTTGTAGCCACCTTGACCTCCTCTGCCTCCTCCACTGTTCCCATTGTTCCCATTACCATGCTCATAGCCACTTTTGCGACTATTACTGCCTTGGAATTGAATAGAAAGTGCCTTCAACTCATTCTCAGATTGGTTCAAAAGCTTGTTAACATTGACAGGGTTGATAGGCATTTTGGTGCGATCAGTCTTGATCAGGATCGGGTAACGGCGCTTGCCAGAGCCAACGCTTTCAGACTTCAGATTGTAATGATTACACAGCAGATGGATCTTACGACGAAGAGGTTTGGGCATGGGAGGCAGATGCAGATTGTCACTACTACGGTCTTTGACAAAGTGCTCAATTTGCCTAAAAATGATAATAATACATGTTAAAATTTACATATTCACTTTTTTTTTTTTTTTTTTTTTTTTTTTTTTTCTTCGCTTACCGATTAAGATCCATAAGAGTTTCAAAGCTGCCACCATGAGGCTCCTTCTTTTTGTTACTATTCTTCTTCTTTTTTTGCTTGCCACCAGCCACGGAGCTTGCCAATAAAAAGTCATCATCTGAGTCATAAATGTCATATCCTTTTGCTCTCGACGCGAATCGCCTGCTAGCGCCATCACCGTCCTGGATGGCTCCAGATCGCCAAAGTGGCAGAATATTTTCTAGTTCATCACGAAGTAGGTCATCTACTTTGCGCCTCTGACGCTTATCACTCATAATAGAGACGCCCCCTTTCCTGAAGTCTAGCTTCTTGGTAGTACGGATATTGTCCTCATAATCTTGCTCAAAATCATAATCAAGCTCATCTTCATCGAAGTCGCAGTCATCATCCTGTTCAGTATCAAATCCGCCGGATACCTGTTGCTCATAATCGGAGTCATCCGGTTCCAAGCCGCCTATGTCTTTTGAATGTCCATTTCTGCCTGTGTGAAGCCCCTTCAAGGCGCCGAGCAATGACTCCAATTGGCCTAAGCTTTCTGCATCTTTGGTATTCTATTTGGAGTCCGGTTGGCGTAGGAAGAGAAAAAACTTACATTAGGCCCTAGACTTGGCAAGGGAGAAATCAAGGATGTAAAATGATAAACCAACGTTACAAAACGAGATGGCCTTTTTTTTTTTTTTTTTTTTTTTTTTTTTTACCGCAATATAGTCCTGGATTGCCGACATGTCATCCTCCTCCTTCTCATCTTCGCTCAATCCCTCCAGCATCATTGGGCCATCATCATCATTCCCTACAATCATCTGCTTATTCAACTGTCTCTCTTTTTGGTTTCTACCACCGCGCTTTGATCGGTGCGCTTTCTTCTTTGGTTTTTCTGTGATTGGCGTTACCCGCGGGTCTGAGGACGCAATGGTTTCCATATTTGCTAAAGCTTCCTTGTTTTTGACTTTGTTGTTACTGTTGCTATTATTACCTTTATGGACTCCATCGCTGAAAGTTGATGTGACTTTCACTTCGACTGCTTGTGTACATGATTCCAACAATGCTCCATCCTGTACGGTTTCCAGCTTGCTGGAAGCCACCCCTACCACTTCAGCTTGGACTTGAGCCTCGTAGGTAGTTTCCGAAATAGATTCGGATAAGTTTTCAATTTCATCCGCATGCACTTTGATATTCCCTTCTGCCTCTATCGCTTGTATCAGTTCTTCGGATTGTGTCATGGTTACATCCAAAGCTGAAATCGCAAGTGGCTCCATATATTCACCAAGAATGTCTGCAACGGCTTGCTGGGCTTCAATCCGCTGTTGCTGTTGCTGTTTCTGTTGCTGTTTATGATGCTCCTGAGCATCTGTCTTTGAACTTGCCCCATTACCAATCTCGTGTTCATTATCTTCCTCAATCCAATTAAATTGCTGCATTAAAAATTCTTCATCAGATTCATCTAGCAAACATTTCATTATGAGGGGGAAAAGAAAAGGAGCGTCAGAAAATAGTTCTGATTCGCTAAGTACGGTTTTTTTTTTTTTTTTTTTTTTTTTTTTTGCTACTGTTTCTATTAATTTGAACTCAATAAGGCTGATTTACCTTCATCAACCTCTCGGTTGATCAGATCATCACTGCTATCGATTTCCGATTCATATTCGCTGCGTTGATCACTCTCATTATTCTCTTGCTTTTGACACTGATCCTGATCCTGATCCTGATCCTGGTTCTGATTATAATCCTCATCCTGACGTAGTACAGTTGGGTCCGTGAGTGAGGTAGCTCTGTTGAAAACGACGCTCCTTGGTTTACTATACTGGCTAGCACCCTTCGAGGACTCCCCTCGACTGTTGAAAGTCCTGTTGTTACGGATATCATTGCTTTTGTAGTCAGAAGGTGGTGGCCAGAAATGGTGCTTTGATTTTTTGCCATTTCCATTTTGTTTTGGTACTGGACGGAATCCAATAAAGCCGAGCCCTTCTCGGTTTCCAGATGTTGACTGTAATATTCCTTCATTTCCACCTTTGCGACCGGCCTTAGCCCGTTGAATACGGCTATAAATCTCCTCCTCTGTTGAGCGTTGTCTCTGTTGATGTTGATGATTCCCTAGAAAGACATTTGCAAAAACAAATTCGAAAGATTGATCCGCCCACAGAGAAAAGATCGAATGTCAACAATAATAAGAGAGTTACAGGGTATCGAAAGATCGAGTAGATCTATTACTGAGCGGGGACATCACAATAATAATAATAAAAATAAAATAAAAAAGGATTTTTTCTTAGGCTATTCAAGTGAAGCACATACGGCCAACGAGAGAAAGATAGTCGTCGTTATCATCGTCATAGAGATCAGCACATTCAGTATTGTAGCCTCGCCTTGAGTTTTTGCTTCCTCGTGCTCCACCTCGAGAAGACTGTGAGTTAAAGTGGCCGCCTCGTTTTCCTTTATCGCCTCCTCGTCCTGATTTGCCACCTCTTCCTGGCATGATATTGTATTAAGCTTAAGAGTTTTGACTGTTTGGGCGATAAATCTGATTATACGGGCAGTAAACCAATAAATATTGGTTGTTCAGTGTGATTGAATGAAGGAATGAGGATCTAATTCAAGCGAAGTGCATCAACTTCTTTATAGGCTGCTTTGGGCTTGACCCTTCTTTGGTTTTTGTCTCAAATCCTTGGTTAACTGCGGCGGTCATGTGATACCGCAGTTTAGACAAATCATTGAAATCACACGCACGTACATGTACACAATAAGTACACACCGCACAACCATCTTTTAGTTCTATTGTCCTGCGGACGCAGTAATTGAAGTATTTGTTTGTGATTCATTGTCCTTCACAGCTGTGGAAAGCAGTATGTATATTTTATACAAAGCATAGGCATGGTCAAAGAGTGTTCTCCTCACTCAATTGGCGGTACCAATGAGTCTCTTTTTTAAAGGAAGTTAAAAAAAAAGCTTTTTTTAGGCAACAACGGTACTTCAGGCAGACCTACTCATCCTATCCTCAGAACCACATGCTGTCAGTCTCCCTCTTAGGAAGTCAGTTTTTTAGGTCCGTCATGGTGATTTCCACAAGTTAGTGCTTTCGTATGATAAAAGCCAAACCTAACAAATCTATTCCAAGAGACACCCTGGCTCAGTCTGTGAGGACCCCTGATAACACTTCTTCCTGAAAATAGCGTTTAATTCTTGCTCTTCTTGAACTGAACATGTGCTTGCTGCATTGTGCTTTTTTTCTTTTGCGTGTGACCCATAATGAGGGTTTCTCGTCAGTTTCATAACTTTCATTGATCCTTGTTTCAGATTAATTCTTTTCACTCAGTTCTGTTGGTGTTACTATTCAGGGCATCAACAACGGAAAATTAATCAAGACAGTTCAACTTTATGCTCCCGAGGTCCACAGGATAAGCGTAGCGCTCTCTGGTGACTGTAACTCCAAGGGAGTTAATCCTAGAGTCACGAAGTAAAACTATTGAAGCGAGCCGTAAAAAGCGTTTCTAAATCTTTTATTTATTAAGAAATGTCACTACTATACTAATAAGATATTTCTCTGCTTTTCCTATTGTGGGGATATATAACTAGGCCTTCCCCATCCGCTTCATTGACAGAAGATATTAAAAGATAATCAATGTTATTGCCTCAATAGTAAGAACAAACCATCGTCCTCTCCTTCTCCTCTCGTAAATGCTCCATCAAACATTTCAAAGAGATTTTGGAATCTACTGGTCGGCCCATAGCTACATCAATCTCCAACAAGCCATACTTTATCAGCCCGGTCTGTACTGGGACATCCGCTATCGACAAGTACTTATTACACTCGGATTGTGAGAAGAAGCCGATCCGGGCAATGTTGAACAACTTCTCCCACACTATCAAAAAGCACACATCGAAGCCTTGATCAGCACCAAGAATGATGTAATACCAAGATGACAGATGTTATCGAACTTCAACGGAGGAAGGTTGCTGCTATTAAAGACCCCGTTAGACAGCTACTTTTAGCCAACATGATCTCAAAGATGCAAACATCTCACTGAGATGAAAGCCAGGGTAGTGTACCTTCTATCCGGTGTCTTCTAAGGTACCAGAGGGAGCAGAGAGCTTCTCCAGCGCCGAGTAATATCACAACACAGGGGATTTTTGAGAAGATACAATGTCTTCATAACAAAGATGATGTCTTGCCATTCACCGATGATATACTAATACGCAAAAATAAGTTGAGATCATCTATCAGCTTACCTTTCTCTTTTATCACTTAGGAGCCGTCTTTGTAGACACTGATCAAACTTGACATAAATTAAGCTCCCGTCATCACATATCATTATTGCGTATACTTTTTTTTCAGTTCGATTCCTTATTGAAACAGGTTTGTTTTTATTGCAGGCTGGTCATGGAGGTGAAAATCGGAAACATCAATTTTTTGCTCCCTTGCCTTTGACTTGCTTATATCAAAGTCCATGCCCCTAGATGCCACGACAGCAGTTTCGTGGAGCAAGCCTTCTCCTGAAGCAGATATGAAAAGTAAAATCATTAAAAATCATCTGGAAAATGCTACTTTTGTATTTTATTCTTCATTTGGCATACCAATCAACAATGCCCTGCTTGGGAAAGATAGTTCGGACTTCGGGCTGCCGCATACTATGATGCTAAGTAATAACGTCGAATAGACAAGCGACAACTGTAAAATATCCGTGATTTGCTATGGGTAGATGTGAAAAGGCAAACAAGAAGGAAACCAAACCTATTTGCATACCCCCACTCAAAGTCCAGTACATGGAGAGCACTATTGGTGTACAGGCATCCTTCAATTGTCGACAAAAGGCCGTCATTCCCTGCAGACCCTACCATAACCAGTACCCTGTGGTGCATTTCCAAGCCTGTTATTCGATGGCTGTGCAATAACCATTTCCTTTATGCAATTATTTTATTGCCCTTCGAACAGACATTTTGGCAGACAGAGCGCATATCCTTTGCTTAGTGGAGAGCAACCTCACCGAGCAACTATGCGTACTGTTAAGTGTCCAACAGTTGCCACCCTGGTGTGGTACCAGAGATGATCAAAATTTCTTATTTGGTCAGGACGGAGCACGACATTGTGTATATGTGCTGTCAATATATATTTAGGTGTAATATGCAACAGCACTCACACATATAGACAGGCAGCATCTTCTTTCTAAAAAGCATCAAAGATGGATGCATTGCTGCTGAAGACAAATGTATTGATCCGGTATCAAAACTTACAATATCCAGAACAGTCTAAAGTCCATTATCTTAGGAACAATAAACACTCACTAACTCTCTATTTGAATTATCTATCAAATAATGGCATGGTGCAGATGTACAGAAGTTTTCCTCGGAAGACAACCAAAATAGGTTCTTGACAATGCTCGACAACCTCATTTTGTTCGGTTGCTCTTTCGGAAAGGATTCGTCCAGACCCCCGAGTACTTCGAACAGAACACAGAGTTCAATATTAATGGCAGTATCGACAGTAAAGGCCTAGGCGGATACCAATCATTCTTAATACTTTGGCATGTGGCTGGCGGGACTAGATACTCTTTTCGAGGCGGAGCTATAGCCTATGGTGTAGATTTTTTTGCGCCATGTTTTTCAACCTTAACTGAGTAGTATCGTGTCTGTTCTCACCGGATTTTCTCCAATTAAAAAGATTGGATGATGGCTGAAAATAATGGTTATCAGAGAGCTGCGATTATCTACTGTTAAGGCCATTATTATTATTGCTACAGGCGTTTCTGTCATAAAGATAGAATCTGACTTAAAAGGGTTAATAATGGCAAGACATTAAATTGGTTATTCACCCCATGCTTCTCCTTTGTAGCAAGCTCTTAAGCACCTCCAAAAACGTGAGTGATAATGACGGACACAGCAATAAACTGAATGCAGTTTTAGATACTCAGAATGAACTTTGTTCTACGATTAGCAAACTTTTTATATTAATAAACGCTATTTTCCCAACGAGTAAGGGTCCCATACAATCAACTGCAGTAGGCCTCCATTGGGAAACATGTCTGTTCTGAAGTTCTGTAGTTTCGAAGAAATTGGTATGGAATGGCCTACATAGACGACCGTTGACTGAGGACATGTCATTACATAACTCATTAAACGGACTTTGAAAGGTTAGAGAATATCAGTGCACGTGTTGGTCACTGGGCATTCCCCGATACAGAACTGAATCAACGATTTACATCAAATCCAATTGCGTTCGAGCGTAAATGAAATTGGACGCGTTCTGTGTCTTTACCTAGGCATTTGATATGGTTGAAGTTTTAGGGAAGGAATGATATCCGCTCTGTTTGATTAGCCGCTCTTGTCTATATGTTTCTGCACCAGACATGGTTCTTCGGGCATCTCTGTCACTCTTCTACATATATATTTTTTCTTTTTGCGTCTTTGCGTATACATTGCGACCTCCATTGTAAAACAAGCAAAGTCGGACATTCGATCCTTTTTGCTCATTCCTTTCTCTTTCTCTCTTTCACTCTCTCACATACAGTGTCTGTCATTTTATGTTTTTTTCTCACAATTGAATTCCTTTTCTTTTCTCAAGCATGGAGGTTGATGCGCTTACGACCGTGTTAATTGCTGCCATTACACTTTTTCTGGCATACATTCAATTCAATAAGAGTGAACCTGACGTCCATCCTCTTGTCCTGCAACAACAGTCCACCCCTACTCTCATTCGAAACGAAGGCGAGTCTGTCATCTATCGATCTAAATTTATATCTCACACAGCACCGTTATTGAAGCTGCCTAATGAAAGTAGGATCAATACCTTATACGATGTCTGGCAGGCAGGACGAGCCATTGATCCCTCTGCAGTGTCATTAACTTTCTTGCTCCAGAACCAGTTTTATCTTGTGAATGTAATATTAAGACATTGAGAGGAAAGATGTTTTGAGTGTTTTTTTTTTACATCTTCATCAATCTAAATTATTTATTTTATTTATTATTTTAGAATACATATGGTACGTACTTTTATGTCTTCTTTCTTGTCATCAGCCTCGCTTGGATCAGAGTTAATGTTTTGAGTAATAAATATATGCTTACTCTTTTTGGCTCTTTAAAAGAACAAGCCGAGAGGAGGATCAGTGGATTCGGATCAGGATTCGTTTCATTGACAGGTCTAAAGCCTAAAACAGAGACACCTGTCGGTATTATGGCTCCTTATTCACAAGGTAACAAAAAAAAGAAAAGAAAAGAAAAGAAAAAAGAAACGACTGTATTAGTAGGTCATATCCAACACTAAAATCTGGTGTTTTTGATATCAGAATCCTTCATTGCTCAACAGGCCTTCTATCGATACAGCTTTGTGGCAGTTCCTATCCATGATTTGAAAAATATTGATCTCTTGATCGAGGTTGTCAGCCAAACAAAGCTCAAAGCCATCATTGTCTCTCAAAAGGCTCTCCCTTCGTTACTACATGTATTAAAGGAATGCCCGAGTGTTAAAACCATTATTGTCGCCGGCATATACATCTCTGCCGAGCAAATTAAGTTAGCAACTCATTATGGTGTTAAAATCACAAAATTTTCCTCCCTGGAGTATAATGGATCCTTGGACCCATTGGAGCCTATCAAGCCCGGTAACGATTTCCCTATATTTTTTTTAAGGAAAAATGTCACGCATCGTGAGAAAATATGTGTTAAACTATTGATGTCATTTTATCATTCATGGTTTCAAAGCTCCTGATGATATTGCAATGATCAACTTTAACACCAAGTCGAACTCAGTAAGTTGTAGTTTTGTAAACATAATGCAAACTTGATTTTATGCATTGTAGCTTTGGTCTGACTTTGTCTATTCTCTCTGATGTTGAATGTCCAAAATAAGCTGTCAAAAGGTGTCGTGCTCACGCACTCAAACTTGGTGGCAGCCATGGCTGCATTCTCGGCGTCGCTTCCTGCAGGCAAAAAGTTTACTAGCAAAGATCGTCTACTCTCTCATTTCTCCCATGGGGATGTCATTGCCATTTGGCTATCAAGTGCCATCATTTTGACGGGAGGTTCCCAGATTTTCCCGTCAGGCCTTATGAAGAATGTTCTTCATGAGGCGCAGGCCTCCATGCCCACAATTTTTGCTAGGTAATGCTTTTTTTTTTTTTTTTTTTTTTTTTTTTTTCTTCTTCTTCTCCTAATTATGCAATCCGGATGGTATTTGCTTAGTAAGCAACTGCGTTTTTTTCCTTCTCCTTGTAACATAGCGCACCTATAACGCTTGAAAAGATTCATCAAGCACTACAGTTGACATACGGAAAGGGATTTCTATTTAACCGAGCATATGCAGCTAAGTTAGCCTTGCTTCGGGCAGGTCGTATCACTACCACCAGTCTATGGGACTTTGTTAAATTAACAGAGATCAGAGGCAAACTTGGAGGGAAAGTTAGGATGATGGTTACTACAAGTAAGTTTCATGAAATTTGCTTTTGCTTTTACTTTCCTTTTTTTTTTTATGATACAAATAATCTAAAAAAAAAAAAAAAAAAAAAAAACATTCTTAAAAAGATCCTACGCAGCAGGAAACACTTGATTATATCAGGGCCGCCTTAGGCATTCATGTTATTAGTACATATGGCAGAACAGAGACATCGGGCCTGACATGTTGCAGCAACATTTATGACTACTCAAGTGCTCCTACTCTTGGCGGACCTGTAGGCTGCAACGAAATCAAACTGATCGACTATGTTGAGGGCGGATACACCAGCTCTGATGCACCCTATCCACGCGGCGAGGTGGGGAGAAAACAATGTCTTTAATTTCATATTGCTTTTAGACTTTGTAAAAAATGACCCATAGGTCTTTTTTAACATTTATGCAACTTTTTTGATAGATTTTGATTCGTGGGCCAAATGTGATGAAGGGTTACTACAAAAAACCGAATGCAACGGCTTCAGTGCTGGATAAAGATGGCTGGTTCCACACATCAGAGCTTGGAGCTTTCCACGATAATGGCGCCATAGAATTATTAGGAAAGAAAAAAAGGACCAGGGTATCTTCTTTATCTACAACGGACTCGTCCTTGTCATCTGGATCTGGACAATGAGAATGCAAGTGGTAGTTTTTTTTTTTTATTTTTATTTTTTTATACCCTGTATTTACAATTGGTGGATAGAGTAATGATACAAAAAATGATGGCTATACTTTACTTCAATGAATATGTTCAAGCCAGAGTTTAAAATTAAAATCTCGCAATGATGTTCGTGTTCGCTTGGAACGACAGCTTTTATTTATAATCGATAGCCATTTCCATACTATTTCCTATGTACAACACCTCTCAAGAACTTTAAAAAAAAAAAAAAAAAAAAAAAAAAGAGTACAGCATGGCATAGTAAACGAGTGCATATCCACAGAAAAGCAGGAGCCCTTGAAGCATGGGCACATGTGGAGAAGGAAAGGGGAGAGACAAGAAAGGGGTAGATCTTGTTAAGGAGGGAGAGAAAGGGGTGGTAAAATAATAATAAAGAGCAACCAACTCTTTTGATCTGGCAGTGGTTGGTGGTCAGTCATTCATCACCTTTATTCTTTTTTCCACTCCTTCTTGCTCTCTCTTATTCCCCGCATGTCTCCCTGATTTGCGTCTTCATTGTTGCTCATGCATGGAAAATAAATGTCAATCCAAGCGTATTTAGCTCGCTCAACTTTTATGGTTCAGAATGACCTTTCAGAGTGGAAAAGATAAAGACAGACAGACACCTAGACTATTCATTTCAGTGTATCTTATGCAAATAGACGAGTGTAAAAAAGAGGAGAGATGTACCTGAAAGGAAATACATGGAACGCGTAAGGACAACTGTTGATACAGTTTAGTCCATGCGGATTTTGATTATTAACATGGCATGCTCAGCTTTCTTTATTTGATGATTTTTTATATTTGCTCACGACATCTTGCATGGTCATTTCCTTTTCAGAATTGCTGTGGCAAATTGTCATACAAATCGAAACGGAAAAGAACATTTTTTTGTAAAAGATGGGAAGCATTGTTTTGTTTAATAATTTTGTGGTTTAGTGCAGCTTTTTCTTTTTTATGGAACGTTGACAGGAATACCTGTGGTTAACTTTTTAAAATGAGGAAGGGATAAAAAAAGAACGAGAGAGAGAATGTGTGTATAATCGTCGATGTTGCGCTCTGAATAAGGTACCGTCATAGGCAAGGTAATAGACATTTGTGAGATGAACGATCCTTAAGGACTCGGTCGTGGCAATTAGCACGACAATCCGACAGGTGTCCTACCAGATTGGCAGAAAGATTTGTATGATTTTATGTAATTTGATGGAGCATTGGACGTTTTATTGGTTTCAAAGTGATAAAGTGCATGGCATGAAACGCAGTGGCCCATTTTCATTTATGAAAACTTTACTCTTCTAACTTGTCTCTTTCTTCACTCCCTTACTGCCTTGTTGTTGTTCTCTCTTTAGTTCCTCGACTCGACGTCGGCATTGCAGCCCCACTTCATCATCTATAAGGGGTGTTCCTTCATTCTTTACTTTTCTTATTACCATTTTATTCTTTATTGAACGCTTTATTACCTTTTGCTCGTTTCATACCTACATTCACATTCACATTCACACATTACACACACCCACTTGGACATTTCCTTAGAGTTTACTTACATTGAGTATTAACCTGTTGATCATTCCCCACCCTCTCTTTTACTCCAGAGACACAACAACCATTATCGTCTATTGTTTGTGCTTGTCATATTGGTCTTTGAGTTGACCTGTTGTCCCCAACTTTCTTCTGAAGAGCTGGGCAGACCCCTTCCTCTATTCCTTCCTTATTTCCCCATTTTGCTGACCCGTTTGAACACTCTTTATTACCTCCGTTGCTCACTGTCCTTAATAACCTAACGTGCTGTTGCATGGAGTAAAACCCCTTGGAGGATCCTGTGTGGTTTATTTAGAACTGTGAATGTCCAGGTCCGTCTCCCACGAATTTTACGCGTTTTTTAACAATAATCGCAATTCTCCCTCCCGAATCCTATTTTTCTTTCCATCCCTTTTAATAGCTTCTATCTTTCCTTACCACTACCCCTTCATTCTTGTTTTCCCTACTCTTTCTTCGTCCGGTTAGTTCCCTAAGAGTAAAAGAGATAGACAAAAAAACGAAGCATCCCCATTTTTTTTTTTTTTTTTTTTTTTCGCCTAAAGATTTGAACGTTCTGAACTCTGTTGAGTGCTTGTATGTGAGTGGGAGAGGTACACTGATCATGGATGTCCCCATAGCAGAGCCTCCTCAAGATGCCGATTATTTAGACTACAAGGACCTGACACTACCACTCGATCCAAACATTATCTTTGAGGCATCGCCTGCTGATCTACAAAGTATTGTCTATGTCAAGCGACAGCATGAGCTGCTGGATGGTGCAATCCATGGTTGGATACGCAAAGCTCGGGAATGTTTATCAGGTATGATTCAAAAAAAAAAAAAAAAAAAAAAAAAAAAAAGAGAGTTTGGTCGAAAAGTATGAACTGCTTATCAATGTCAACATTTTATAAACTCACTGATCTTTCTTACTGGTGTTGTTGTCGCTAAAATGAACCGCCAAATATTTATTCGCCATTGTTTTACGTCTTGGAAGGTTCTACAACAGATCTCCGAGCGCAGATTCCACTGTTGGCCCAAGGAGCAGCTCGAGGGGCTGATGGTAGCATTTTGGAAGGTATGTTCCTCTAATAGATCCAGAACGATGACAGCCTCTTAGATGTAGGATATTAGGGGAAAGTGTCCATTTCAATCCTTAGCCTTATCAACTGGGAACGGGAGTTTTCCAAATATCCATCGCCATGTAATTTTTTCGGATAAGGAAAGCCTAACTTTCTTTTTCTATACAATGGCAAATATATTGTGCGATTTTTCATACTTTCTTGAAAACACAAGTCCGAGGGAATAACTGGACACATCAACAGCGCCTCATGCAAGCACTCTTCTCAATTGGCCCAGAGCTCCAAAAATGCCAACCACAGGCACTTCCAACTATTCTGGAACAACTTGCTCCAATGGTCCTTGGTAAGAGCATTAGCTAAGCTCCATAATATGGAATGTTGCGTGGATCTTTTCATTTCTTGTACTTTAGAACTTTGGAAAATTCGCGCATTGGGACACAATGAATTCCTGATTTTAGTTTCGTAGTATGAACTCATTATTCACACCTACAAATATTTAGATCCAGTCCAGGAATGCTGCTTGACAATTGAAAAAACCATCAAGGTGAGGGAAGGAGAGTTTAAACTTGTTGTAACCTTCATTCGCATGTTCCACATGTGTCTAGCGCAGCCTTTTAATCTGTTTGTAACTTTTTTCTTTTCTGATTAGTCAACTAAGCTCTATTACCGACAGGCCATTAAATTATACGAGAATGCCATTCAAAAATACCATGCAATGCCAAGGAAACATAGAATGAATAGCGCAAGAGAGGTACTGGGAAAAGAGAACAGCCTGTATGTTTGTTGTCTTAACGGACTGATGGAGCCATTGTACTTTTTATATACATTTATAAATAATCAATTTGATTAAGCTTCCTTTTTTTTTTTTTTTTTTTTTTTTTAATATTAGCCTTGCCCAGAAGCACATTTGGTTTTTGAAACTAAAAAAGAGATGTGTAAGGCTTTGTACGCGCTCAGTGGGACACTGAATCATGCCATCGCATTCAAAGAGTCATTCATCCTTGAAAAGGTAGCTACGTGAAGTCCGTGGACTTTGCTTTTTAATGATATTTTACATCACCAATAATGAAAATCTAAGCTATCCCACAATCTCACCATGCCAGTCTTTCATTTCCTATTACTATGTTTGTGATTTTTTTTTTTTTATTTTCTTATCGCATGGCACTAGACAGACGTATTTATCAGAGCATTGAACGCATGGTATGCCTCAGGAAAGACTGATACAGCGAGTATAAAAAGTGTTTTTGAAAAGCCGCGACTTGAGGTAACACATATTCTTAAATGAATCATTTTTCTTTAAATGAAGCCTATGTTCCACAAAGCAAATTAACATTCAATTCATAACAAATTTCCTCTCGTGTGTGTTGAAACTAGACATATCGTTTTAGTGCTCAAATGTTCCCTCCGCTCAATTTTCCACACGAAGAATTTGAGGTAAAAAAAAAAAAAGGAATAGCGACAATAATACAAATACACTTGTGTTTTTTCAATGATAACTATGGAGGACGAAAGAGAGACTAATATGAATGTGGTCCTATCTGTTTCCTCTTTCAGAGACACTTTTCAAAATACTGTCATTCACTCATGTTACCTATCACTTACCGTGACCTTGAAAACTTTGATCCTGTGAAACCAGAAGATGGTATAAAATCGGGGTACCTGTTCCATAGGAGCAAAAATGGGGAATGGAGTCGACAGTACTTCTATACTGATAAGCGAGGCATGCTAATGCAGTTCTCAAAGGGAAAGGTACACTATTCTTGAAGTTTTTTTTTTTTTTTTTTTTTTTTTTTCGGAACACGTCCTTGTACTTTTTTATTCTAATATCAGATGCCGCTATTGCTGCAAGAGTAGGATATCCAAGTAGCGAATCTAAAGCAGACACTCTTACGGACGGTCAATGTAGATCAAAGGGACTTTGTATTCGAGATTTGTTCAATAGAGATTTATCTGATGTATGAAGTGCAAAACAGCAAACAGCAGTACTCTTTTTTTTACTACTATACCTTCCTTGTTCACTATTTTATGACTGTAAATGAAAAAGAGGGAAAGAGTGGTGATCATGGATGGGCTCAAGCTCAGCTCATTTCCTCCTCCTATTATGAATTTTAGGGAATCAATTTTGCAAGCAACTACAAAAGTTGACTTCGAGGAGTGGAAATCAGCTTTATTTTATTGGCATCCACCAGACGATCAAATCCCACAAATCGATGCCCTCAAGATTAACTCTCCGCCATTAGTAGGTGTAGCAATAGTCTTCTTTATTTAAAGCTCTATCACTTCTCTTTGCATTCCATCTGGCACCTGAAAGGCACTAAAGCAACTTTGGCTTTGAATGGACGATTGGTTCTCTCATCCTTTTTAATACAACAGAAGCCCGTGTTATCGCGCCCTCATCATGCCAGTACTGGACGACTTTCAGAGCAGTCTTTGGTTTCACCAAAACCCAGGATGTCTGCTGAATTCCCAATCATCATAAAAGGCGACCTTTTTGTGTTAGGTAAGCGGCCTAGAATTCTTCAAATACCTACGATTCTCTTTTTTAAAAAAAAAAAAAAAAGAGAATCAGGAAAGGTGGCGTTTGTGTTAATTGAGAACTGTGATAATACCATATTACAGATTTGCGGTCAAAGCCTATGCATTCGCAAAATAAAGTCGGTACCTGGAAGCGAGTAAATTGTTGCATTCGATCCAACGGCCATTTTGCGCAATATAACATTGGCGAGGTAAAAAAATTATTTCTACCAGAAATGAGGTCAATTTCGGTCAATTTCGGATGCATTTTAATATTTTTTTTTTTTTTTTTTTTTTTTGTAAGAACGACACCCCATTTGAAACAATACCCTTGGCTGATACGCTTCGAACACATATTTGGGCATTGGACAGCAGTTTGTTTTTGAAAAAGCACTGCTTCTCAATAAAATCACCAAACGATGTAAATTATTACACAGTCTCGTTGAGACGGTCGAGTTCTGATCAAGAGACCTTCAACAAATGGCTTTATGCTCTCAAATCCTTTGCAAAGCCCGAAGTCTTTGGCGCGAGTGAGCTCCTGGAATATCGTCTTTTCAGGACATTTTCAATTACAGTCAGTGATGGAAGGGGGCTGCCAAAGGATTTAGAGGCCTATTGCGAAATTATGTTAGACGACCAGAGGAGAGCTCGCACAAGTACGCGCCTGAAGGCGTCTCGGAACTCGGATCCTGACACTTCTTTCTGGCGGGATGATTTTGAGTTCACGTAAGTTCAATTAATAAGTAATACACCTATAGGGATTTTTGAGTCCACGGAAGAAAATAGTTCTCATTGTGTTTTGTTATTTGTCAATCTCTTCTCTCTTTTTATATACATATCAATTTACCTATTCACATTTAATAAGTGACCTGGCAGCATTTACGAAAGGAATTACGATAAATGTTATCCAAGTAAAAGGGAGCAAGCTGATCCCTTTTGGAAGGACTTGCATCCCACTTCGAGATAGCCAGGAATGCGACGAAGGCTGGTATCCAATCATGAACATGAATGGTCGATCCCGATCTGAGCATCTGGGCGACCTTCGACTGAAGCTCAAGTATGAGGAGCAGTTCGTATTGCCTCTTGCCAACTACTGTGATGTATTGGAGGTAAGCGCACTAGCGATAACTCAAACAATGATCACAACAGTAAATTGTCTTACATAATGCACGTTTTTTTTTTTTTTTTTTTTTTTTTTTTTCAGCGCACTATCTTTTCATCTCATTGACTTTGGCTAATATTCTTTCATTAGATCATTGTGAATTTTCAAGAGAATAATGTCATATCCAAGCTCGCGGGGCTTGTGACGGACCTTGAAGGATTCTCCAAAAATGTGCTCCGCATTCTTGAGGGAAAAGGCCTTGCAGTTGTATGGCTCAACTCTCTGATTGATGAGGAAATTGCGGAAGCCGATCCATGTGAGTAGAAAGCTTTAGCTGTATTAAATTGTTTTGGCTATTACCTCTCTCTTTTCTTTTCCTTTTTAATATTCCCAGGATACTCACGCTTTATTTTTCATCTTGTTAATGGACTACTCTAGCTCATGTGAACACGCTATTCAGGTATTATAACTTGAAGACATGTTGTTGTAGCAATTGTGTTGGTTACATTTGAATGTATTTCAGTACCTAATTTTTTTTTTTTTTTTTTTTTTTTTTTTTTATTTGTATGTGCCGGAACCTCATCACTACCTTAGAGGAAATACCCTCCTGACAAAGGCATTGGATGCCTATATGCGCCTTGTAGGAACAGAATACCTTGATGATACATTGGGAGATATTTTGCGGGACATTTGCAAAAACAAGGTAGCCTGTGAAGTTGATCCTTCCAAGCTAGAAAAGAATGATGATCTCAAGACGCAGTGGAAAATACTGAAGCATCACACCCGTGTCTGCTGGGGTGCAATTACTGAAAGTGTCCATAATTTTCCAAAGTAAGTTCTCAGCATGTGCTTTGGCTTTTTTAAAGAAAAAAAAAAAAAAAAAAAAAAAAAGTTAAATAGTATCCACTTTTTATTCTTCCTCTAATCATGCTACTATTATCTCGTGCTTTACCAGGGAGCTACTGCTTGTGTTCTCACATCTCCAAAAGCGGCTCACAGAAAAGTTCTCGGTTCGTAGACCATCGAATAAACTGGACCCAGAGTCCGAGTTAGCTGATTTAGCACGGTACACTGGCGTCAGCGGATTCGTCTTTTTGCGCTTAATTTGTGCTGCGATCCTTACCCCTAAACTCTTTTACATCGTGAGAGGTAACCCATGTTTGGTTCTACATTCTTCCTCCTCCTTTAATCGTCTGGCTGCTAATCAAGATCCATGAATGCTTTCTATATTCATTTATGATATCGTTCCTAGAACATCCTGAAGCCCGTGCCCATCGAACGCTGACATTGATTGCCAAGTCGCTTCAGGGTTTAGCGAATCTCGTTATGTTTGGAATCAAGGAAGCGTGGATGGTTCCTATGAATGAGTTCATCGCAGTAGGTTACAAAAAAAGTATTGTGTATTACAAATACCTTAAAAAGAAGTAAAACTGCCAATGTATATTGACGTTCAACTTCCCCTTTGCTCTCATTTACTTTACCAACATAGGAAAATACAAAGAGCTTGAAGGGCTTTATTGATCAGATCTGTGTACGCCTCATTCTGTCTAATGCTTTTACTATTGTATGTGATTTATTGCAATTGTGATCTTTTCGCTGTTCACTGATAGCTTATATATGTTTTTGATTGGGGTCATTTTATATACTACTGCTATTAAAGCTTGCGGATACATGTTATGATACTGGGTCGAGTACAAATTCGGTGCGATCCATCCCAATGCAAGCTCCGCATTCGCCTGGATCAACTAATTCTTCTGTCTTTCAAGGCACAACTAATACCGACAACAACACCCACGGCAATGCTAGCGTAAGCAATATAGGATCAAGGGGATCTATATTACCAATACGAACAGGAGCTGGCATTGGCGTTGGTGCTGGGGGGACTCCATCCATGATGATGGCACCATTATCTTCACCCATCTTACAGCCACGCCTCAATAACCTTCGGTCATCAATAATAGATACAGTTTTGCCGCCTGTTGGAGATATTGAGCATGCCGCCATATTAGATCAAAACCAGGATATGCCACTGTTGCCTCATATGATTGACTTGGGCAAAGAGCTGGCTCACTTCACAAACACCGTTGCACGCGTGATTCCACATTGGCCGCACGAGTATCAAGTTGAGGCAGAGGCTGCAGCAGAAGTGATGCAGGATGACGAGGATTTGAACGTAAATGGAAATCCATTTGAAGGAAATGATCGTCAGCGACAGCAGTACCAACTAAATTGCTCTAATGAGCAAAGAGAGGAAGATATTTTGCGTAAAGTAGGACAAGCATGCTGGGATGTAGTCGAAACGATCCAGGAACGTGTTCAGCTCACTGTTGAGCTTGAACAAGAGGAGCGACTCCGAACGGCTGCTGCCGCTGCCGCTGTTGCTGTTGCTGCAGGGACAAGTGCAGGAGCAGGTGGAGCAGTAGGCAATTTGCCTTATTTTTCCAAAGCTAAGGTTTCGCGCGAAGGCTTTCGTGATGGAGAAGAGTCCTACGTGGTATATGAGCATTACGATGGGATGGATCATGAGTTGGAAAGTTTTGATGGCTATGAAAGATTTGATAGCGATGACGAGTCCTTTATTCAACAGTCCGCGTATGAGTAGCCCTGATGGATGCAAAAAGACTTTTGCATGTAAACTATGCACCTTGGTTTTATTTTTACTGATGCAAAATATATGAAATAGAGCGGCGAATGAGGATAATTACACTTGATGCAAAAAAAATTTTATTCTTAATTCATAAGCATCGTCCTGGGAAACAAGTAAAAGGAAAGGAATGGAGACCACAGAGTAGAAAATTGGGAGCTTGAGAAATATATACATATTTAATGATCTTGTACCAATTGCACGGTCAACTCGCCAGTGCCCTCAGATTGTGCGTCCAAGTCCATGAAGGCTTGTAAACTCTGGTGAATACTTGTAAGGATCGCTTGTTCATCTGCACCTTTGGTAACATTCACAATTAATGTGCCAATCAACTGTCCATACGTGTTACTCCAGACATGAGTACGCTCTAGTCTAAGTATTGCTGGATTGGAGAGTGAAAGCTGGCGAATAGCCTCTTCGATCCCTTCAAGAGCCTTTGGAGGGGTTGTCTGCAATAGGACCATACCCAAGGCTTTGGCCAATGGTCCTCCAAGCCAGAACATAACAAAGGATTGTCCGATTGCCACTAATTTGTCCAAGGCGTCCACATGTGGAAACATAGCCACAAGGACCACTCCTCCGACACAAGCCAAGCTGGTAAGTGTGAATTGGTTATTCATCAAAAGGGCTGCCTTTGACGCACTAGAGCGACTAAAAGCTGCCTGTGTCGATGTGAGAGAATTGGAGTCTAATACTTTTTTTTAGATAAGAAAAAATATAACTGCGATATTAATACATACTTCATGCCAAAACACACATAAAAAAATGGCATTGGACTTCAAGCCTTTTCTATCAACTTACAAAGGCAAAACTGTTTATGGTTTTGATATCCTAATGAAGACACTAATGTGGCGCACAAGCCGACCATTGCCCAAAATAAAGGCACTCGCACGATACTGAACAAAGAAAAAGGAAGATAGTAATTCACGGGTGAATATCGTAGAACCACAGTTTGAATATGTATATTTCTGAAAGACGTTTTGGTCAGACTTACGCTCCATTATGATGATCGTCTTCGAGCATGAGATGCTCCAAACTTTCTTTGAGCATGTTCATGCCGATGAACATCAAGAAGATAGCATTGAATAGCCCAAATAGGATTTCGAAGCGTTGCACTCTTCGATTGATAGTTTTTTTTGGAGGAAAAAAGAAAAAAAAGTCAGTTGCTTGAAATATAATATACATAGAAATTGCAAAGATAATCACTTCGCTTACCCAAAGGGATGCTTCACAGTAGACTTTTTCATTTTTATATTCATATGGACGACACTTGACGCAAATATATTGAGAACGCCAAAAGCATCAAAAAGCATCATATAGGCCAATCCGATAATTGCTATATTTGAGAGAAGAAACGTTTCTTAGCGCTCAATATCCCTCTCAATTCTTATTCTGGCCAATGGTAGCCATAGGCTCAACAAAATGTTATGATCATTATTACATAAGGAGCCAGCTCCCATTCCGGAGACCCATGTCATGATAGCGATTGACAAATGGATCAAGACCCAAGTAAACATTGTCTTTTGTTTGGGCAAAAGGTCTCCAAAAATCTGTCCATATGTAGGCAATTGAGATCGAAAACTAACAGGATAGTGGTGATGAAGGTGATGATCATGTCCATGATCATGGCTGTGGTGATGATGAGCGTGGTCATGGCCATGTCCATGTCCATGACTATGGCTGTGGCTATGGTTATGATTTTGACTGTGATCGTGTCCATGGCCGTGGCCGTGTCCGTGCTCATGGCCGTGTTCGTGTCCTTGGTTATCATGGTGATGGTGATGGTGATGATTCTGATGAAAGGTTGGAGTCTGATGAGAGTGATGAGATTCATGCTGGTGCGATTCTGATGAGATTTGATGATATTGATGGTGTTGGTGACTATGGTGTACATGGGGGTGCTCAGTTGGTACACCAATGTGGGCCCCGCCCGCATGACCTATTCTTGAAATATGGCCATGATCTTGATTACCATCTTGATGCTGAGTATGCGATCCATGGACATGACTATGTGTCCCTGCTCCACTCTGTTCAGTCGTCAATACAAGAAGCGAAACAGCCGTTATTGCTTTATTCAAAATAATTGCCCAAACAACCTGTTTTCATCAACTTTCAAGGCTTTTTTTTTTTTACCAAAGGCTTCTTGAGCTGCACAAGACTATTACCACTATTAAGACTATTGTCGAATCCTAATGAAGATGCACTCATCCCTGTTGGTCTTATGCCTTGGCCAGCCATTGGAGTTAGATGAGATTGTAAATGATGACTCTCTGAGGGTGCGGCGGCAGCAGCAGCAGCGACGAAGGGCGAGTGTGTTCTCCTGATTAGCTGAGGATTAGTATCCATAATGACTTTTTGCTTTGTCGTCTATACACTGTGTTTGCTTAGTGTCTCGAGAGCGTGATTCTAGAGTAAATGGAATGCAATGAAAAGACTGGAAGTAAAGATGAGATGAGGAAAGAGATATTACTAAAACTTTTTGTTGACTACTTTGATGGAAATTAAAATACCGTAATTCTTGTACATGTACCTTTTTTTCCACGTTGTCACATCATTCGCAGCTCAAGAAGCGGCGCCAGTGGGGCTCAATTGCACGGGTGCCAGCGGAACCTCTCCATGATTCCACGTCCCATGCATAAGATATATTACTGGCCAGACATGAAACTTTATTGGCGAGAACTGCACCAAATCTTGTTTTGTGTTTCTCGATCAAAGCCCATGGTGTGTTCGCAGAATGGTTAAATATACAAGGCCCGTGCACAAGGCATCATACCTTAGTTTGCGGATTGCAGGGTAGAAAGTAAAATGGTATTTTGTTCTTTCGCGACGTCCACAACAATCCAAGGATTTTGAAAATAAGTGCTAATCATACATGTTAAGTATAGACACCAAGGCCCGAAGCGAGTCGCGTTTGGAGAAGGGGGTACACCTTATGCCTCTGCTATTTGATGACTACCTTATGAATAAAATAGGTCGGGAATCTGGAGTGAGATCCATGAATACACCATGGGACTGAGCTCTTAAAGCATTCACAATCTCAACAAAGCAAAGAGGAACAGCAAAGACAGACGCTGTAGATTTTGGCTATACCAGAAGTGCATGCTTGATTGGTCAACGGGATATTCATTTTGGAATAAGATCATTAGACCTACTTTTTCCACGCAGAAAGAATACACGTGTACCTCAAGTTTAACTGTTACTCTGGTCCTCTCAGAGCACAAAGTACCTGCCAACGGCAAGGTCTACGCACATCAAACATGGTTTCGTCGTATACCGCGACAAGCTAAGAGCCTTGCAATGATAATATTTAAAATTGATATAAATCCTCACCACCAGTGGCCATGTTGATGAGGAAAGCCTTGAGAATGGGAATCCACAATTGTTAAATAGTTTGAGGGTATATTGCCGGGCTTTACGCCTTGGGTTTGTCCCAGGAACCTTACTGTTCTTTCGCTATTAACAAGGAAGGGAGGGAGAATAATAATTCGAGGCTAGCGATGGTGCCTCTTTATTGCCATTACTCTCATGATTTGAGTGGATAGTAACTCTATCGCTTTTAGGCCATGTTGGTGGAGAAAACTTTGTTAATGAGTAATATACATCCCACTGGAAGGCTGTTGTCCTCGCTTGCGCCTTAGAACTCGAGTCTAATTTGGTAGTCCAAGGTATTTCTCTTGCACCTTGATGGATCTTTGAAGCTATCGATATCGGCTCTCCAAACAAGAGGGAATGATGGCAATGGTTTGAAGTGCCCGTTGCGTTGCGTTCGGAGAAAGCCGGGCGTAGTTTTAGTTGACCAATTATTTTGATTCTTTGTAGAGTGATGAGCTAACTGTACTTCAGCCACTGAGGAAAGTGTTGTTCTAGGGTTGGAATGTTGGATCGAACCTACCACGGATGGAGACAAATTGCCACAGCAAAATGATTTGCATTGAACCACGCATCGGCCAAGGAGTCCCAAGAGTTTTATTATAAATATTTGGACATTTTTCTCTACAAAGCTAAGATATCCATCTCCATTTGCTGTTCCTCTACTCTATTGAAATACATTTAATTCTGTTTAAATAAATCCATTGGCGACTGTTCGGTACCTATTGCACTTCCATATCTGCCTGGACTTAGCAGTAATTAACAGAAATGTTTGGTTTTTCTTGAATGACCGCCATCCAGAGGGACTAGTAAGAATCGTCAAAGTTCACTGCATCGGTCAAAACAATAAAACTCGACTAGTAGTCAGCCAACTCTCAAAATGTGACATTAAATAACGCCTTAAGAGGCTTCAATAAAATTACGGTGGCTATTGAGACGCAGAATAGATATTTTCGTCTCTTATGTGTACTAGAAGATGCAGAGCTTGTTCTCTGAGCTAAGCTTTCTGAAGTAACGTCAGTAATCAGTAATTGCACATATTATCCCACTTTTTACATATTCCCAGCATTCTCTCGATCCAAGGGTTGTAACACAACCATCAAAGGATACATGTTTGTCAAAGCACTGATATATCCCTTGGGAAAGTGCAGGAATATGTTAAAATCATTGTTCAAGGAGCGCGCAGGGTAGTCAAAAATATGTGGTAGTGTTCAGATGTTTATACGGTTTCATATGGAGCCCGGACAGTCGCCATTGCACAGAAGGCATAGAAATGATACACTTTATCTGATGGAAATCAAGCCAATTGTTGTCGCCAAACCAGGCACATTCAGGCTCGAAAAAAAAAAAAAAAAAAAAAAAACAGATCTTGTTCGACGGATCGTCAACTACAGTGCTCATTCTTTCATTTAATTTCCTCCTCTTTTTCTTTTACTCTATTCCCTCATTCATTCTTCTCCTTTACTCACTTTCTATACATGAGTGATCTTTCTGCTTCAGCATCCACTTTGACTGTCATGCCTGCTCCCCTAAAACAGGCTACACTGCTGCAATGCATGCTGGTAATCTCATTTAACATACACAATGCTCTCTCTCCTCATTCGTTCATTTCAACCTGATTTCATTATGTAGCTTTTCTATAACCAAAACTAAGACGTTTTGCACGCGTTGTATGTTCGTCATAAAAAAAAAAAAAAAGGCTGGCGCTATGGCAGGAACAGCTGTGGACACTGCATTGTTTCCCTTGGATACATTAAAGACTCGTCTTCAATCAAAGGCTGGTTTCGCTGCCTCTGGAGGATTCAGAGGCGTCTATTCTGGCCTGACAAGTGCTGTTATCGGAAGTGCACCTGGAGGTAAAAAACAAAAAAATGAGTCATTGTGTATTATTTTTTGTACATGTCACTACCAATCTCATACCTCGTTTTTTGTCATTCAATCAATTGATAGCCTCGATGTTCTTCGTCACATATGAAGGCCTCAAGACTGGATTGTCCGCAGTGATGCCGGGTCCTCAGTATGCACCTGTCGTACACATGATATCTGCTTCTGGAGGCGAGATTGTAAGTTTATTGTACAAATTGTGGTGGTCTAGTCGTGTGTGGGCAAAATTTAATTTTCCTCGACGTTCTTACGCCACCAATCCTCTCAACACATCACACGAGCCAAAAAAAAAAGTGGAGGTCATTCACTATATATCCAATATTCATTTTGTGTTAAAACTTTTATCAAAATTTAGGCTGCCTGCTTTGTCAGAGTCCCGACAGAGGTCATCAAGCAGAGAATGCAGACAAAGCAATACAAAACTACGACAGGAGCCGTGAAAGCGGTTATCCAGAACGAGGGTATTTTAGGCTTCTACCGTGGATATTTCAGCACAGTAGCACGTGAGGTAAAATAGCGCTTTTTTTTTTTTTTAAAAAAAAAAAAAAAAAAAAAAAGCTTTTGCCCATCATCGTTATAAAACCATTACGCCTTACTTTTTTTTTTATCGCTATTATAGATTCCCTTCACATGCATCCAATTCCCCTTGTATGAATATATGAAGAATACATATGCCTTTGCCACTCATAGAACTAAGGTAGATCCTTGGGAAGCTGCTATCTGTGGATCAATTGCTGGAGGAGTCGCTGCAGGGATTACAACGCCATTAGATGTGATCAAGACACGTGTCATGCTTAGTCAACGAAGTCAGGCAGGCTCACAATCATCAGCGTATTATTCTGGGATCATCTCGACGTTCAAACGCATATTAACAGAGGAAGGTCCTCGAGCTTTATTTTCAGGCATCGGACCCCGTGTAATGTGGATTTCGATCGGTGGTAGTATTTTCTTGGGCGTCTATGAAAAAGCTAAAGTGATTATCTCACGCGAATAAGACCTAGAGACGGACGTCATGGTATCGAAAAAAAAAAAAAAAAAAAAAAAAAAAAAAACTACTCTTGCACCTTTTATTTTAGATCTGTATTATAAAAAAGTTGAGTGCAATATAAACAGAATGCGAAATGCAATATGCGGACTAATAAATAAAGTAATACAAATGTATTCTACAGGGTATGCTCTAGACGGGTAATTTAGTTATTGTTAATCTCTTTCAAAACTCTGTCTACAACTATATCTCGTCGCTTGACATCAAGAGTAGATCGAATAGGTTCTGTTCCGACCACAGAATCCCTTAATGCCTGAACGTACTCGTCCAATTTCTCAGGATTCCACTCCAAAAGTACGTTAGTGCTCTCACCACCTTCACCTCCTGTGGAAACTACAGGCACCTGCAAAAACCCAAAAAGATCTCGAAGATTTTTCCGTAGCATCAAGTTGCGCATTTTTTCTTCTGCGTGTACATGTTGCAGCTTATCGAATCTATATTGTAAATCCTGGCCTGGTGCTCCAGCAACGTGTGTACTATTCATATTTGAGTTCGATCCACTTGATCCTGCTAAAGCAAGGGTTCCACTGCTATTGCTTCCAGCCAGTTGTTGCTGTAATTGTTGATTTTGCGTTGACATTGCTAATATATAGAACATAAAAGAGGGTATAGCAGTTGGTATCATTATCTCATTAATCAAGGGTTGCTAGGAAAAAGGATGATGACATCTGCCTTTGTGCACATACCTTGAATAATACCTTCCTGGTTGGCCAACTTGGCTTGCAGATTTCGCACGATTGTCTGCAGATCCTTAGAATCGTCAAGTAGTGGAAGGGGGGCTGATTTGGGTGATTGCTGCTGTTTGTCGTTCAGGCGATTGTGAACAGGCGATCCAGTGTTGAGGGCGATAGAGCCTGAAGATGTTGATCCTTGATGGGAACTAGATGCTTTGAGACTGGATGCATCGATTCCCTATCCAAAGGTATGCATATCAATATACTCAATAAAAGCCATACACCACATAAATAAAATAAAAAATAAACAACACAATCATCTCTTTGCCATTACAGAGTGAAGATCGAAGGTCAGACTTTTGGGGTTCCTTGCAGAGCCATCATTAGGATTTGTTCCACGCCCATTACTCTGACTGTAACCGCTACCACCAAACCGATCCATGGATCCAATTGAGGGTGATGGGCTACTAGCAGATGTAAAAAGGTTGCTAGATGGATTATCGTTGATGGTTGAATTGTTGCTGTTGTACCGGCTTATCCCTGGTAGCTTTTGTTTGACTTCACTATTACCAGAGGCGCTACCGAGTATAGAATTAGATGCAGTCACTCCAAGGCCTCCCAAAGTACGGATGGGCATATTGCTCAGGTTGGTAAGATTGTTAATGCTATTGCCAGTAGAGTTCTGCCTCCTCTTGTTCTTATCTAGGGTCATTAATAGCCTCCGTCGCTGCGACTCAGCCGCGGACTCCTTGGGTGCTTTGCTGACGCTCTTCACTTTTTTTCGTTGCCCCATGGACCCACCACCAGATATGCTAGTTGAGCTGCCCAAGACTGCTTCCGAATCATCTACATCAATCTCTTCAGAATCAGAGTTCCTCTCCCTCCGCCGCCGCTCAGTTGTATCTACCGAGCGCTTATTCTTAGAATGGCTTCTAGAGCCTGCTGTTGAAGAAGAACTTGAGGACGCATTTGACTTGCTGTTATTGCTGCGGCGACGATCATCTTCCGATCCATATTCCGCGGTTGGATCCAGCATCTCGTTATCTGAGATTGATGACTCTTCGTCGTCTTCAGCCTCATGATCCCCATCACCATCATCCTCGTCATCATTCTCATCATCTGTTGACAACTCTCGATATGATTTACTGCGCTTAGTTAAGCGATGATAAGCCGAATCCGACTTGGAGACTTGATTCTGCTGCGCCTGCGTCTTCTTAAGAATTCTGTTTAATGCACCAATATCCCTGTGAATATCACAGTATAAACTGTTGTTTTTGCCCTTGGTCATAAGGTCTTCTTTCTGTGCGCAGGTAACATGCATGGCTCTGAGGCAATTATCGATGCTGCACACGGAGCATATACCAAAATCAGATTTGCAGAGACAACAGATTTGCTTTTGAGCCAAGGATGAGTTAAAGGTGATGGGGTCCTCGTTGTCGTTTAAGCTTGGGTGAGCGCGTGCACATGCAACATGGATGTATTGGTTGGGAGCTGTGGTGCGTTTGAATGCCCCTGTACGTTGTGGACAACAACAACTTGGCTATTGGAACTCAAAAGAGGGTAGTAAAAAGACTATTAGATTTTTGATGTACATACGAAACAAACTCTAACTGCTGTGATCATTTGCATAAGCTAGTACCGTGTTGGCTACAGGAATATGATCCTCACATCTCTGGCAGTACCAATTGCCTTCTGGAACAACCTCGATACCGTAACACTTTTGGTGCACCGGTATATCACAATCTACAAATGATTTAAAAACGGAAATGAGAACTACGAAAAAGATCCTGCTTTATTGCATAACACTATAAGCACAAGCACAAGCACACTTACCAGGGCCATCACAAAAAAGGATAGGATTCTTTGTGAGAGACTTTCCTGACCCACAAACGAGACAATCGGTCTGTAGAGTAAAATCAAAATAAAAAAGATCAGGAACAGTAATAAAACATTACTGTTACACACCAAGAAAGAGGGCAGAGTGCGTGACCAAAATCATCTCCATTTCCATTCGACATCTTACCTCTGCTGGAGTGGAATGAGGACTTGATCCGTTGCTCGACATGTTTTAATAAAAAGACAAGGAACTTGAAAATAATAACAACGATAATAAATATTTAAAAAAAAAAAAAAAAAAAAAAAAAAAAAAAAAAAAAAAAAAGTATGTATTAGACATATGAAGCTTCTTTGCTTCTAGTCCCTTTTTTCCCATAACGAACTAATGGTGCGCGTGGTACAACTGGTACAATAGATTTATCAGTAAGGGAAATCGTCATTGCCTATAAGAAAAAAACCTCCATTAGTGAACTTTTCTTAAATATATTTTCCCTTACGATTTTAGCGAAATCAGCCCTCTTAATTCCAGACGTGAATAAACCAGGCCAGATGGTATATGTATATCAAAAGTAGGAATAAGATAAAATGGTTCCAGGACAAAAATCAAATAATATGAACGCTCAACGACAAGGCACAAAAAGGTCGGAAATGAGATTTGTATTCTCCAAGGAAACAATCAAAGAGAAAAAGGAAAGAAAAAGGAGATATTACATTGGTGGTACATTTTTATATATCTAAATTCCCGTACAGCCCTTAAAGAAATGCACTTTTTAGTTCCACCTGTGCCTTAGGCTCGTCACCATCCTGAGGTCCGAAGCCACGTGCAGCGAATGAACGTGTTAGTCTACAAGGCGGAATTGCCATTTGTGACCGCTCTTGCCGGAGGCTGTGGTAGTTTCTAGACGAGGTTTCAAGAGGTGGGCTCGCCTATGACTACTAAAAGGCTTTCCACAAAGAATTCTCCTAACTGTGGTTCGACAGAATATCCCCATTAATGGATACTGAATGTAATGAAAATTAAATAGCTATAGTTCGCTTTACCTAACCATTAATGATTAGCCACAATAAGTATAGAAGATTTTCCTTCTAGGCTTTCTTCTAAGAAAAGTCTTTCATCGATCATGCCATCCGAGGAAATCATGTCCTCTTGTTACTTTTTCTTATCGCATCTCGAGTTTTACGGGATTTATACCATAGCCTTTTGCGCCATCCAGAGGAAGTAGTTAGAATCACCAGAGTTCATCGCTCAAACCAATAAAATTCGGCTGGTAGTCAGCCAACTCTCAAAACGTGATACAAAATAACGCCTTGACTCTTCAATAGAGTTACGGTAGCTACTGAGACGCAGAATAGATATTCTCGTCACGGACTCAACCTTGCGTACAATAGCATTTCATGATAGCTCCTGCCACAAAAGGCCGCCAAACACCCAGCTGTTGCATTAGCGTGCCCAAATGCATACGCCAATATGCACCTATGGCCACGGTGGACGGCATTTAGATGTGGCAATAAAGAGCGTCTGTCGTTGAGTAGTTAATGATTTGTTGGAAAAATGGCTCATCTTTCCAGCTCAACGCCCTGGTAACACACTTCGATGAGTAGTTACGCACATAGAAACATGGACCAAAAATCGGTCGAGGCCAATACTGATTCGATGTGTGTTTGTTGCTGTATAATGTTCATGGAATGACGGCCTCACAATGGAACTCGAACCCTTCAGTACGTCTATTTTAGTACCAAGTTCTTCTTTAATGCCTTTGCAACAAACAATACGTTGTTTTCGTGCTCGGCATGCTAGTGTCGTCCACCAGATGCAGTCTGTTGAATTGATGTGGTTTCCCGTGACCCTAGCTCCTTTACAAAGCTGTCGAAGGCAAGCTTTCCACAACGGACACCGACATTGAGATCTTCGGGCTTTAGCGCATCACAGTCCATGACAATTAAGTCGCTTGCATCACCTCTGACGAGAGCAATACCATTATTACCTATCTATCTCAAAAAACTCACTCGAGTTGCGAAGTGTTGCGCGCTGCCATACAATATGATCTTTTGCTTGCGTATTCTCGTTCCAAGTCAATTTGATGCCCATTGGCACATACTCCAAGTGGATGTATTTCTGTAACAAAGCCTCCATTCCTTTATATTTTTTATTAATAAATGCACCGTTTTCACTTTATATTTGAAGGAGGCGATTTGGTTATTTTTGAGTGGAGTTAATGCAAAAGTGGCAGAAGTCCAGTGAAGGATCCTAATCTTCTTAGTCATTGCTGTCGGAGGATATTCCCTGAACTTTATACAACGCTTGTGGCTAATCATTAATGGTTAGGTAAAGCGAACTATAGCTATTTAATTTTCATTACATTCAGTATCCATTAATGGGGATATTCTGTCGAACCACAGTTAGGAGAATTCTTTGTGGAAAGCCTTTTAGTAGTCATAGGCGAGCCCACCTCTTGAAACCTCGTCTAGAAACTACCACAGCCTCCGGCAAGAGCGGTCACAAATGGCAATTCCGCCTTGTAGACTAACACGTTCATTCGCTGCACGTGGCTTCGGACCTCAGGATGGTGACGAGCCTACCTTGTTCGGTATGTGTTGGTCGATAAAATTAAAATGCAACTTTCATCAACAGCATGCTCACAATGTTGTCTCGCATTCATTCCTTACGCGCAATCTCGAGGTTATCTTTGAAAAGACCATTAGGAGGCATTAATTTCCTAGGAGCTCGGGCTACATTCTCGACTCATAATCCTTCATACTTTGCAACAAACCGGTTTACTGTGGATGAGTACCCATATCTAAAGAGGAGCGAGTCCTTTAACAGGGTAACATTTGGAACAAGAGGATTTCTTTGAAGACTCCACGTAAAGAGCATTCTTAAACTCTGAAATATTTTTAATTTTATTTTTTACACCTGCAGCTGTCGGAGAAGGATATTTCATATTTCAAATCAATATTGGCTTCTTCCAGCATTACGCAAGATGCGGAAGACCTTGAAGCTTTTAACAATGACTGGCTTAGAAAATATAGGGGGCAATCCAAGTTAGTTCTGAAACCATCTTCGGCTGAGCAGGTTTCTCAAATTTTAAAATATTGCAATGAGCAAAGGTAAATAAAATTTTCGCAAAAATGTTCACGGTTCAGTGAGTTTAAAATATTGATTTTTTTTTTTTTTTTGCAATACTTGCGATGTGGCCACATGTCAGATTAGCTGTTGTCCCTCAAGGAGGAAACACTGGCCTCGTTGGTAATGAGAGAATTTTCACTAATTGCTTAAATACAAAATATCTTTGTTATGAGGGTTGACCATTTATTCAACTAAACATTCATCTAATGTTCTCTTATAATTGAACGTTCAGGTGGTAGCGTTCCTGTGTTTGATGAAATTGTCATTTCCTTATCACACATGTCGAAGATCAGAAGCTTTGATGAAGTGTCAGGTAAAGAATTTGTCATGAAGTTGCGTTCTGGATCTGCATTGGCACCGTTTTTTCATAACAGTTGCTGACGAAAAAAAAAAAAAAAAAAAAAAAAAAAAAAGGTGCGCTTGTGTGTGATGCTGGATGTATCCTTGAGGTATTGGACAAATATCTTGAAGAGCGCGGTTACATTATGCCACTTGATTTGGGAGCCAAGGGCAGGTATGTGCTTGTAATTGAGATGAGGCCTAATTCAATCTTACTAATAGGATATATTTAATTGACAATGAATGAATCGTCTAAAAACTGCAGTTGCCACATCGGAGGCAATGTAGCAACGAACGCTGGAGGATTAAGACTGCTTAGATATGGATCGTTACATGGAACTGTGCTTGGTCTTGAGGTGGTATGTGATTAGGCGTCTCCAATTCCACCATTATCTATTTAAGGAAATAGATCTAACTGACTTTAACTGATACACGAATTTGCTATAGGTCTTGCCTGATGGAACGATTTTGGATAATCTTTCGACCCTTCGCAAAGACAATACAGGTTATGACCTTAAGCAACTTTTCATTGGCTCTGAGGGTACCCTTGGTATTATCACGGCCGTGTCCATCCTATCACCAAAACGGTCTAAAGCCACTAACGTAGCCCTCCTCGGCCTCAACAATTTCGATCAACTTCAAGCGACGTTCAAGAGATCCAAGGATGAACTGTCAGAAATCCTTTCCGCATTCGAGTTTTGGGATCGGGAAGCCATGAGGCTTGCGAAGCAGCATCTTGTTGCAGGAGCACATGACCCTCTTCAATCGCTGTATCCTTTTTATATTCTGATTGAAACTAGTGGCAGTAACAAGGATCACGATGACGAGAAATTGAATACTTTCTTGGAAGGTTTAATGACTGATGATGTTATCCAGGATGGTGTTGTTGCTCAGGACTCGACCCAGATCCACAACTTGTGGGCGATTCGTGAGGGTATTCCTGAAGCATGCTCGAAAGCCGGAGCGGTCTACAAATACGACATTTCTATGCCTGTGCCAGTCCTTTATCAAGCTGTCGAGGATATGAGAGCTCGCTTAGTCAAGGAAGGAGCCATTGGTGATGGAAAACTGTTTTCGTCCGTTATCGGATATGGACACGTGGGGGATGGTAAGCTAGGATCATGCTCTCTTATTCATATATACTTTATCGTTATTTGCTGTTTTTAAAAGAGATGGTCCTAAATTATATGGAATCACTCCATAGGCAACTTGCATTTGAATGTGGCTGCCACAGAATTTTGTAAAGAGGCGACAGATCTGATTGAGCCATACATCTTCGAATGGACAGGTAAGCTATTATGACTGACGCTTCGGCATCTTTTGTCTCGTCCTCTCACGACTCATAATTACCTCCCCTCCTGTTTATAGCGAGACACGCTGGATCCATTTCTGCTGAACATGGTTTGGGTTTGTCAAAGAACAATCATCTGCATTACTCAAAGTCCCCATCCATGATCCAGTTGATGAGACGGTTCAAGCAGCTGATCGATCCTAATGGTATCATGAACCCTTATAAATACCTGCCCTTAGTTTAGGCGAAGCATAAATTTTTACAGCAAATAAAAAATGTATGCTGCAGATTATAAAAAAAAAAGATCTATTCAAATATGATAGAGGGACCTGGCTCGAAAGTACTGTCGCCAACCCTTCGGGCCAGAATCCCTTGGCTAAAGAAGCCCTGATCATTCCAAGATTTCATTTCTGCTCCAGAAAAGGGCCCGAAAATTTCATCGGCATCCTGATCTTCGGACGGATTTGCCCATTTATATTCCCAGCTGACGGTGCTAGCAAATAACGGATCATCCTCCAGCATAGCCTGTGCCTGTTCTCCCGGCTTCAAAACTGGTGTCCCGACTTCCCAATCATCAGCAATGATATCCACCTTTCGTAGTAACCTGACTATCTGCTCATATGTCTCCTCATAGATATCAAAGTGACCCATAGCCATCATTCGATCGCTGAGGTCGGTCAGTTTCTCAATCAGCTTTTTCCTCTTATCCCCCTCAACATCTGGCGAGACAACAGAAGTTTCAGGCACATCTTCGTCCATGGCTTTGTTCTTCTGCCAGCCCTTCTTCTTAGGGTGGTTCTTGGCGCCCTTTGACCCCGCCTTTTTGCCTCCGCCAAGCCGTTGCAGCGCTTCAATGACTGTCTCTGATGGCCTTAATATGTTCACCAGCTCTAGATAAATATCTTCCTTTGACATGGCTTTGGCTGCTTCCTCCTTTTCCTCGGTCTGCGCTTGCTTTAATTTACGTTCGTGAGCCACTCGTGCTGCTTCGATCTCGTTCCTAGAGACGCCCTCGAGCCACACATCATGAAAGCGCTCTGGGTCGAGCTTACGGACAAAATTGCCATTCTCATCAATCTCTCCTTCCTCTAATTCAGCTTTCATATTCAATGCCTCAATCTTCGGATTGCCTTCAGAGTCAAACTCATTTTCATCCAGTACATTCAAGTCCAAGTCCTCGCCCTCGATTTCGGACCGGTCAAACGCCTTGCTCTTGCCTTTGCCACTCAAGGCAGCCTTCCTTTTCTTTTCGATCTTTCGTCGTTCAATTTCATCTGGATCTGCAAACATGTCTTCCTCTTCTTCTTCCACAGTAATAGCTTCTCCACCTTCTGCAGTGAAAATCTCATCAACGGGTGTCTTTTTCTTCTTGAGATCCATTGCTTCATCGTCGCTGCTTTCCCCTCCCGAGCCATACTCGACTACAGTGACACCCCCTCGTCTTGTCTTACGCGTCTCCAAAAGATCTGAATCATCAATCTCTTCGAGCGAATCGATTGAACCTTCCCTGCCTCTTCCACCACCAAACCGGACGCGTTTTGAAGATCTAGAAGGCCCTTCATTGCCTTTCTGCCAATCTTCGCTGGTCGATCGCTTGTTGTTGCTAGCTGACATTGTATTGGTACAGAGGAGCGTATTTGAGTGCAGGATTCATAAGACATGTGTGCCATTGGGCATTTAGGCGCTGAGAGCATCATTTCCTATAGCTAAGCCACGACGGCTAAGTTTGTCTGTGTGTGCGCATTGTTCATCAAGTTTGCTGGCATCTTGCCATCTTATTTTTTCTTCTATTTGACCTGAGAATAGTCAAGTACCCTCAGAAGGCTCATTAAAAAACTCATTACGTCAGAAGGGAAGATTAACCAGCAACGCAGGCGATGTACTGGGCCACCGGAAGTGCTCGAGTTCTGGCCGTGGAGCCCTCGTTGCTGAAGCGAAGCTCAGATGGCGAGGATGAGGAGCTTGAGCTGGTCCTTCCAGTGATTGCCTCGGATCATAATATCAGTAGCAACGATATCGAAACTAACACTCAGAATGGTATCCAGTCACGCATCATCAAGGGCACGGGTAGCGGTATCGTAGACATGGCACGGAACGAGCAGGGTTCCTTATGGGCGACCATTACACGCGAGTCCATTCAACTGTGGGTTCATCGGGTATGCCCTTATTGACACATACTGAGTAGTTGGATATCGGATGTGGGCTTTTTCCTTTTAAGATGAAAAGGATGCTAATATGGCTTGTTTGTGTTTCAACTGACTTGGATCATCCAGCCTGTAGGCGTCATCTCTAAGGTCGTCAGAACTCCTAAATCCCTTTTAGACCATGGCGCAAACCAACGCGTGCTTTGGAAGCCCGACTCGACGATGCTGGTCGTTGTTGTAAGTAGAACACATTTTTTTTTGAAGAAGAAAAAAAAAAAAAAAAAAAAAAAAAAAAAGCCTGTAAATATGCGTTTAATGATTTACATGGCCAACGATGCAGGAGTGCTTTGACAAACACCGAGACCTCATGTCATCTTCAGACAGAGCAAAGCTTTTTACACCTCTACAAAGTTGTATCACAAGGAAACGATGGTACACGCTACCAACTGACAAATAGCAAAAGCTATGCCTTGGGACCAGGTGAAGGCGTCGGCTTCCCAGATCTGTCCATCAAGTTTAAAATGACTATCAAGATGGACGCGGGCGTATCAAGGTATACACGGATGTCTTTTCTTTTATTTGTCTCACCTAAATCGCTGACTAGCTATTATATTCATCTCAATTTTTAACATTGGTATTTACCGATTTTTAGTCTCATTGGACTGGATTCAGATATTGTTGTTGCCACTGTTAATCCTCCAGCAGTTCAACTCATTCCATGGATGGGCAAAGTTGATGTCAAGACGTGTTTAATCCGTCATCTGAATTTTTTACTCGACAAATCCGTAAAAATTGTAGCGATGAGTCGTTTCCCAAAATCAACGACGCAAACATGGTGTATGTCTGATGGAAAAGCCTACATTGTGTATTATACCCCAAACATCTCCGAAACAGGTTCTCCAAGTTCGGTATGGAAAGAAGAGAAAAATGTTACTCTTGTCAGACACGTATATGGTGCTAAGTATGAAAGTTGCTGATGATATTAACCGGATTTGCCTTTATAGATACCATCAAATGGTGACAGTTGGTACGGGTTCTGCTTTCATGGCAACCCTGAGGGATTTGATATGCAAGACGCAGGTGTTGTTGCTGCGAGCAATCCTGAATATAGTCTCTTAGCAATTGGAACGCGCGGGTATGTTCATGTGGGATTGCTTAATTTCAACAGTTATAACTTCACATCCTAAGAAGAAAAAAATGCAATTCATCCATAATAGAGGCGATGTGCGCATTTTTAAATCAGGCGAGCATGCAGGACAATGGGTTTTTTCGCACAAGCTACCGTTGAAAGAGTCACAGGGTTATAATAGCACTCATGATAAAATTTTATCTCTCGCATGGAACTCGGACGGAACGGCATTAGCTATTGGGCAGGGATCTCGCTGTCCCTCCATTTGGAGTGTATTCGGTCGACGACTCTTTCCTTCTGCTGCTCATGATATTCCAATCTTGTAAGACCAACATCCAGAATCATTTTCGATGCTTTATCTGGAAGCATGGTAACAATTTTTGTAATAATCACTATGGGGTTTTTGTTTCATAGGAAAAATGCCAGTGAAGATCCATACTTGCAAGGGTCAAGAACACTCGTAAGACATTGTCAAAGTTATATCCAGGACATGATATGGGAATAATGAATCAAACTTTATAGCATCCAAACATCTAATGACTTGATTGTGCGTTTTTTTTTTTTTTTAGTTTTGGAGTGCAGGCAACATGGAACTCATTGTATTGGGTGCAGACGACTCGAGTTGTACGTGATACAATTTTCATACTTGATGCCTGAGCATAAATGTGTTGTGACCAATATTACTCATGTTATACTTTTTTTTTTTTTTTTTTTTTTTTTTTTAGCCAATATTTATACTATCCCATGTGCAAAAGTTATACCTTCGGTCCAGAACCACCTTGTAAGTTATTCATTGCATTTTTTCTCCGTTATATGAAAAGGTATATAGTAAAAGCTCACTTTTTTAATCAACCTGTATGTTCATTTGTGCAATAGAGTTCTGCTCCACAGTGTTTATTGCATCTAAACGATCGCCTGTTAGTATACAGTGAAGGCCATCGACAGGATGTTTCATCAACAATCAATCCTGACACCTTTGTGTGGAATAATGTCATGGTGCCTGCTGTATATTTAAGTGACAACTGGCCGATCAGAGTAAGACTCGAGCTTTAGGGAGCTACTTATTATACTCCTGTATTATTTAACCAATATTGAACGTCATGTACTTCATTTCATCTAGTATTCTTGTCTCAGTCATGACGGTCATTTTCTTGCCATTGCTGGACGACGAGGTCTTGCTCATTATAATCTACATTCGTGCCGTTGGAGACTATTCGGTAACTGGCAACAAGAACAGTCTTTCAGGTGTCAGGGGGGTTTGGCATGGTTCAAAAATATTTTGATTGCTGGGTGTGAGACGATAGAAGATAAGCGCTCCGAGGTTCGTACAGATCTTACTGCTTAAAAAAGGATAAGAGTCTCAGAGAAACTTGAATACTTATACTATGGACACCATCATATTTTTAGCTACGACTGTACCAGCGCGAGAATAATTTGGACAACAACGATATCATCTTTACAGAGCAGTTTGAATCACGAATTGCCCACATCTCTGTCTGGCGATCATCTCTTTTGGTTTACACCTCCAACAATACCCTATACTGCTATTCCCTTGGAAGTGGTAGGACGCTTTTTTTTTTTTTTTTTTTTTTTTTTAATACAGGAAAATCTGATTCTATCTAGCTACTTGGGCTGACACGCTTGTCATTAAATCCATGCTAGCGAAACGCGTTGATTTACAGTTGATCTGGAAGACATCGCTTAAGGATATTGTGGAGTCGCCTACACTCTTGAAGTCTGTATCCATCTTGACATCTCAAAGTCCAGATGGCAATGATGCTACCCATATTACGCTGCTCGTTGATGGCAAGGTCTATTTCCTTCGCCCAGAATTCTTGGTAAGTGGATAGTCTTGTTATGATTCATAAGGTCTTTTACTGGAGCTCTGGATTGACTTTCTTATCTTATTATTTTTATTTTAATTTTGGTCACTCAGTCTGATGGAAATGTGAGACTATCCTTCAGGCAGATCACAGATAAAGTCGAATACTACTGGATTACAAGGTCTGCTCACGATAATAATGACTATTCACTATGGGTTTTCAATGGCAAGACATTGAAGGTATATATGCTCGGATATGGCTATGTTTCGTATAAGATTATCTGGCTTCATGGTTGATTTATATGTCTATCATTTTAGATGTGGTGGAATGTATTCGGACCTGGAAGCAGCGAAATGAGCCTAGCGACATTTGCAAAGCATAACTTCTTGGAAATGGATCTTGAATTTTATCCGCTAGGTATGATTAAATCCCAGTTGTCATTTCCTATGCCTATGATCGAGATTGACATTTCACTACTTTTTAGGGCTAAACATTTGCTATTCTATTTTTCGAGATAGCCATTCTCCCCGAGAGAGGCATCGTTTTGGGCTTAGAACCAGAGATTGCAATCCACAAACCTAAATCTATCGCCATGTTCAAAATGGCTACTAAGGTATTACTGAATCCCGAACTGCAATACTCGTTATTTGTTTCGAATACTAACTTTAGGATTTACAACTCCTTTCAACCTGACAGACGCATCTATTCTTGCAGACAATCCTTCGCCATGTATTGACGCATAATGTTGATGGTGAATGGGAGGCATATGAGTTTGCAAAACATTACCAGGATTTAGGATACTTTGGACATGCTTTAGAAATACTTTTGCACAATGTTCTGGAGGATGAAGCTGAATCCGGTATTGGCTTCGAGGAAGGTAAAGCCAATCGGAACGACTCAGTGGTCCCACCAGTTTTTTATCGCTCGTGCTTTACTGATTTTTTTTTTTTTTTTTTTTTTTTTTTTTGCTTTGTTTAATATTTAGGCGCGGTCCTGCCGAGGGTTGTCAATTTCCTGCAGCAATTCCCCCATTATTTGGATGTTATTGTATCCTGCGCCCGTAAGACTGAGGTTGCATTGTGGGAATATCTTTTTTCAATTGTGGGTGCTCCCAAGGAGCTATTTGAGGTATGTGATTTGGATGTGGGATAATGAAGCAAGGTCTTCTTATTCTAAAGAATATAAATTAATCAAGGCATTACTGGGTTTTCTGGTAGCAATGTTTGGCGGCAGACCAACTCAAGACTGCAACATCCTATCTGCTTATCTTGCATACTCTCGAACCACTCCAGACAACAAGTCAAGATACTGTTCGGCTCTTGGAGAAGACTTTACAATCTGAAGACTATGAGGTATAACCAGGGTATAAAGCTTTTTTTTTTTTTTTTCGGCAATGCATTAACTATTTTCAATCCTTTACTCTCCCAATAGCTTTGTAAAGAGCTTGTTCGTTTTCTAAATTCGATCGATTGTAAGTAAACTTTATCCAAGATTGAGGATCAAAAAAAAAAAAAAAAAAAAAAAAAGTTAATAGAATGAAATGAGAAACTTAAACTGTTTCTTTTGACATGACATATAGCCACCGGTGCCACTCTCCAGCAAGCGCTTTCAATGGTGTCTGTAACGAGCGCATAGGCCTTTGGCGCTTTGTGATTTTAATGAGGGTATGTCAAACAACAGAGTGGCAAACAAGGGGTGTTTGGGTCTTTTGTGGATGAGTTTTTCTAAGGATGAGTTTAGAGTAAAAGGTTTGAAGGACTCTTGATATCCCTCTTCTGTTTCAATCATGATTAATATTTTTTGATGAATCCCAAATTCACTTTTCCAAAGGACAACCTCTTGTATCTCAGCTCTACTTAATTTTTCTTTCTTTTTGTGGTGTTATACGATACCCTATCCTCTCTTCTTTAACCCACCCATATTCTTCAGTGAAGATTAAGGACTTCATTCTGAGCGTTGCTTCTTCCACTGGCCATTGAATAAAGCCTACCATTGCGCATTGGTCTTGATAAAGAAGCATACATTGAAGACATTGAGCGATCACACACTAGAGTCGAATTACCGAGCATGATTTTTCGACCAAAGGCCGATCGCCACATTTATTTATTTATTTTTTTTTAATGGCTTTTGCCATGAAACTCAGATAATTTACTTTTTTTACTCTTCTTTCGGAGGAATGGATCGAGGGTTAAGATGCAATTTTTTTTTTTTTTTTTTTTTTGCAAGACACAAAATAGAAGAAAGAGAAAGGAGGATTGAAACAAAGTGAGGTGCTTTGTTTATGGGCAAGAAAGAGTTATGAGAAGTGTTGTCTAGAGGAATGACCTTTTTTAAGGCTACCTGTGATTCTCAAAGAGTATAAAAGTGAATGTAAACAGTGCTGGATAGTAGAGGGGTCCTAAGGAGAACAAAATTTAATGAACGCTGAAGGAAATAACTACGATCATCTGTTGCAAATGATAAAAAAAAAAAAAAAAAAAAACAGGAAGACTAGACTAATGACATTTTTTTTCCTGGACAGATGTGTCTAGAGTGAATAGAGTGTAGAGTCCTAGCATCTAGTGATGAGACGCGATCAAGGTTCCCCAAACCCCCTAGACAAACACGGATATATTAAGTAATAAATGTAGATAAATAATCACCTTGAATGAAAAGAAAAAGAATGTATTGTAATGAATGTATATATGTATACATATATATATGTATGTATGAATGTATTAGAATGTATGAGTAGTACAGGTAGGCAGAATGTCATGATGCTTATTACAAATGCTCATTCCTTAGAGGAAGGAGAGGAGAAGAGATTATTGGAAATGTTGTGGGCAAACACTCATAACACTCATTAAAAATGATTCACGGACAAATCTTTTTGGTCTGAGACAATGTCCCGGATTTCATATTCCAGCATACATCCCTGTCACTCCTCCACTTTGCCCTGCATGTTTGGTAAGAGACGAGTGACACATTCTGCACATGGACAGAAAAAATGGCTGCGAATAAAAACTTGTTTATTGTCATTGTCCGTTGAAAGTGCTCCAAAAAGAAACCTTAATATATTTTATTACTTGTAATTATCACACGGACCTTTTGTATCTGTATACATTATTACATTCATATATTTTATATCCGTATAAAAACTTTGATTGCTCCAACTCACCTGTTGCCTTGGCTGCCTTGATTTCCTTTGCCTTTGCCACTTGTGTGTACATGAGGAACAGCCACAATTGCCGTAATGGCCACGGGCTATATGAAGAATTAAAGAAAAAAAAAAAAAAAAAAAAAAAAAAAAGAAAGAAAGAGAGAAAGAGAGAAAGAAATAATAACAGTGGATAGAATGATAAAAAAAAAAACAAATAATAATAACAAGAGAAAGGATAGTCGATAACTGTATTGACAATAAAGAAACGGAGTAAGACAGAGAAAGTTGTAACGCACGGAAAGGGGGAACGAAAAGTTTGTAAAGCTTTGAGGCGTGAGAGAGAGGAAGGAGAACAATTGATTGGCATGCTCTCCAGCTCATTAAAAAAAAAAGTATAAATATTCACATAAACCTAACACACATTCACACAACGTCGATTCTCAATATACATCTTTTTTGTTCTATTACTACTACTAAGGTCACCATTAACTGTTATAATTATCCTTGCCATGATCATTACCGTGACAAAGAGCTGGTTGTACATAATACTCTTTGCAATTGAAAGAAAAGGAAGAGAGAGGAAAAAAAAAAAAAAAAAAAAAAAAAAAAAGTCAAGACCAAGGCAGATAGTAATGTGTAATAGAAAGGAGTAGGGCAACAAGGAGAGAGGGAGTGTGTATATGTAGGAGAGAGAGAAGAGAAAGAGGATAGGGTCGCGTTGTTAAAACTGTAGCAAAAGATGAAGATGAAAAATAAATAAACTTAACCTTTTTTCTTTGAAGGTGAACTCTGTTCTATTCCCTTATGAGTATTATGAATATTATGAATATTATGAAATAAAATATATACATAATACAAATACAAAACAATATGTATACAGAAAATGAGCCTCACAAATATATATATTTTTATACACATTCATCCTTAACACATCTGACCAAAAAAAAAAAAAAAAAAACGCGTGGGTTTCAGCTCTTTTTTAATTAATTCTCGCTCTCCCTCTTTTCTTTTTCCCTCCATCATCCTTGTCATTTGTCATTGTCATTGTCATTGTTACTGTCAGTCCTTCTCATTCTCATTGCCATTCCCATTCCCATTGCCATCGTCATTGCCACCATCAGTCATTGGCCTCTCCTTTTTCTTTTTGTTCTTGTTTTTCTTTTAGCGACCATCTCCATACAAACACACACAAACACATCCATACAATCAAATACACAAATGGACACTCCGATTCTTGTTTAGTCATTTCTCATACCATAACGCCCCTTTCCTCTCTCTTTTGCACTTGCACTCATAGCTCCTTTAACTGTACCTTTCTTCCCCATTCCCCTACTCTCTCATTCCCCCACTCCTTCACTCCCTTCTCCCTCTCTCTTCCCCGCTCTCACTCTCTTTCCTCTTCTCCGTCTTTGTCATACTCCTTCCCTTTCGCCGTTCTGGTAAACAAAAAAAAAAAAAAAAAAAAAAAAAAAAAAAAGAAGCAGCCGAGTCATTTTCAGGAACACAGTTCTCATACAAATGTAAACCATCTAATTGACATTTTGTTTGCGTCAACAGGAACCATCTTTTCCTTGCCCCTCTTTCTCTCTCTCTCTCTCTCTTTCTCTCGCTCTCTCTTTCTCTCTTTCTCTCTTTCTCTCTTTCTCTCAATGCAGTTGCATTCTCACCCAAGGACTCATTTAACCTTGGACTACTCTCCTCGATCAACCCCAATACCCGGTTCGTTCTCGCAGCAGGATTACATCCTTGATAACAGCAACACCTCTGTCGCTAATAACATTAGTGACAATAGTAATATTTACAACAACAATAGCAACAGAATCATCAACTGCAGTTCCTCGGCACGACTAACGGTCGTTGACGAAAAAAATAAACTGCCGGAAATTTCATCTAGTAGTGCTATGCCCAGTACACCAAGCGGTTTGGGCATTAAAAGTACCAGTCAAATTAATCTCCTGGATAACGATATCACTAGCAATAGCAACATTAATAATAAGAATAATAGCACCATTATTAACTGCAACAATAACAACGACCACTTCTATTACAGTGCAAGTAAGACCATTGCTGCTGGCAACAATAGTAACCACTTGCGCTTCCACCAGCATCGCCTTGACAATAGCAGTAACACCGTTCCAAGTCATAGACATAATCATAGCCATAGTAGCCAAAGCTATCGCCAGGATATTGCTAGCACCAGGGACGCATTTCTTTCTAACTCAGACCTGTCCATGATCACAGACGACGACGCCTCGTCTACTGCCAGCTTTCACCAAAGGCCTCGTAAAGTGAGTAAGGCAGGGTCTATGCCCTCGCCACTCAGCGGAGCTTTATCATCCTTCTCTCCAAACAAAAACATTAGCACAAACGCTCTCTCGACTCTTTCCTTCTTCCCTCCTTCTGGTGGCAAAAGCTCTACTACCCACAATAACAACAGCACCAGCACCAGTAACAGCAACAATAATATCAATAATAGCATTGTCAGTAACAGCAACAGCAATAGCACCATCATGGACACTAATTCAAAATCCTTATCACAGCTCCGTGTTCGACACTTGGAACAATATTCGACCTATGCAGGATATCTGACAAAGTTTTCATCCAGGACTTTTTTCTCTCGTAAACAGTGGAAGCGCCGGTACTTCATTCTTAGTGAAAAATCACTTTATTGTTTCAAATCTTCTGATCCTCAGCATTCGGTACTCGAATCCATTGAACTTTCATCCGAGGCTATTATATGCGTCACCGATATGTTTGCAGGGAAACGCTATTGTCTTCAAATCTCTGCTCCAGGCGAAAAGGCTTGGTATGTACTTGCTGACACTGCTTCAGAGATGTCTGGCTGGCTCAAGGAGCTCAAGAATGCCGTACAACGCTTCAGGAACAAACAGTCAGAAGGAGGACATGGCGCACATTTTTCAGATATGTCCGAGGTCTCGGACATGTCTGGTACCTCAACGGTCATTCGAATGACTCCTACCTCCGCCTTAGCTAATCAATACGATTACATGGCCAGCACTACGAGATCTCTTCCTGCAACATTACCATCTTCTGCACCTGGACGCCAGGGTCACCATCCCTCTGTCTACTCTCAACTCCCACATCAACAAGTGGATAACTACCAGGGGCAATCTATTAGCCTTAATCCTCCACCGCGGTCCATCTCTCCAAAGCCTTCAACATCAACCTCTGGAACTGATCCTCAACGAACTGCTGGAGGCGCACCTCTACATGGCTATAAGGCATCACAGGGTCAGTCGACAGAATTGGCGCGATCCCAGCAGCCGCAGCAACCAGAGACCAGGAGAAGGAGAAACAGCTCTCTCTCATCAGGTCAGCCTGTGACAGACTATGCTAGTTTTGGGACGGTTATGCAGCAAGCAGAGGCCATGGCAGAGGAGCAGAAGGAGTCCCCATCGTCCTCATGGTCAATGCCCACAAAGACAGTTAGATCCTTAGACAGATTGGACACCAACTACGCCACACTTCCTCGAGCTAAGCGTGAGTCGACGATGCCAACACAGCCAACTTTAGTTTCAGCCCCTTTGAGCCATAGAGCATCTATGGTTATGGAACAGTCGGATGGCTCGATATCCCAATCCGTAACTTTACGGAATGTACAGAGAGTGAATGTGACTAACCAACAGAGGCCCGCAAGCCCTACTACCTCACGACCCCTGAGTCCCAGTATGTCAAGGACAAGTCCGAGGAACTCCCTTGTGATTTCTCCACCGCCTCGTAGTATTCACCGCCCCATCAGCGTCTCTATGAGACACTCGACACAGATTCTACCCCCTCCACAAATCGTGACCGCTGGTCTTCCATCTCAATCCCAATATGTCTCCACACCGACAAATAGCAGTCCCCTTCGATCTAATCCACCCACAGCCAGCTTACCGCCTACCCCAGGACCGAGTGGAGAACAAAATAACTCCACACCACTTGCACGTATCACCAGCGTTCGACACCAACGGGATCCAAGGATAGGGCTCTATCGACACAGTGTTATAAATGTGGGCTCGAATGCTGGTGCTGGTTCACTTGGTAATGGGGATAGTATTCAGGGACATGTGCAGCGCAGTTCATCCAGAGCCAGTTTACTCCGATCTGGATTTTCTTCGAGATCACTCGGTTCAGCTGATCTGATAGGCTTGAATCGACCACTCTCTCCAACGCCGTCTCTATCATCTGCTCCCACACTTCCTTTACCGGATCCTCCAGGACCAATATCCACCTCTCCAAACAAGTCTACAGCGTCTGTATCTACATCTTCGCCTACAGCTGTGACAACATCGTCCACCGAGCCCTTTCGTCGTAATTCCACTGTACCACGTCATCATGAGCCAGAGCTCCCAATCCCAAATCGTTCTAAAGCGCGCGTCCGGGCACAGTCCCAGGAGGCAGCATTGCTCGCTGCGGAACTGGGTAATTTGCAGCTCTCTCGCCGAGCAACGAGCCCTTCACCTAGGCTTGCAGCAATATCTACATCTAATCGAGACCGGCAGTCGATGATTGTCGTTGGAGAGAGCGGTAGGAGCAATGGCAATGACAAAGGCAATGGCAGTGGTAACAACAATGTCAATAGTAACAATAGCAATAGCCAAGGTGGACATAGCAGACAAATGTCACTACCCATCCACACCATGTACGCATTGCCTGCTCCGCCCGCTGGACAGGCACCAACACATCCTTTGTCCTCAACACCTTCAGGATCGCCCCCATCGTCATCTAGACCCCTGTTGCAAAGACCTTCCGGATCTGGTGTTGCACTTCGACCAATTTCATCTGTAATGAATAATGTAGCGTCTTTGGGCGGTGGGATTGCTAGAAGACCCTCTACTACCAATGCTACTGCTGCTGCAACTGCTTCGAAGCGAGAATTAGCTCTGGCGTCTAGACTTTCTGCTTTGATCGCATTACCTCCGGGACCCACAACGACTGTGCCTCTGCCTCCTAAGGGGGCTCTTCCAGCCCCACCTACGACGGCATTGCCCAAGAAGCCAAGCGAAGTTTTAGAAGATGAGGAGGAGGATGAGAACGAGAATGAGGAGAACGAGAATGAGGAGGAGGAGAATGATGAGGACTTTGAAGGGGAGGAGGAGGAGGAGGAGGAAGAGAATGGGAGAAGTGCCCGATCCAAGCGCCCAAACGTACAGACTAGTTTTAATGCAATTCCAGAGGAAGAAGAGGAAGAAGAGGAAGAGGAAGATGATGACGATGATGACGAAGAAGGAGAGGGGGAGTTCGTGTCACGGCTTCAATATGAGGAACTGGAGGCAGCTAAGGCAGCGGTAGAGCAAGAACAGGACCCAGAAAGCACTGTGACAACACCAACAACCGTGACACGTCCAGAGTATTACGCTACCAAGGAGAGTAAAGTGGTGGAATACATCTTTCCAAGTGAGTCTTTTAAAGCTTAAAAAAAAAGACCACCAGTCCATCGACTAGAATTTCATTTTAGATTTTTTTTTTTTTTTTTTTTTCTTTTTTTTGTATTTTCACTTCTCTACCTCCCATATTCTCAAATCAATCCGATACCATAATCGATCATTATTATCTAGTCCTGCATCATTCCTCATTTACATTATTTTTTTTTTTCCTCGGCCTGTACTTTTCCGTTTCTAGCTTGCTTTACAGTCTTTCAATTGTAGAAAATTGTCTTAAAAAAACATTCACTAGCTACAGAAAACTTATGAAATATGCAGTATCACTGCGTCTACTTGTTGAAGGTCCTTTGGTATTTATGCAAAACTAGTATATTTATTGTATATTGTATAATTGTTACAAGGACGAGTTAGACTGTGGAAAGTGCCCGCATTACCAGTTCATATGTTGTGAAGGTAGCGGCAGCTGCGGGGATGGAACGGATGATTGTAGGAGAAAATCCGCGGAAGAAAGGTTGGATGCCACCCTCTTTGTAAATTTGTTTGGCAGCCTCTAGGACATAAAACGCGCCTTTTGGAGGGTTTGGCTGGTTTTGGATCTGCAAGGTGAAAGAAAACATTAAAAAGATGTTGACAAATGCTTTTCTTTTTTTGCAATAAAGATGAAGCTACAAACTACTTTTTTTTTTTTTTTTTTTTTTTTTTTACCATGGATTTGAGCATGTCTAGAGGATAACATGCAAGCCAGTATGAAACACCGCCTGTTGCACCTGAAGCCATGAGAGAGAACAATCCATGAGGATATGTAGCAGGGTCTTGACCTTGGGGCGTCAAGTATCTCTTCATGCCTTCGAATCCAGCATAGAATCCAGCGTATCCAGGGATCTCTCTAAAGACAGTTACCCAATATCCACGCATGAGCCCATGTCGAAATCCATGCTCCTTGATTAGCTGCTGCGCACAGTCAACTGGCCCTGAATACCGGACTGTAGATCCTGCTCCATATTGTGCCTGCATCTTAATCTTGAGAAGCTCAACAGGGGAAGCGAGCACAGCATTCACAATCCCTAAGTGATAAAGCAGAGAAAGGAAAAGAGGATAAGTTTGCGTTGAGAATACTAGTCTTTCAAAGAATTTTTTATCCAAGATTCACTGACTGACCTCCTCCTGCTCCTGCAATGGCGATCTGACTTAGTGTTAGAGGCCCCCCAGGATAAGGTTCCTGTAGCTTCTTGAAATTGGAATAAGCAGCAAATAGTAGCGCATTCACAGCAGCAATACCTACCAGCGGACTAGCCATTCCTAAGTCATAAAAAAAAAAAAAAAAAAACGAGTAAGAATTTGAGTTGCGGCCTTGTGTGACTAATAATCAAGATTTATTTCAACATTTGGCGCAAACATCATTCGCTACATCTTTTTTTTTTTTTTTTTTTTTTTTTTTTTCTTTGGCCTGCAAATGTGTATGTTATGTTCACCTTTATAGAGTCCAAGGAACCCCTCGTTTTTAATAGTTTGGCGCAAGCAGTCCAAGGGCCCAGCAAATCGTCCAGACTTGCTTTCGATCTGCAGACGAGTCTTGATCGTGTCCATAGGCTGTCCTACTGTGACTTGAGCCTATTTTTTTTTTTTTTTTTTTTTTTTTTTTGGAAAAATAGATACCTTGCTGGTGAGAATGAAAAAAAAAAAAAAAAAAAAAAAAAAAAAAAGTGTTTAAACTAATGCTTCAATAAGCTTACCATCCCTCCAAGACTATGATATAAGAATAAAAAAGAAAATAAAAGAAAAAAGTATCCACACTTAAAGAGTAAGTATATCAACAAGCGATTTTACATTTATATGGATAATAAACAAATGGATGGAATTCTAAATTATGCTGTTAAAAATTACCTTCCAGCAACAAAATCATGCCAAGGGACAATTTCCTTTTGCTTCAACTCTGCCATTTTATTATTATTTTTTATTAATATGATTATAAAAATAATGGGCTTCTCTTTGATTATTCCCCTTGCGATCGAGTGAAGAGAGAAAAAAAATTTAAAAAAAAAAGAAAGAAGAAGAAGAAGAAGAAGAAGAAGAAGAAGAAGAGAGGAATGAATGAATGAGTAAGGAAGAGGAATGGAATGAAGAAAGGAAAGGAGAAAGAGAAAGAGAAAAAGGTCAGTGTCTGTGCTCATTCAGCACAATGGTGCCTGGTGACTGTGAATGGCGTCAAGAAAGACCTCAATCAAAAAAAATTATCAGATTGGCTTAACTCAAATACCAAAGCCAAGCTGATAATCCAAGCAAAAGTTTAGGATCCAAAGTAAAACACCTTTTTCCTATTATTTTAGGAACGTTCATTTCAAATAAATAAGTAAAAACAGTTGAAGGTTCCGGGATTCAATCCTGACGAGGGTTCGGTATCATTTTTTTTTCCCTCCCACGCCCCTGTCGCGCCATAAGTGTAGTGGATAATACCGTTATGCAGTCCGAGCTTCTTTGTGCATGTTCACCGCAGCACATTGTTGGTAACAAATTTCGCGTTTTGTTCTGTTTATAGTATCTACGTAGGTGCAGGGCTTCATTTCTGTCATCGATTTAGAAAACACTTTGTCAAAAAATGATAGCCCTAAGTCTGAACACTATGCTTGAGCCGGACGTTATCTTTGAACTAGGTGATATTTGGATTTTTCTTCTTATAACCAATATCCCTTGCAGTATTTCTGAAGATGTCATTAATGGCCTGATCATCTTAAATGCCTGTGGCAGGACCACATCCTGCTATGTTTTGGGTGTCAGGAATAACTGTACATTGAAAGACTACATCACGTTCATAACGAAAAAAAAAAAAAAAAAAACCTTTTTCATCATCAGGCCAGTGTTGTTACTGTCCCCGCATTTATTGATTTCCCAAAAAGTGAAAAATTTATTTCTTGTCAGGGACTTTTTTTTTTTTTCCTCTCCTCCTCATTCCTCTCATTTCATTCACTCCTTTCATTCTTGCAGACCTATTCTGCTACTTTCGCCCTTTCCTTTCTTTTGATTCAATCGATTCGTTTGCAATGAAGTACGGCAATTACCTCAAGGAGCGTAAGCTACAACTGCCAGAGCAGTGGCAGCAGGTCTTTATTGACTATGAAGGCCTCAAGCAATTCATCAAGGAATACATCGCCCCTGCCTGCCTCAAACCCACCCTTGCAAATCAACTTGCCCCTACTTCTATCACCTCGCCTGCTGCTCCCATCAATGGTCAGCCCAATGGATTCAATCTCTCTTCAACAACAACCACTACTACTTCTACAACTGCAGTTGCTCAAGAAGAATTTCAAGACTTCACAACCATGATCGCCTCTCGCCTGATGATCTTGCAGACCAAAGTCCCCGAGTTCCTCTCGAGATTGGATCAGCAGGTCAATGGTGTTTCCGACTTTACTGCTTCAGAGACTCGAAAGATATATGAAGCCTACGGTGTCTTCCAGAATGGGAAGATCGATCTTGGTCTCGCTACAGCTTCGAATGCTTCTCATACGTCAGAATCATCAGGATCAGGAGCAGCAGCACCAGGAATAACATCTGTCACAGGAGAGTCATTGGAGACGCTGTTGCAGTCAGTGATCAGACTTGAGAAGTATATATTCCTTAATTATACAGGCATTGTAAAGATCATCAAGAAAATGGATCGCCATTCAGGATTGGCAATCAGTGAATCCTATCTGGGTCGTGTCTGGAGACTTCCTTTTGCGAGGGCTGAACAATTGAGCTCACTCAAGAAGGAACTAATGGAGAAACTGAGTGGCGGTCAACAACTTGACAACAATAGCACCATTGGACGATCATGTAAGAAGCACGTTTTGAGTTTTGAGTCACCATCAAACACCCTGAATTTTTTTACTTTTATGATTTTATCATAAATCTTCCGATAGACAATCAAAGTCACTGCTTTCTCCTTCATGACACCAACGAACTATTTTTTAAATCAACAATCTGTAAATGTCGAACTAATTTTGTTTTCTATTTGCCTATTGTATATCTAATCCTTATCCATGGATGACTCCTGATATACCCCACTCTACTAGCAATAACAGGTGAAGCTCCATTCTCGCCTCACTTGGGTCTCAACTTCAATGTAGACTCACCAGTGATGATGTGGCGTCCGACTACATTAAAACCCACAGAAAAGACCTGGTTCCCGCCTGCTCCTTTACTCCCTCACCAACGTGTCTTGATCTCGATGAGCGGACCCCACGGAACCGATATTATTGGCACACTTTTAGCCTGCGCAGCCAAATATGAATGTGAGGTCGAGGATTTCTCGTTTGCACGTCTATATCACAATGTCACTTTTGCAATCCTGATCACGATCAAGAACGATGATATGGATATCTTCAAAGACCTGGCTGAAGCTGCCAAACGTTGGGACGCAACCTTGACATTTGACATTTTGGACTCGCTCAAGAAGGATCCTCATTTTGGAAACTATGTTCCCCGTTCATTGGAGGATGCACCTTATGAGGGTCGTCTAAAGTACACGGCAACGGTTCTTTGCCAACACGGTTTGACCTCTGCATTCCTATCAGATTGGACTCACTTGCTGTTGGAGAATAAAATTTCGGTCGAGAAGATGGTCCGCTTAAACGAAGGGCAACTCTCCTGTGCAGACTATAAACTTTCTATCCCCCCTGCTCTCCAAATGGACAAGTTCAGAGAGTCTCTTTTCCAGCTCAGCGCTGCACATGGAACTGATGTGGCCTTGCAACCCTATGATGTCTTTAGGAAGCACAAGCGACTTGTCGTCTTTGATATGGACTCAACCTTGATTCAGCAGGAAGTCATTGATGAAATCGCACGACATGCCGGAGTCATGGACAAAGTCTCTGTAAGTTTTTTTTTTTTTTTTTTTTTTTTTTTTTTTTCCCGAGGGAGGGAGTGAGAAGGGGACAGAAGATGCATATTGTTTTTGCGTGCTCAATCTTTTACTTAATATCCCGATCTACCTATCTTTTTTTTTTTTTTTTTTTTTTTTTTTTAATTCAATATCGATGGTGCGATTGTGTGAATTTTAGGAAATCACTGAAGCGGCCATGAATGGAGAAATCGACTTTAAGGAATCACTCAAGCGTCGCGTTGCACTTTTAAAGGGCACACCCGCATCCGTTCTCGAAACAGTACGAGACCAGTTGACATTCACAGAAGACGCCTTGTATCTTTGCAAAGCCCTCAAGAAGATTGGCTTCAAGCTGGCCGTCATCTCCGGAGGGTTTATGCCTTTGGCATTGCATGTCAAGAACATACTCGGACTCGACTATGCATTTGCAAATCATCTCAAGGTTTCTCCTGACGGCCTCTATCTGACGGGCGAAACTGTGGGTCCTATTGTCTCAGGCGAACGTAAGGCCGAGCTGTTGGAAGTCATTGCACAGGCAGAGTCCGTGACCCTGGATCAGGTCATTGCTGTCGGTGATGGTGCCAATGACCTTTGGATGCTTGCCAAGGCTGGACTCGGCATCGCCTTCAATGCCAAGCCTAGGGTCCAACAGAAGGCTCGTGCTCGCATCAATCAAAAGAGTCTCAAATATGTTCTCTACTTACTCGGATACGAAGATGCCGAAATTCGACAGTTGGCAAACTCGTAAAAAAGTAAAGAATAAAAATAAAAATAAAAATAAAAATAGAAATGGCCTTTACAACTATCATTCATATTTTTTCTATTTTATTATAGGAAATAAAATTAAATTTGAAGGAAGTAAAGAATAGAATCTGTTTTCTAAAATCGAGGGCGCTTGCGGTTGGCCTGCGGTGGCCCCAGCCCATCCGAGTCATAAAAGTCGTGAGCATCATAGAACCTATCATCATCACTTATCTCTCCTTCCCCTACCCCAGTTCCTGCTCCTACACCTGAGACCCCCCCGCTCCTTACGCTGGTTGCAGGTACAGCTTTATAGCGTGTTGGAAACGCCTCAGTAGATGTCTCCAGAGATTTGGCTTTACCCTTGCCGGTAGTATCTGCCGTAAAGCGCGAAAGCTCAGTCCGGGAGTCTAATATTTCCATGTCGTCATTGGGCGCATCTTCGATAGGGTCAGGCGAGTAATCATCCAGCAAGATGACCTCATCTTCAATTAGGTCTTCAAAACCATCATCGATCTCCTGTCCTCCCTGTTTAGTTTTCTTTCGACCTTTATTACCACTAGCCTTGGCCTTCGCCTTTGTAGTGCTGGTGTTGCTGGAACCATCTGCATCAGCTTTTTTGCTACGCTTCCTGCTAGAAATAGCGCTTGCTAGGGAAGATTTGGTATTCTACATCAGAAACCCGTAAAAAAAAAAAAAAAAAAAAAAAACTTTTAAGTTAAATAGTATAAAACAAAGTAAAATAAAATAAAATAAATAAAAAAAAAAGCTTACTCCCGAGGCAAATGGCATCTCGATCTTAACTGACCCATTCATTACACCGCAGGCTTCTCGTCCTAGGTAAACATAGCTCGCAAATGCCTGCCCACTGGCTTCTACTCGCTCATCCAACACTTTCTTGGAGACCAACAGTCGTGCCAGACGTTCCGCATCTGTGCGGTCCCATGTCTTGCCTATACCGTAGCCTTGCAACTGATCATGATGATAAACCTCGATGATTTTCTTGATCTTAGCCCCACGGAATAGGTCAACAAGATATAATAATGTAAACCGGTCAGCCTCTTGTCGTGCTGTATAGTTATGCAAACTCATCCGTGTTGAAGGATCTTCATTATAGACTATCTGCCGGACAAAGTTAATGAATGTCTTGGCTTCAGTTGAAACGTCCTTGATATCAAACTTTTGGCCTCGACGACAGTTGTCGCAGGTGTTGGCGCAATCTAAGGGAGAAAAATGTTCTCCAAAGTAGCTCAAAACCTGGGCACGACGACAATCCATCTTATTCTCGCAATACATGATCATCTGTTTAAGATTGTCCCGTTGCCGTTGCTTCTGCTCGTGGTTTCCTTCACCCTTATCGATCATGAACTCGATCGTAGCCTTGTCACGGTAGGTATAGAAGAGAATGCAATGTGCATTGTTGCCATCGCGGCCTGCTCGCCCTGTCTCTTGATAGTAACCTTCAAGTGACTGCGGCAGAGAGTGATGAATCACGAACCGTACATTGGCCTTGTCAATACCCATTCCGAACGCAACAGTTGCCACAATGATCTGTGTCCCACCATCCTGCCATGATTTCTGGATCGCAATCCTATCTGATTTATCCAAGCCTGCATGGTAATGTTGCGCACTTAACCCGTACTCGTTCCGAAGTTTGTCAGCAATCTCCTCACAAGCGCGCTTACTAGTACAGTAAATAATGCCACTTGAGCCTGGGAATGTTGCTGTAATGAACGCATGGATGTCGGCATAGATTTGGCCTGTTTTAGCCCGAACCTCATAATATAGATTACGGCGGTTGAAAGACTGCTTTAGCACAAGGCAATTTTGCATGCCAAGATTGAAAAGAACATCCTGCTGAACCTTGGCATTTGCTGTTGCTGTCAGTGCCATGAGCGGTACTCCAGGATAAGTTGACTTGAGCTGGCTTAACAGTTTATAGTCTGGTCGGAAATCGTGTCCCCACTGGCTTAGACAATGAGCTTCATCAATCACAAATCGTGCCAACAGCTTACGTGAATGCAAGCGTCGTAACGTTGATTGCGCCTGCCCGCTCTTGGACAGCATTTCAGGAGTCATGTAGACGAGCTTAGGGATAACTTGCTCTGCATGTAACTGATCAAAGACAAACTTCCTCATGGCTGCATCCAGATTACCATGTAAGAGTACAGTCGGAATACCTTTCTTCACAAGGTGCATTGCTTGGTCTTGCATCAAACTTAACAAAGGTGAAATAACGATCGTTACGCCTGTAGGAGTGTTCCCTGAGCCGTTGCCCACGGTTGCTGGAAGTTGGTAACATAAGCTCTTACCGCCACCCGTAGGCATCAATACAAAAACATCTTTTCCTGACAAAGTTGCGTTGATCGCTGCAAGTTGATTCATACGGAAGTCCTGCAATCCAAAGATATCTCGAAGAGCAGCCATCACCCGCCTGGACCAAGGATATAACATTGACTCCTTAGTAGTAGGAGACTGAGATTTTCGATAATCAGACTCCAAAGCTGGACTGAAATGACTCCGAGTCGTAGTCACAGAAGACGCAGAAGTAAAAAAGGTGTTGCTAGCATTGCTGCTACTCCCGATATTACCGTTATTTTCGAATGTAGTATAACCATGCCTAATAGAAGACTGATTTGCGGCTCCATATTCCTGATAGTCCGCACTACAATTGTTTGAGAATGCTTTGATCGAAGCAGAAACAGGTGTCGCCTGAGCCATATTATTCGTATTTTGATTTAAGGCATCATCCAATGGCGATCTGTCTATATTTCCCCTAGCGCTACTGTTGCCCGCAGAAGTAGTCGCTTTCTTCTTAGCCTCTAATTTTGGCTGCAGATTGTTGATACGGTCACGCATAGCTCTCCATGACTTCTTGAGCTCGTCCGTGTCCTGATCCAAATCTTCTAGATCCATGATGAGGTCTCCAAGGCGCCTTTTTTCATCCATGGCGGTTTGAAGCATCACCTCTAATTCCTCCAATGAAGCATCATCATCTTGATCAAAAGCCACGGGTGAAACCTCGGATTTCTTTGTCGGTGCAACAGGAGACCTGGCGCGAATGTTGGCTTCTTCTGTTTCTAGATCGTTCAATACAGCATACTCTTCCAAAAATTTATAATCTTCTATCAGAGCTTCATCGTGTACAGATGTAAGATTACGACCTGAAGATAATGAGGTGGCTGTTGAAGGGTCTTTGGATAGATTGGATGATGCCACTTTGACAAGCCTAGATGAAGATGTCGTGGATGGAGAAGTCGGATAGTCAGAGCTGCTTGGAAAACTTAATCTGTTGGTAACTGATTTGGAATTACTACTAATAGTATTTGTGGCAATAGACTCTTGAAGAACAGGTCTGCTAGATCCGCCCCAGGTTATTGTTGACTTTGGACTCTCTGTAATAATTGGTTGCCTCGAATCAGCAACGCTGATTGTCTATGTATTCACCACGAAAGCGACGCTGAATATGAGCTTAAAAAATTGCTCCACAGCAGCAACGTATTACTGAGAGAATGGATTAACAAAATAAAGCTATCTTATACCTGTCTTGGAAAGTTAGAGGTGGTGGTATTTGAATTGGTAAGTCCCTGTGGCATATAGATGGTATTACTGGAACGAGCTCCAAATTCATATGTCTTTGGTGGCTCCATTGCAACAAGCTCTAGCCCGTTCCCACTTCTGCTTCCTGCAATTGGGGGGCGATTCTCTTTTGATGAAAGGTTCGGGCGGGAAAGACTGTTGCCAGAATGAAGGCTGGTGATGTTTGGAAATTTTAATGCTACAGTCTTTCGCATTTCATTAAGGTTATTTTTCGTCCGCTGTGTCTGGAGAGCCATGACTTTATGTGTAAAAGTAACTGTAAAGAAGGAGAAGGATATAGACGAAAAAGATCTTATGGGATGCAAGTCTAATAATGAAAACAAACTGATAAATTGGTGGCAAAACCATGAAGAGAGCGTTTATTTCCCGAAATATTGTGTTCGGATATAAAGCGATACATATGACGCATTTTGAGAGGGATTTGTGCTGTACTCACAGGCAATACCTCTCTTCCAATTATTGATTGATTTTCAGTTCAAGTGAGCTTTGCAGTTGGCTCCTTCTGATTGGTCAAAATCAATAGTAAATCCTCCCATCGCTTTGGTCGCTCTCATTTCGTGTTTATTGCACATGTCTGGGCCAGCGCGAAGTTTCCTTTTTAACTCGATCCTCTTTCTCTTCTTTTCTCATCATCTCTTCTCTTTCACTCTCCACGACCCCTCCCTAAGCTCGCTCCATCCGTGTTGACCACAATGGCTGGCTGTAAGTAGTCTGACTGACCATTTCTTTAAATAGTTGATCTACCCCTGTACATGATCACCACGCTTGTTTTATTGTCTCAACACACCAAAGGAGGTCGGTCGCTCATTCGCTGGTCAAAATAAAGGCAACAATAAACTACTGTGTAAATATTTAATAGTATTCAGGATATATCCCGGAATGCAACTAAATATCATTAATTCAGTCAGGGCGCCACGCTTCATTTTTGACAAGAAAAGATTCTGGATGAGCACCTCCATCATCTAAGCAATTCAATCTGTGTCAGGTCCAAAATATGTAACCTCAGTTTTTTGTTCCATTATATCTTTACCTTAGTTCGCTTTCTGCATTTGATCAGGCCTTTCATGGCTGTCCTGCCCGAAATTGCTGCTCCAGAACGCAAGGTATGTAGTTTTGACACGGATCAGGTTTATGAAAAGTGACGTGAGTAGCTGAAGCGTAAAATATATTTGAGGGACTAATCATTCCTTTTTTTTTGAATGCCCTATTATTAGGTACCTTTCAGGCAAAAGGTTCTTTGGACTGCTGTCACCTTGTTCATTTTCTTAGTCTGCTCTCAAGTTCCTTTGTATGGTATCATGTCTTCAGACTCGTCCGATCCCCTCTACTGGATGCGTGCCATCTTGGCCTCCAATCGTGGAACCTTGATGGAACTTGGCATCACTCCCATTGTCACATCTGGCATGTTCATGCAGCTCTTGGCTGGTGCCAACCTAATTGAGGTTGACTACAGTCTCAAAGAGGACCGCTCTCTCTTCAATGGAGCCCAAAAATGTATGTCCTTTTATTCCTTTCAATCGGTGCTCATCTCCAAAATAATGCTATCTTGCTTGAATGGTCGATCATTGATAATTATTTATTTTACTTTTTGATATACGAACCTTAAAAGTGTTTGCTGTCTTGATCGCTTTTGGTCAGGCTACTGTATCGGTTATGAATGGATTGTATGGACCTCCTTCCGAGCTGGGTGCTGGCATTTGCCTTCTTTTGATCCTCCAGTTGGTTGTTGCTGGTGTTATCGTTGTCCTGTTGGACGAGCTCTTGCAGAAAGGCTATGGTCTTGGATCTGGTATCTCGCTCTTCATCGCTACCAACGTCTGCGAAACTATTCTCTGGAAGGCTCTCAGCCCCACCACCTACAACGTTGGCAACGGTCCCGAGTTTGAGGGTGCTCTGATAGCTCTTTTCCACCTTCTGTTCACTCGCTCCAACAAATCCCGTGCCCTCAAGGAGGCTTTCTACCGTGACAACTTGCCTAATGTTATGAACTTGTTGGCTACTATTCTTATTTTCGGAATCGTCATCTACCTCCAAGGCTTCCGTGTCGAGCTTCCCGTCAAGTCTTCCCGCTTCCGTGGTCAGCGTGGCACTTATCCCGTCAAGCTGTTCTATACTTCCAACATGCCTATTATGCTGCAGTCTGCTCTGACTTCTAATATGTTCATGATCTCTCAGATGGTCTACAACCGCTTCCCTGACAACATTCTTGTTCGCATCTTCGGTACATGGTCTCCTTACCAAGGCACTAACCAGATGATTGCCTCAGGTGGTCTTGCTTACTACATGTCTCCACCCCACAGCATCACTGAGGCACTTTTGGATCCCATTCATACTGTTGTCTATATTACTTTTATGTTGACCGCTTGCGCTCTTTTGTCCAAGACCTGGATTGAGGTCTCTGGCTCATCCCCCCGTGATGTTGCCAAGCAGCTCAAGGACCAAGGCATGGTTATGGCTGGCCATCGTGATGCTTCAATGTATAAGGAGTTGAAGCGCGTCATCCCTACTGCTGCTGCCTTTGGTGGTGCTGTCTTGGGTGCTGTCTCTGTCTTTGCTGATTTGATTGGAGCCATTGGATCCGGAACCGGTATTTTGCTTTGCACCACTATCATCTATCAATACTGGGAGATGTTTGTCAAGGAGAGCATCGAGAACTCTGGTGATGCCCTTGCTTTCTAAAAACGCCTATTGGCCCATGAGTATATTAAAACTTTTTATTATTTGAGGGTCAGGAATAAGAGATAAGGACAGAACGCAGCTCCTCACATTAGAGACTTTAAACCATTTTACGCTTTTATACAACACCATGCCACTATGAATTCTCACTCGTATTATGTACATCATTAAAAATAAATTAAAAATATTTATATATAAATCTTATAAAATATAGTCCGTCCCATTAAAAAACGAGACATTCCATCTATTGTATATAAAAAGAAGAAATGTATTAGAACAGAAATAAATAAATAAATAAATTAACCAAGAAAAAAAAGTACTATCAAGCCAATACTTACAATTTTTTTAAGACGAAGGCCTTTCTGGACCTAGTCATGTTTGTAGTAGATTGTGTCCTACTGTTGTTGCCGGCTTGTCTCTCCCCCTCCTCCTGGACCCAGCAAAGGTCCTTTCGGTGGTCTTGATCCCTCTACTCCTCCTCCTTCATCTGAAAATTTCCTTTTTCTGATTCCTCCACTGCCACTTCCACCACTACCTCCTTCTCCTCCTCCTCCTTCCCCCGGGCTTAACAAAGGTTCCTTCGATGGTCTCGAACCCTCAACTTCCCCTCCTCCATCATCCGAGAATTTTCTTTTTGTGGTTCTGCCACTACCACTACCACTACCACTACCTCCTACCCCTGGACTCAACAAAAGCCCTTTCGGTGGTCTTGATCCCTCTACTCCTCCTCCTCCTTCATCTGAAAATTTCCTTTTTGTGGGTCTGCTACTACCACCACCACTGCCACCACTGCCACCACTACCTCCACCGTCGCCACTACCGCTAGAAGCTTGGCCTTGAGTTCCTCCGTCCGGCGGCATATATTTTGCAGGTCGTTTTTGCTCTCTTATCTGCGACTCACAGACCCTTGCGATGTTCTCAGCACCAACAGCATCTCGATCAAAGTATGCTTTACAATTTCGACAGTACTTGGATCGAAAAGGAACATTCTCCAATATACTGTCACAGTGAGGCCGTGGACACTTGGCAGATGTGTAGTATTCATGACAACCTGCAATGGGGTAGTCTAGAGATTTTGCCTGTTCGAGCCAGATTTAATACTCGTTAAAAAAGAGACTCAAAAATTGAATGTCATTGATCAAGGGAATTTTTTTTTTTTTTTTTTTTTTTACCTTTTCAACAAGCTTCTTCATCAATATCCCATGCTTCGATACTTGTCCTCGGTTTGTCTTGAATGATCCTAGTCCAATACAGATCACCGCATTCGTATTGGCATCTCTTCTTCTTCCATTGCTTCCGCCCGCAAGCTTCAGAATTGCCTTGATCACATAATCAACCCATCCGTTCTGTGCTTTTCTATTATCCCAGCTATTCCGAACAAACCACCCGTCATTATAGAAATCGACAAGCGCCCTATATATAGTCTCCTTATTGTCGTCACTGGTCCCATGCTGCCTGGGTGTCATATTTAACTTCTACATTCTCGAGGAGACGGGATCTCTGCTTCCAGTTGATCTCACGCCGGGGACTGGGACTCACCGGGGACAGTGGATTTGTGCTCGATGTACCTTCTTCAGCTGCTTCTTCTCCCTCTTCGCCATCTAAGAATGGTTCATCAACTTCCAGCAAGTCAATATCGCTGATACCCAGCAAGATATCGTCATCTTCATTTCCGTCGTCGTCTCCATCATCACCACCATCACTTGCACCATGGCCTGAAGACGAGGATCCCTGCTGAGCACTTGAGGAATCCTGGACTGCTTGAGATCTTTGAGTATCCGAAGGTTGGGCAGCTTGCGAACCTCTACCTCTTTTTTGCTTCGATGTGTCATAGGCAAGAAGTGTTAGGGTAAGGCCGTATGTAAAGAACGATGTCCGTAGTTTCCTTCTAGGGCCATCATCAGATTGCAGTCCAACGTCCTTGTATCCTTTCAAGGAAAACAGCTTCTGCAACAATATCCCCTTGTGGTTAAGGATCTTGTCCTCTGCAGCCCCCTTGGTACTCATGTTTAGTTCCAACAATTGGACTATTTCCTCTCGAACTGTTGGGTTAGACCATAATACTCATGAAGACTTTCGCATGACTCCATTGTCCGCTTGGGGGGCCTCATTGTATCGTTTATTGATTGATTGATGTGATATAGTGATGATAATATTCGTCGTATGATTGAGGCAATCTGAGTTAATTCGTTCTACAGCCTGACTAACTTGATCTTTTTCTGTACAGCCCGACGGGACTTGATTTGTCGCATCATTTGCTTACTCGTCTTCTTGCGTTCCCTTGATGTATTTGGGTTGATAAACACTGCTAATAGAGTTTGTTGGGCCTGTTGAAACCAGAGGGAACCACAGCAACATATCATACCCAAGGTGATACAAATATCTCTGTTGGAGTGAGTGGTGAACTGTGTGTGGTTCAGATGTAGTGGACATAAACGGCGAAAGAATGCATCGAAAGGATGTGAGCGGTTATGAGAGCAAGGAAGAAGGGGTTGGTATGCCTGTTCAAGTCCTTGGCAAGAGAGCATGAGTAGCAGTTGTGATCAATGGTATAGCTTCTAGACCCTATCTTCCACGTACAGTATTGCATTATTGTTGTTTTCAGACCTGGCACCAATCATGCGAGGTATTTCTTTTTCTGAGGGTTCCTTGTGTTAAACGGCCAGACAGAAAGCTTAGAAGAGATACAGACACAACGGTGTTTATTTGTTGTCTGCATATGCCTTCTTTTATCGCAGGGCTTTTTTTTATTTGGCAAATCTTTCCTTTTTTGTTCGTCAATCACTGTGTGCACGAATAAGCAGCTGAAGCATCTCTTTTGTTTCTGTACATGCACAAACACATTTTGCTAAAACACAAGCCTTTTCCATTGGTGCCTCCAGAAGAAATGAACAAACTTTATTTTGGCGATCACTCCATAATCAAAAATACTTCTAGGAGAGGATCAAACGCGTCGGTATTAATCTCGCTTCTGCTCTCCCTCCTTCCACAAGGCACTGCACAATATCACCATTAACAGGGCGTCGTCTAGTAAGGGGTACTAAGATAGTTCTTACTGCAAGCAATAAGCGCATGCAACTACATCACTCCTATCTCCACCAATGATGCCGGAACCCGAGAGCCAACGAATATCTCTGCTTTAACGCAAAAGTGCTGGAGCTGTTGGAGCAAAGAGCATCATATGAGGCCATTATCTGATAAAAAGAAGAAAGAAGACTTTTTTCTTTTGTTGTTACCTTTGACAAGGATGTAGCCACCTGTTTCAAATCAGTTCCTACAGACCGAGTCAAATCTACCCATGTATTCACCACAGGAGCACAAAGATATAACTTTGTGTAGAGAATCCTCATGCATATTCTGCAGTCGATTGCTCTCTATTAAAGCTCTTTATTTTTTTATTGTTCGATGAGCTTTTCTTGCCAGAGAACAATGGAGTGAAAAAAAAAAAAAAAAAAAAAAAAAAAACAGACTTCCTTACGTCCCCCCTCGGTATGTGTATCTGTCTGAACACGTCCTAACTGACATCCTCTCGACAATCCTCTCAAGGCTGCAGTGTTTAAATGTGTACAGGGAACAAAAGAGGTCTAGATACAGGCTCTCTTTGTGACATTGAAGGAGATCGCATGTTTCATGGCTATCGAGACAAGGTACCCCTACAGGCACAAGACAAAGGTATAACTCGGTTCAAACTCAAAGGAACGATTCTACCAATGGCCTTGTTCTGAATCCACTTGCCTATGGCACAATCCAGACGAAGAGACAGCAGCAGTCTGACGTAGATGAAGAAGATCTCAGCCAGGGATTGAAACTTTCACAAGGGTTCCTTAACACGGCGTGTTTTAAAGGCAGCCGGTGAAGACCTGACAGATGAAGACTACGCAAACATAAACTGGAAGAGGAGCCCCAAACTTCTTGAAAACGTTGGACTCATATTCCATGAGCTAGGGCGATGCTCCATAGCTTGAGCTTTATCGGCAATTCTCTTTGATGTCCTCCTTGCCTGTGGTTCTTTGGGCTTGCTTCCTTCTCCCTCATCCTCCACAGCTCGAGTCAATTCTGACTTCTTGAGGGACTCCCTTGCTTTTTTTTGTTTCCAAAAGAGAACCCATCTGGACCAGATATCGTCTTTGTATTAGAATCGGAGGGTAAATATTATCCTGTTTCCGTACAGTCAAAAATCGGCAATAAGGTCAAGAATTAAGGATGTCCATAATACAACTTGCCATAATTGCATCAAAGAACACCTCTCATCACCGTCTTCTCTCGGCTTTTGCTCGAATGGCATATCCTTGTTGCTGTTGTTTAGGCCTTACTTATCACGTTGCCTTATCATGTTGTCTTATCACGAACAGGGTGATTATTCGCTAGCTAAAGTCAAAGAAGTTCCTACCATCAAAGACAAACGAATAGAAACGACGTACTCAATATTAGCTTGTTGAACTTCCTTGAAAGTGCGAGATTAACTTGGATTCATGTATGGAGTCTTTGTTACAGTGAGTATCTAAGAATTCGTTCATTGTTATAATTCTGGAAGATTGAAATTAAACAAAGCGGGGCTGAAATACTCAAAATGTGTGCCCTTTGTGCCAGACGTAGGGGCGTCTAGCAACACACTATTAACCAATTTAACCAATCAAGGGTCATCCACTTCAAACAAGTTAATTGCTGCTATAAATGCTATTGGCTCAACGATAATTGTAAACTCCTTCTTCCTTTGATTAACGACAATTCAAGCAAACAAAACCTCGACCGGAACAGGCTCATTGTACTCCAATATCAAGTCTTTACTATATAGTAATCTATTCATTCTTTACGGCTCGACCGAAGGTTTCCCTGATGTCGACACTGGTTTTAATTGCTGCATCCCCTTTGTTAATACGCTTCAGAATTCTAGATTACTCATGGCATAGGTTACCAGATTCTTTATATCCCGGATCAGTGAGCGACCACACCAGGCCCTTGATTTCTTGCTTCCAAAGGCCTGCATCGGCACGTCCAATGACGTTCTCTATTATAGTGATCATTGGACGGAGACGACCACAGGACCAAGCATATAGCATCTCGATTGCTTGATCATTAAAATGGCCTCTCCGCTTTGATGCAGAGCTTGAGTAACTTTATTTCTCCAAATATCGCACAAGTGTCTTGAAGTATGTCCGGACTTTTGCTTGATTATCCCATCTAGGAAACGATACTGCACTCTTGAACCTCGAGTCATCGAGAACTTCTCGATATTCCTTGAAGCTTTGCCAGTTCTCTTAACCCAAGCAGGATCATAAATACAAAAGCCTATCCCGCAAGGAACTATGCAAATTCGTGGTAAATCCTCTGATAAGCCCTCCAATCCATGAAAGAATGCTGATAATATTGGTCGCATAGTGTCGTCGTTATTAATAAACTGGTATTTAGCCTCCCCTCCCCATATCCTGCACCTCGTTCAAAACAACCAAAAACATAGAGTTGCTTTGATGCCGCTCCGAAAGGACCCTGATTAGATTGTCGAACCAATCTTGCAGGAGCTTGTCAAGGCAATTAAAGCCAACTCTACCAAGTAATTCTGCTACTTCTGTGAAGAGCGCTAGGAATAAATCTGTCCTGGATGGAACCGAGTTTCCTCAATGAACTTCTCCAAGGGCCTGTGGACACACTTGCAATAGCATCCATTGGCTAGGCGTCATTCTACCTTCGGACAAGTAAAAAGGGTAAATTGATGAGTATCAAATATAAAACATAAAGGCATTTTTGCTTACGTTCTTCAAGGGGTATACGAAAACCAAACTGCGATTAACCGCCTATGAACGCAAGACACAGAACATTTGGTGAGATTATAAACAAGCGTGGATATCCCAGACATCAAGGACCTTTTCCTCCTAATCTTTCATCCGTCTGGCATGAATTGATGTGAGAGGGGATGATTCTGGCGAGATTGATACCCTCAACAGCATGTAGCATTAATATACCGAGAACTATTAATATACTGACGACACAATCCAATATTGTATCACATTTTACCAGTCAAGCGCGTGGCAGCCTTGGCCAAATTCTTGATGTTTTTTTATTCCATGTCCCTGGACGCCTAGAGATTCAAGACGCGCCGCCTTCACATACTGACACTGAATTGGCCGAACATACAACTAATATGATCTCATTGGCCACAGGTTGCCATCTCGTGCACGCGCACCATGGGACATTTATGTCTTTAGAGTGGAGCTGTCATCCTAGCTCCCGGTAAACGTTTTGGCGCCCTGGATGATGATAATTGATAGGTCTTTCGCAAGTGGCAAGCATCCAGATGACAAAGCATACGAGAAAGGATAATTTCCTATGCCAGCTGTCCTGGTGATAATAATATGATTTTGGGTCTCATCATCAGACTCTCACTGGGTTCTCCACAGGATTCTTCATCTCTATCCGTTTTTACAAAACTCTTTGATACAAGATCGCATAATGATCACAGCTTTATAAAGTTCTAAATGCCCCAAGTAGAAGGGAGGACGGATTAAACCGCTCTATTTATTCGTCTAGAAGGTAAGTGGATAATGATGGCTTCATTCATAAAGAATGAACCTGGAGAATCAAACCTGATAAATTAATAATGAACTGAGATATAACGAGACAAGAATGAGGATCTTTATTTTCATAATAGAAAAGAGTATTTATACCTCTTTTCTATTATTGTATGTCACGGGTATTAATATTAATGTAAATTAGCTATATAGAGATTTTAGGTGATTATGGCGCAGAACCATTGTAAAAATTTCTCAAGGAATGTGGTGAAATATGAAAAAGGTGGCGAAAATGAAGTGGAGCAAAGGAAAGAAAGGAGCGACAGCTGATAAATTTGTTCCTAGGTTAGGCGACGTGTGAGAAAATATTTTTTTCAAATCAGCCACGTGCCATTTTCTAGGTCATTGTGACGTGACAATCTTTAGTGCGCAGCAGAGGGTCAAGCTTGTCACTCTTTTTGGTTAGTCCTTTTCAATTATAAGAATTTTGTTAAGTAAACCATTTATATTTGAAAGAGTCTAGCCAAAAAGAGCGACAAGCTTGACCCTCTGGCGCAAAGAACTCATTTCTCAGTCTCGTCACCAGCCTGAGGACGAAGTTCATGTGTACATGCACAGGCTGGGACCAAACTTGACATTTTGGCTGGAGGTCTCTTTTTTTAAATTTGAAAAAGTTACTAAGTCAAACACACCGCTAGGAAAGGCTCTTTTTTTTTTCTTAGTCATTTACTCCATAGGGAATAGCTTTTTTTTATTTCTTATATTTTTTTAAAGGTGAGAATGATGAGAGGTAAATTTCGTAGTGATAATTGGATGAATAAATGAGTTTGTGAAGAAAAACAGTAGCATGCTTCACACGTAGGCCATTTTCCTCTGATCTGTAGGACTTTGCTTGAAAAAAATGATTTTAAAAAAAAAAAAAGCTGTCCCCTGTGGTGAAAATGACTAAGAAAAAAAAAAGAGCCTTTCCTAGCGGTGTGTTTGACTTAGTAACTTTTTCAAATTTAAAAAAAGAGACCTCCAGCCAAAATGTCAAGTTTGGTCCCAGCCTGTGCATGTACACATGAACTTCGTCCTCAGGCTGGTGACGAGACTGAGAAATGAGTTCTTTGCGCCAGAGGGTCAAGCTTGTCGCTCTTTTTGGCTAGACTCTTTCAAATATAAATGGTTTACTTAACAAAATTCTTATAATTGAAAAGGACTAACCAAAAAGAGTGACAAGCTTGACCCTCTGCTGCGCACTAAAGATTGTCACGTCACAATGACCTAGAAAATGGCACGTGGCTGATTTGAAAAAAATATTTTCTCACACGTCGCCTAACCTAGGAACAAATTTATCAGCTGTCGCTCCTTTCTTTCCTTTGCTCCACTTCATTTTCGCCACCTTTTTCATATTTCACCACATTCCTTGAGAAATTTTTACAATGGTTCTGCGCCATAATCACCTAAAATCTCTATATAGCTAATTTACATTAATATTAATACCCGTGACATACAATAATAGAAAAGAGGTATAAATACTCTTTTCTATTATGAAAATAAAGATCCTCATTCTTGTCTCGTTATATCTCAGTTCATTATTAATTTATCAGGTTTGATTCTCCAGGTTCATTCTTTATGAATGAAGCCATCATTATCCACTTACCCTTTAGACAAAGGCGATAGCGCTTTTAAATCAGTCCTACACACATACTTATTGAGGGCCCGTCATAACCGCTGTTGCATATTTCGTTTAATTGCAGCTCTCCAGCCCACATAAATAGGATCTTTATATATAGAAAACAAATGAATAAATACTCGGATAATGTGGTGCTGCGTGCAATGTTTTAACCTAATTGATATTGTTTATACATGATCTAAAAACAAAACCTGTGAGGAAAAAATAAACCTCAACGTGCATATTATTATTTTTTGCCAGAGGGAAATGTCCCACGACAGAGTAAAAAACCTCTGCGATACTCTCTATGAGCGTTATGATGCCATTCTCTTGGATCGTGTTATTCGTCTATTTTTTGAGTTGGCTTTATCAGATGGCTGTACCTTTTTTTGGCTTATTAACCTCTGGTGTTGCTTCAGGAGATGCTTCGGGTGCCTGAGACAAACTTGCAGTTTTATTTTGATACAGATTTGGATAAATGCCCCATGGATGTGATGTGTGAACCCACATCCTATTCTCACTTCTGCTCCCTGGTTACTCTTTGTCTGTCTAAAATTTTTCATGAGCTACTACAAACATGACTAGGTCGGGAAAGGTCTTCGTCTTGAAAAAGTTGTAAGTATTAGCTTGACAGTGCTTTTCTTGACTAATCTCTTTATTTCTATGCTTGGTCTAGATGGTGTTTTTTTATGGGGAGGACTATTTAGACAACATATAGACCCCACATATCTTAATCATAATAAATTGGTTTGGTGGCATTGTTGTAAAAAATATCTTTGCTTAAGGGACAGAAAGATAGACACAATCAGGAAAAGGCAGGACAAAGAGTGTCAACAAGATTGACAAGAGAAAATAGAGTCAAATAACCTTGACTACAAACAGCGCCATAGAATGTCAAAAGAAAAGATGGGAGCTTTATAGGTGAGCTCACAAACTGAGTTACCGGAAGACAAATGCTTGTTGTGAAAAGGGGAAAAAGATAAATGGCAAGATGAACTGCGGGTGAAGAATAAGACATGTGGGGAAAACTGAAGACTTTATTAAGAAGGAAGTTTCTTTGGCTTTTATACTCGGTAGTTTCTAGGTGAGGCGGACCCGCCTATGACTACAAAGGCTTTGCGCAAAGATTCCTTTAAGCTGGTTCGACAGATTAGTGGATACAAAATTAATTTTAATGACCAGTCACACCACTTGCAATAACAAGCGAGTCAATTGGCTGCCAATACATTTAAGAGTATTCAAAAAATATAAGGGATCGCGACCAAATGGAACGGGCTATACGATGAATTGAGTTGTGCCAAGCTAGACATGATGTGTTTTATCTTGACATCTTTATTCAGGCTGAAGACATAGACCTTTGTTTCATGTGGTGAGAAAGGAGAGGAAAAACCCAGGGTCCTAAAGCTTGCTGTTAACAGGAGAACTACCTTTAATAGAGACAACAGCTTTTCCAAAGGTCTTTCTCGCAGCAAGATCATTCAGACCCGTTTTGACAGAATCCAAACCCTGATAGACCTTCTCATAGACCACAGGGACTAACTGCTCCTTTGCGAATAGATCCAAGAGTTCCTTCCAGACCTTGGCAACGGTAGCCAAATCATATTTAGCATAAGCCCCCCAATGAACACCCACAACTGATATGTTCTTGAGCAAGATACGATTAGCAGGAATCTTTTCGATCGTGCCTGCAGCAAAACCCACAACCAAGACACGAGCACACCATGCGCTGCACCGAAGAGATTCATTGATCAAGCCAACAGGGTCATAAATAACATCTGCGCCATGGCCACCAGTGAGTTTGAGCACTTGTGCAGACCAGTCCTTATCCCTGTAGTTGACACCATAGTCAGCACCATTCTTGAGCGCAATATCAAGCTTATCCTGCGATCCTGCCGTCGCAATGACCTTAGCACCAAGAGCTTTGGCGATCTGGACTGCACATAGCCCTACTCCGCCGGCTGCAGCGTGAACTAGACACCATTCACCGGCTTTAAGATGTGCACGCTCCACTAATGCAGCGTAGCTGGTTGGATAAGTGATGAAGAGACCACTGGCTTGCTCAAATGAGAGGTTACCGGGAATAGGGAGTAAGCTCTTAGGATCGCATGCAAGTTTCTCGGTGTAGCAGCCCTGAGTCGAACCAAAGACGCGGTCTCCGACCTTGTAAGATGTCTTTGCATCAGGATGGATCTGAGTAATAACTCCTGCAAACTATCAATGTCGATCACAAGAAAAATACAAATACACAAAAAAAAAATATTGGTCGGTTATAAGGAGGTCCCTTTGTTCTCGGTTCGGCACCAGCTGCTTTGTAATTTTGCGGGTGCGGATCCCAACGTTTTATTTTTTTATTCCAAAAACTACATGTCTTTTTATTGTCAATACTCAAAATAATTATATATTTACCTCCGCTCCAGGAATATAAGGATATGGCAGCTTCACCTGATATTTTTCTTGAACCTATTACGATAAGAAAAAATCATGAGTAAAAGAAAAAAAAACCCCCCCATTGGTACAGCACAACAGTGATAGGAAAGCTAACGATGAACCTACCTGCAAGATATCGAAAAAGTTGAGACCTGCAGCCTTGACATCAATAAGGATCTCACCTTCCTTGAGAACAGGGTCAGGGACAGTTTGGACAGCCATCTGATCAACAGAAGTCAATGCCTTTTCAATGAGAATGGCCTTCATGGCTTCTTTTTCTTTTTTTTTTTTTCTTTAGTAATGAAGGGTCTGTGAAAGTTGATTAGAAAGAGGAAATAAGAGTATAAGTGCGTAAAGTGTGAAGAAGAGTGAGAATGAGAGTGGAGCAAATAAAAATGAAAATAAATGGAAAGGAGGATGAGTGAATGACTTGAAAAGAAATGAAAATGAAAAGTAATAAAACTGTCCATGAACTTCCACATTGAACAGAATACAACTCTCTTTTGAGAAATGATCGGTCGGTCTGTGTCAACATTTGTGCAATATGGCGCTTTTTCCGTTACACTAAACAGCGTTTTATGGACATTTACATGTCATCGAGCCATTTTATATTAGAGGATGTTGTAAGTGCTATGCTACATTATTATTTTTATATATGCTAAATATTAAAAGTTAAGATTAGAAGGGAGGTATATCCACTTATGAGTTTCGATAGGGGGTAAGAAGCCATGATGGATCTTGTTGGTCATTTTCCTCCTGTGGTGTAGGTGTAAATGTACTCTCGGGCAGAGAAAGTTGAAAATCATGATCACCTTTCACGTCTGTAATCATGAAAGTACTCCTTGTTACTGCTGCTGGTGGAGAGACAACACGTGCTGGGGATGCCAGTGAGTTTGCGTCCATTGCCTTTGGAATGCTTGGTATCCGCTGCGTCCGAGGCGGAGGAGTTAAGCCAGACCCATGATGTTGAAGCCTTTGATACTGTTGCTTCTGCGCCTCGCAGGTCCGTTGCTGCTCGCGACGTTGAGTCCGTGTTGACTGTCGTTCAGATGTGGTTGTTGACAGACTGGTTGTGGAGGCTGCCTGAGAGGATGTGCTAATGGAAGACATTCTGTCTGTAGCCTGTGAATTTTGCCCATTGGAGGAAGATACAGACCGTGATTTGTCGCGTTTGCTCGTGCCGCTTTTATTGTCGCTACTACTACCCTTGGATTGACGTGAGCTTGGTCGTATCGACTTCAGAGGGAACGATGGTGAACGCGGACTAGATGCTGTGGGAGGGTAAGCAGGAAGAGGAGGACTATTTGGCCGATTCAATGGTTGTCCTCCGAAGACAGTACTACGAAGGTCAGGGGAACGAGAGCGATCACTTCCGCGAGCACAGAACGTTGTATTAGAATCCATGCTTTCTCGGTTTTCTTGTTCCATAAGGCTAAAAGGCCGAGCCGACGATCCCAATGATACCTTTCTCGTGCCCTCTTGCCCTGGCTTATTGGATTCAGAGAAGGTATCGTGTATGGATACAACTTCCATTAACTCAAGCTGGCTCCCATGATCCGCCAAATCAAATGAATCGCCCTCGTACTCTCCTTTTTCCATCGAATTAGCAGAGCGAAGTGTGCTTAGCTCGGCCGAGTCACGCAGTGTCAATGGTGCTTCAGGGTCCGATGGAGAGGACCTTGAGCCCTTTTGATTGGGAGACGAATACATATTTTTAGTATTTGATGGCGAACTCTTCTGGCCGGAAGAGGTTGGTACCAATGAATGTGTCATTGATGTAGCCGGATCATGAAGACCACGTCGTCGGTTGCGTACAGACTGTACAGCGATTAGGGCCATGATCGCAAAGAATGCAACCGCAATCGCGCAAGTCCAGAAAAAGGCCATAGTATGGGGAAGTCCATCATGTTCCATCGCAAGGATCCTCTTGCGGCATATGACCCAGATCATGCAGAGCGAACCAGCCAGTAATGTTACTAATGCACCCCCAAAGCCTGTGAGCTGTAATTGGATGAACAAGAACCGTGCAGGGCTGGAAGAGCGCAAGTTGCTGATACCAAAGGCTGCTTTGGGTGCTTTAAGAGCAGCCTCCGCAATAATGATATTAGCTCGAAGAATAAAAGTGTACTTTAGACCATAGTAAAAGAACATTATAGCCTGTATTGAAATAAAGACGTGGTAAGGATGTTAAAATCTTTGAAATTGTTGGCAAGCTGCAAAAAAAAAAAAAAAAAAAAAAATCTCACCATAGCCCAGAGGATCAACACCCAGTTTGAATATTGGACGATAAGCAAGATTTCAGAAAGGTGCCCATAACCAGGCATCTGTGCAAATACCGCGGATGCCACGCCCGCACCTGCGCCAAATACCGCGGGGTAGACAACGCCCATAACTAATAAAAAGTTTTTTTGAACAGTCGTTGGCGTTAGGACGTGGATGGGAGGCAGAGGACGTGAGTCGAACGTGGTTTCGGGCTGGTAAATGGCAAAGATGCCTTCACGCGTTGTTACAGGCATTGCATACAACAGGCCAACGAAATAGGAGGAGAATCCGATAGCGACGAAGATCCTATTGTGTCAAGAATAACGAACAAAAGAAACCTCGAGCTGTGAGTTTCACAAAAGAAAGTAACGGACTGATGTATTGAGCCCTTTATGAGACGTTATAGATATTGGGCTTACCAATAAGTTTGCTCTATAGCAATGCGAATCCAAAGCCTGTCCTTAAAAACATCAAAGATCACAGGCATATTGACGCCAACCTTGATCAGCGAAGCAAGCCCTGTGAAGAAAATGATGCAGTCCATCTTTATATTGATGTGTGATGTTAGTGTCCAAAAATGAACTCATTTATAGCTGATGCAGAGGTTTAATATGGAATCGCGTCTGCGACTGACTTACAGGCTTTGGTCTCAGTCCAGTGCCAACTTGTGTGAAGAGTTCTGTGACGATCCTGCTGTTAAAGCCGCGGTTGCGGAAAATTAAGAGCCAGAGCCCGAACAAGAAGACGAGCCCATGCATGACAGAAGAGGTGATTAAAAGGTTGCGAATGAAGTCTGCATCACGACAGTCTGCAGCTGACCGGATCCAGTCGCATAGTAGCTCTTTGTTTGCTGGAGGAAAGAGTGTAGCGGACGACGCAGGGTCTACAACAGATGTAGGTGTGGGCATTGCAAGGGTATTGGTGGGGGAGCTGAATGTGGTTGGCAGAGTTGAAGTCATGGTCCAACTCATGATGCTATTCCACCGCTCTATTTCTACAAAATGAACCAATGTATATAAACAAGAAAGAAGGGTAAGAAAGGTGTAAGAGTTGTATTTCCAAAGATGGAGAAGATGCAGGAAAAAAAAAGAGGAGTGATAATCCATCTCTCAAAGAAGAGGAGGGAAATCGTTTGTGCCATCATTGCAATACACTAATTGGCATGTGCGCAACAAAAACAACAAAGGCGTAAGGAAATGTTTGTGCTGCTGTTTTTTCTAGTCAGCAAAAATCATTTGCCTCACGTGCCTCTTCGCCCTGGCACACGCGACTTATTTCCAGGGCACACCCAATATGATTGTTTAGCATGCCAGAAGGTATGCTACCGAATGATCCGATCAGCGATAACGAGATCGAAAAAAAAAAAGAAAAAAAAAAAAAAAAAAGCGGTATTTGTCGCATGAAATGACGAATATTTTGAACGAGCTCTTCAGAAAGAGAGGAGGATAGCAAGTGATAGATCACACAATGAATGTAAGAGATAAAAGGATAGGATGGATAGATGAGCTTTTGGAAAACAAATCCTTGAGGATCCAGACGTACAGCAATGACACTGAGAAGCAAAATCGGGATCCACTAATGACGCTGCAGTATTGAAGTAAACCGAAGATAGAGTGAGAGGAGAGTGGGGAGGGGAAAGAGAGAGTGAAGGGTGGGAGTGACAGTGAGAATGTGGTAGGTGAGGATGAGGATGCGGAATAAGAGGAAGTGAAAGCGAAAAGAAGAAAGTGTGTATGTGTGTATGAGAGAAGAGAAGAGAATGAGAAAAGAGAAAAAGAGAGGGTTCAACTATGAAGAAGAAAGAAGAGAAGAGTCATTAGGGGGAAGACAAGAGGGGATCTTGTAATAAAAAAAAAAGAATTTGATCGTGTGGATGGAGAGAAATGAAAGGGAGGAAGAAGAAAAGAGAACGGAAAATAAAAAAGTGTCTTCCAATGGGGTGTTTAATAATGCACATCCATGGATATCCATGGAGCAAGCAGTGATCTTCAGTTTAAAAATAAGTTTTTGAATAGATACAGACAAGCTGTAGTCATGTTGTACAAAGACTTAGACTCCACACTAGTCTGTTTAAACTGTAGAAATGTGAAATTAGACACTTTACTGGCCGTTTCTTGACTACATGCACATGTATTTTGGTTATTGACTCTTTGACTTGCCACAGGCCATTCTCTCTGACCTATGGCGCAGTAGCAGCCAAATGTCAACCGTATACCCCTTTTATGTATCACTGATGCTTACGTTTTCCTTGTAGCGTTCTATTAAAGTGTATTATAGCTGCATTGCTGCCATATCGCCTTTAGAATTAAGAGATGGTCAAAAGGGCAGAAAAAGAAAGGAAAATAAACAAACAAACAAACCCATAAAAAAAAGCATAAACCCGCCCTTTCCTTTTGTCTCCCCTTTCTGCCCCTGCGGCTCTGTATTATCACACACCTGCTCTTAGCGTCAAAGACGCTCAAAACTTTGCTCACGTCCTTCTTCTTGCTCACTTGCTGCTTACTATTTTTTACCTTTGTGTTATTTTTTTTTTTCTTCAAAATCTGAACCCTTTTTGTGTTTGGTTTCCTACTTTCTTTAAAATGTGTGTTCGCTTTTCTGTCTCTGTACTCATTTAAATCCCTATGACGTGTTCCATGGGTTGACTAGCTGAATGGCAAGCACAAGGCACACGGACCTTAACTCAATTGAAAAGACCATTAACGATCTATTCACGCTAATCAATAATTGTAGGCTGGAGATGCTTTGTTCTTTCTATTCGGACATCTTCACTTTACAAGAATATTAATGCACTCTTTCACTGCCCGCATTTTTTTTTTTTTTTGTGAGACGCTCAGACTAACAGGGTACATGTGCAACATGAGGGTCGTTGCGCTCGGAAATCTATTAAATTGTCTGTTTGATAATGTGCAGGGTTTTTATTAAAATTATTTGTATTACATGCAGGGAAGGTGGACAGTCCAGTGATGAGATTTTTTTTTTTTTGTGTCTTGATCTGAAAAATAAAAATAAATACTAGTGCGCGTGTAATCTGTCATACATTTGTTTAAGCAAACCGAGGATTTTTGTGTTTTGTTTTGTTTTGTTATTTCAAAAAAATAAAAAAAAAAGCTCATTCAAGTGATGACATCTGCGTGTACTCTGCATGTTCTTGGTCACGGTGTTGTGCACTGCAAATACCCTCGACATCGTACCCCACTTTTTCTGTGGAGTTGACCTGCGTATCGGTGTACCAAATGTGGTGAGTGGAGTATAGGGAGGATAGAGAAAAGATGAGATGGTTTTAGATTCAGGGCAGGGGAGTTGGACGGTCAGCAGGGCTCTACTTGATCAAATGGAACGGAGTGGGCGAAGAATCATGCCGATAAAAATAAAAAATAAAAAAGAGCACATATTCAAAGAATCCCGTATGCTCTTCGCAACCCGCATCATATCCATATTTGTATCTAACAATGCAATGGTCAAGAATAGATCCTAAAATTGATGCCCTTTTTTTTAGGCGCTCTCAGAGTCGATTTACCAGAGTTTAGTGTCTTTTATTTTATTCCTTTCAGTATGCGCACTGAATATGTGTTCACAAATCTTCGGTTTAGATCCAGTGCCCATGAAAAAAAAAAAAAAAAATCCTTCTCAACCGAAATTGAAAAAGTTTAATATTCTAATCAATTAGTCAATCAAAATTGCTGCCGCTATCCGCTAGCCGTCATCAATGCAGCCATTAGCTGACAATGGTCAAATATTAATAACAACTTTGTGGAATCGGTATCCTCCATCGAAGCAAGTGTCTTATACCTCTCCAGCTCTAGTCGAATGATCCCTAAAACTGGGAGTGAAATATGTAGAAGATCAAAAGTAGCGAAAAGAAAGAAAGATGTGCTTACAACAATGGCCCTCAAACCTTCATTTTATAAATCCGGGTTGTAGCATACAGAAATGGACTGCTAAATAACCACCACTCTCCCTCCAGATGAGGGGTCATGTCTTAGCCATATTTAATATAGTCGGGTTGCCAGAAAATTTTGAAACCCCAATCCCAATTCATCTAAGCAACTCTTCATTTCATCTAATCACCCCTCAATTCTACCCAGATGCGAAATATTCTTGTCTTCTTTAATTTAAAAAATAATAAAATAATAAAATAAAAAGACAAGATGGACCGGTATTCCAGTCACGGTTTCCTTGACAAAGAACCAGCAATGAGGCGATCTTGGGATGGATTCGTGCGCTCAAGTCGAAGACGGATCAACTCTGCGAACTGGAGCTTCAATCCATAGCAGCTATTGCATATCAGGGTCAAAGTGACAAAGCTATTCGAGCTGAGTTTCCCACACGAAGCTCGCATATTTCATTGTACTAAAAGCATAAGAGTAGAAGTCAACGCTCCAAAACCCTGGAACGATGTGTTTATCACTAGATTTGGAGGAATGGTAGAAGATGTTTCATCATGCTGGTTTGGTGTTGTGGTGTTACAGATACAAATGGAGCTGCAAGAAATCACCCGAGTGGGTGCATTGACCCTAAATGATGCCTAAGAAACACATGGCAGAATGCTTGGGCAAGAGCTGCTTTGGTTTGCTGTGGACAGATTGAATTGGATGTTTGGTCAGCGTCAAACTCTTTCTTATGCTTGAACCAATACCAACGACCATATCGAGCTGTGGTACAATTCGCTCAAAACGCACTTTTTCCAAGGATCAGCAGCAGCGATGCCTCGGCACAGCCATCTATATTCTTGTTCAAAAGGTGACCCTAAATTGGCAGAAGATATGCGTCTGGCGCGCTGTGCAAGTTGGAAGGGTAGTCTTGGGAAAGAAGAAAGTGTTCCATAGTCGACTTTATGCCCTAAACTTTGCAACGGGCAGACACACTGAGGATTCATAAGCTATCTTTCAATCGCCAACAATTGATAATATATACGCTTTTTCGGCCTACTTCGTTCACAAGATTTTCGATGGACATCCGAAGACGGAATGAATCTATCTCTCCAAACCGGAATCTAATCGTGCATTTAAAAAACAAACCATCAAAGCTGAGCAATACACTTGCCAGTCTGGAGTGGACTGAACTAAATGTTTTAAATAAAACTGTGCCAGATATTAATTTACTACGTTTTAACCTTAGCGACGAGATAATGTCTGCTGATCTAACCCACCTCAGCCAACTGTACCAGCATCGTGCAAGTCCAACCCTACATGTTTCGCAAGGGGGGGGTTTTTTTTTTGATAACAAGGGCCCTCAAGGTCATGGGATTTATTTTCTACGCTCTTTGGACAAAATGCTCCAGAAACTATAATGCTTCGCAGGGGATCTAAACTCCAACAGTCCAATGGATCGCCTCGTGCTTGTGAATAGATTTTGATCTTTGCAAAATTAAAATGCTTCGGTTCTTTGACTGCGTTAATCTTAATTAGGGCATCGTAGAGCTAACTTGCCCTTTCACGAATCCTCCGATGTTGCTTGGAACATTGTATGCTGCTCGATTCCCCTGATCTCGGATTATTTTTCAGATTCGGATGTCTGCCAATCTCGTATGGAGCGAAGGTTTGTTAGATCATAGGAGTTACAGGTCAACTCTGCAGCTACTGCAAGCACAGTCTTTCGTTATAGCAAGGCTAAGGTGATGACAGCGAAGCCAACATTTCGATCAGCACTTCAGTTATTCCTGTGGGCTCTGCTAAATGGGCAGCTGGAGAGGCCATCATATATCACCTGATAACCTTGACCAATACCTTCAGTACCATTGACGAGAAGGCTGCTATGCCTAACCACTAAGTGATAAAATGAGCGTTAAAGATGGCTCAGGAGCTGTGCGAGGCGCACAAGCAAATAAGCAAACGAGCAAGCGCTCCCAGAACGTAATTTTAGAAATAAACTTTCGATTTCTTTGATCGCTCCATCTCTCGATCCTTTTGTCTCTCCTGTCTCCATAGTATATTCAAGCGTATTGCAGTTCTCCACAGCACTTGAAGCCTTACCAATTGGCCCAACTCTTAGTCTCCATTGCTTGCTACTGATTGCAGTATTAATTCCATGCCTTATTACGACGACTAAGAGCACCTCTCGTACGGTATCAGACGATATCCTGTGTTCGTAAGAGAACGTCTGCCTTCAAAATAAAGATCCCTCTCTTTGTCCTATTGAGAAAAAGGGGGGTTTTTTTTGAAAAAAAAAAAAAAAAAAAAAAAAAAACTGTGTTATAGAGCGCCTTTCTAATCAGATTTGAGGTAACTCTCGCTTTGACCTACTTTTTTTTTTATGATTGCAAGGGCACAAAGTCATGTTGAGTCTATTTCGATGTAAGCTCTATAAACGGATTACCTCATTTCCAGGATCGGGGTAAAGCTGATTTCGACGATCGGTCATAGGTGTAGCGCCATACCACCACAATACAACATCCTGTTCATAGCCACATCGGCATCGAGTAGCCTTCCTTAGTCCCTTGGGGACATGTGAAAGGCTCTACTCCCTACTTGGTCTGTTGTGCGCAAAGGTTCTCAATCATCAAAAAATTTACAATTTTCTAGGTGCTCTTTAACCACCAACTCCACTTGTTGTCGGGAGGAACAACCGTGATCGTTTTTAGTCTTTTTTTTTTTTTTTTTTTTTTTTTTTGATAACGAGGGCCCGCAAGGCCCCTTTTCTCACAAGCTCTGCAACGAAATTTTGTCTGCGAGGGGTGGGTCTAGCATAGGTCCTGGGCAGTGTCTGTCGCGATGCGCATCCATTGCCGTATCACAATGACAAAAACCTTCTGCTGCCATAAATCCATATCCGCTGGTTCAGTCGCCTCTTGGCCCAGTGTGTGGCGCACACTTCCGTCTTGATCTCACACCTCGGCCCCCCTCCTTGGCGATGGTTTTCTTACAGCGTGACTTCCAAATCAACTCCGTAGCCTACTGCTCAAGGTAACCAACGAACTTGTGAATCACTTTACCAGCGATAGATCGCGCTGTACAAAACAAAGGGCTCCATTCGTTGATCAAACTAAGCGGTGTAATACCTCGGTAGAGGTCCATTTGAGATCAAGAGCACGATCGATTTTGTTGCCTGTGCTTAAAATCGCACGTATTCCACTGATGCATGAGAGTCCTTATAAATGCACATCTCAGGGCTGACTCTTTTCAGGTTCGTACTCTTATGATCCTTGTTGCATTTGATAGTGGCTGCGCAGCCCCAGCGATCTATGCGCGACAGAGCCTCCTCCCAAATGTTACTGTGGGTTTCACCCATGGCACTACAATTTTTTTTTTTAATAACAAAGGCTCTCAGGGTAATGTATTTATTTTCTACACTCTATGAACTGCAAAATACTCCATAAACTATAGTCAATAAACAGTTATTACTGCACAAACGGCGAGAGCCACTGCATCCATTTTTTTTTTCTTTTTTTATAACAAGGACCCTCAGCACTGCATCCCTGATTCACCCAGGGCATTACAGGTTCACACATGGCACATGGCTGTTATCTTCGTTTTTAGCCTCACAGACATAGCAAACTCAAACTGGATAAAGAAGAGGTCGTCGGACTTGCATGACGTTGAGGTAGGCAGCATACCATGCAGCTTCTTGATATGGTGTTTTTTTTTTTTTTTTTTTTTTTTTTTGATAACAAGGACCCACGAGGTCATGTAGGTTCTTGATATGGTGGTGTTTATTATGGAGGTAAAGCGGAGGCTATTTTTTATATAGAAGGCTAAGTGGGGGTATTGGCTGGTTGTGAACGGCCATCACGTGCAGTCCGTCTTATAACCTTTTAGAATACTGAGATTCTTACAATTTCAATAAAAGGTCTATTGGCCCAATGGAAAGGCGTCTGACTACGAATCAGGAGATTGCAGGTTCGACCCCTGCATAGATCACTTTTAAGTTTATTTTGCTTGTACTACCAGCAAATATTTCCCAATTGAGTTCATTTAACGTGTGACACGTGTCGCGTCGCCACCAATTTGTTGCTTTTTTTATTAAGCCACGACGCGTCCTTGCGCGACTGCTTTGCCTTTATGGGATAAATTATCTCCCAAAGAAAACTGCACTAGGCACACAATTCCTTCACTGCCACTATTTACACACTCATGCACATACACAGATTCGTACACTTTCACACACTCACATGAGAAAATGGACAATAATATCAATAACGGTGCTAAATGAGACCTCGTTTACTTGGAAAGATCATCAAGATAGACGTTTCTTTCAGGGCAATGAATCTACTGCAAATCGTCGGTTATATACGTCCCTGCATATTATGTCATTTCCTTTCATCCTCATCTCTTTGGTGTAGTCTTCTCTCGATCTCGTTATCTGTTTCCTCCTTTGACATTGGCTATGCTGTTGTGGTTGGCTTTTTTTCTTTGTTTCTCTTCCTTTTATCAATTCGTAAACGTTGACACAGGGTGTAGCGCATGCGATCTCTTAGAATAAAAAAGAAAAGCAAGTCCGTCAGTAAAGTACGCTTGATGTGTACATCGTATCTGCCTTGTTGTTGCTTGGTGCTATTGAAGGGAAGGATCGTGAATAGCTGAGTAAAAGCAAAGGAGTTCCAGGGTGACTTTTCTTGGCAGCAAAGCAATTTTTTTCGTAGTCAGCCTTAATTGATTGTTATTTTGCTGCCGTTGCTGCTAAAGCTTTTTTCTCTTATTCTCATTGTCATTGTCATTGTCATTGTCATTGTCATTGTCATTGTCATTGTCATTGTCATTGTCATTCTCAATTTTTATTTTTAATTAATCTTTGCATTATATAGCATTGGCATTTCACTTGCTTTTCTTTATTCTCTTTCCATACTTATTTGTTAGCTGCTTAGCCCTTCTTGTCTGTCCCCCGCGCTACTCTAAACCTGAGTTTGCTAGACGCGGTTTAGTTCTGTCTTCTATTAGACTTCATTATTATTGTTGTTATTGATTTATTTTTGCCTTCATCTCTTTTCTATTTTTCCTTCTCTTCACTCCGGTCATTGCAACCATAGGCATATACATTCCATTCTCATTCCATTGTTGGTGATTGCAAACCTTTACCTTTTCCTTTTTCTTCTTTTGTTTTTACCCTCTTTCTCTCCTTCATTAGTGGTTTCACCTTGAAGCTCATCCTATTTTCTTTGCATTCGCCTACTCGCGACGAAATGTGTGAGTGCTAAATTCAGGATCCTCCCGCCAGAATGACAAGCGATCAGATGGATTTGCAATCGTCCCCATCTTCGGATGCCAGCCGCTCGTCCACAACGTTCCACGCTAATGTTTATATAGTCAATCTTGAACGAGCTTCCTTATCCCGCAAGTTGGAAAGAGTCCAGTGTATCCTTGCCTGTGATGGTGCGTCTTTTAACTATTACTACTCCTAGTAAAATACATCAATAGTACCGAACATTTATTATTAGCAAAAATACTCTCTTGTTCTTCTCCCTGATTTCGACATCTTCAGCGCTGTCGTTTTCCTTTTTTTCGCTTCTTTACGACCAAATGTCTTTAGCGATTCCATTCGCAACGTGAACAGACAGGACCCGCAGTTGAGGTTGGGATGATGACTATATGCTTTTACTCGTGAAGGTCCCTTCCACTCACAATCAGTAACACCATCGCCGTTCTTGCGTATGGCTTGCTTTGTTTCTCCACCATTGACTTCGTCTGCTTCTAGATAGTGCATCGGTGAACCTGTATCTTGACCAGCGACAGGAACTTGACTATATTCAGTTTAGGGTGAGAAAAAAATCAGTAGATGAGGCGTTCTTCACGGCCCGGCCCCTCTTCTTTGCGACTGCCAAACAATTGCACGCCATTGTACAACAGCAACACATTAACACATCTTTTACATGTGGCGTTGCTTAGCTAACTCATGGGATCAGACAGATCCATCTCAACGACAAGACTGCCACAATTAAGGTTCAATTATCAACTCAACAGCGCTTGGAAATCACCCCCGATCCCCGGGGCCAGTGTCAGGCACTTTATGATCTATTGCTACATGTCAAGGCAAGACGTAAGTCAAACGGCTGAACACAAATACTCTTCTACCCGTTGTCGCGTCAATCAACATATTTTGTCACACCACTGTTTTCTTATTTAGTCTTTGTAATGATATTTGCTTCATAGCCAGTGATATCGCCAAATTCCCTCTCCACCAGCCCAAAGTCGGTATTCTCAAGCCAGATTCGACTACAGCTTATTTGATCGTAAATGATATTCCATCCAGTCTCGATTTTCGTTCCCATTCAACCGCCAGCACCATTCCATCTACGCCCTCAAAACGGAAATCAGTCATATTGGAACAAACACACAAGAAGTCGCGGGTGCAAAAAATAGAGTGCTCTTCGCACACATATCGTCAGTCGAAAGAAGCTTACGACCCAATATTATCATCGCCCGTGGGACCAGATGATAGTCCGGATCGATGGCGCCCGCCCAGTTCGCCTACATATCAAGATGAAGTAATATGTTTATTGACCAAAGAAAGGCTATCACACGTTGTATTTCATACTACTTTGAAGGAGACACTAATAATCAGTTGAGGGTTTTTCCTTGTAGACCATGAAGCCCCGTAAACGCACTCAAAAACCATATGTACTCGAGAATACAGGAGACTCAAGTAACCATCTGTCTACCAAGCGTAAGATGTGCACCTTATTTAGTTGATTTCGCAAGTATAGCAGATGGAATGCACTCTAATAGCATACATCTTGATGCTCCCATCTTAGTCTATACCTTGAAACCCCAGTTCCACTCAACAGTCCCTACACCTCGTGTACTGCGGTCAATTAACGATCGTATCAGGAGATATGGGCGCGATGCTGGAACACGAAAGTCAAAACGACTATCATCACCTGATAGAGCAAGTAACGCACGATGTATTCCCGCTGTACTTCGTGCGCTGTTCTCAATGGAGCCTTTCGCACGGGACTTACGCGATCCGTACTGGCTTCGTATGTCAGGAACCCAGCATAGCCTATATAGGTATTTTTATTTTCAAATCTCTACTCGCACCACCTTTGTTCGTCAACAATACTTCATTGAGCTAATAAGGATTTGGTATAATGGATCATACCCTCATATTTGCTCTCAGATCTTTAGTAGAATCCTACACTCCATATTCTGAAAACACAAACAGGGATGTCAAGATTGACGCAGTTTCAGAAAATGTGATCAAGACTAGTAAAGGGAAGCTAGGAGACGAGGATGATGCGCGTGAATTCCTTAACGATACTCTCAATCAAGTACGCCAAGAATTTCGGGAACGAAATATAGATAGTCCCTGTCCTCTCTCGCGACTGTTCGAGTGTAATATCGAACACAGGCTTGAATGCATGAACTGTGGGAACGAAATCGTGCACACCGAGCACTATCAGGACTTTTGTCTGGAGTTGCCGCCATGCGATAGCAATAGATCAAGGTATTAGCTGAGATATTGAGATGAGTTCTGCTTAATGCTCTTTTAAACTTGAGCCTAGATCCGACTGCTGACGACTGTCTTTTTTTTGACTCGACGTAAAAAAAGTCAGCCAGTTGGAAGCATAGGTGGCCTTTTCCCACAGTTCTTTGATACTCAACATATCTCATTTGAATGCGAAGCATGTCGGTCGGAAAGCGCCATAGTTCGCCGGTCTATTTCAAAACTGCCTGATGTCCTTGTTGTATATTTGAAACGGTTTACAGCGAGACCTAGCTATGGTTACAATAAGAATCGTAGTCGTATCACTATTGACGAAACTTTAGAGTTTTGTAAGTACCATCGTTTTTATATACATACCTTTTATCTTCCTTGCCATTGTTCGAAGATAGCGGCTGAATGGTTGTGCACTATGAACCTTGCATATAGCTCAATTCTGCGCTCCAGCCGCGTTTATTTCAGACAATGATGCATTACCAACCATGGCTCAACACTCAGAAGATGATGGATACTATGGACATCCTTATGTGCCCAGCGACAGCCCACCGAGCTCAAGCAGTCAATGGTTCTCTTCCATTAGTCCTGTGAGCCATGATGATTTCTTTAGTTCCTCCATATCGCCCCATGGTCAACATGAATACATAGATGCAGATTTGTACAATCATCATGCCCAAGGCACTGCTGCAAACCCCCACTTGTTAAACAGTGATGATGAAGACGACTCTCGTTTTGAGCTTTCACAAGTATGTAGAGCAATATTAATCTAGGAAGATGGCTTTGGATTGTCTTCGTCTTAGCAGGTAGCTAATGAAAACCCTTTGTTGGTACATTTGTTTTTTAGTCTATCTCAGTCTATGATCCTCCTAGTGAAGATGAGCAATATCAGTGGGCTATGGAGGAATCCATAAGGGAGTCGAAATCATTCTCTCAGGAATCGATCTTCAATGAAAAGATAGCTGATGGGGCTAAAGAAGCTCTTTGGTATAAGAATCTAGGGTCCAAAGAAGTAATTGAATTGGACGAACCCTTTTTAATCAATACCCACGATAACAGCAACGACGGCAACAACGATAATGGCAAGGACAAGGATAAGGATAAGGATGAAGGGAGGGTCAGGACAGGCAAGAGTGTATTAAAAACCAACGACTTCGATACTTTTGAACCCGTAGATATGCATTTGAAGGATAAGGCTCACCATAATGAGGATGAAGACGAGCTAATTAAAGCTGCAATACACGCATCTCTAATGACAACAGATGGTCCGACTCCGGGCTTGAGTGATAAGGAGCTGCAGGAGGAAGAAAATAAGCAACTGGAGGAAGCGATCAGGAGAAGCCTAATGGACTCAGAGGAAAACAAGGAGAATATTTCACCAGAAAAACGACAACTAGGCAAAAAAAAGGACCAGAAGGACAAACAGAAGCCCAGGCCGCCTGGACTCACACGATCTTGCTCCCAAATCTATACAGCTACACCGAATAGTCTCAGAGGGCCTCCAACGCCTACAACAAGGCCACCAAGACTTCAAAGAGCCAATACCGTGGATGTGATCGCAAGTTCACAGCAATCAAGTCGGGAGGACTCATTATCAGAAAAATTGAGTGCAAAAAGAAGTGTGCAGGGCCCTAGAAGCGGCAGAAATAGGACAGAGGAAGCATACTTACCAAATAACACGACATCAAGCTCTAATACAAACACCAATCCAACTACAGTCATCCCCAACGATAGCAAACATGCTGCGAGATCTAATGGCAAAGACAAAGGCAAAGGAAAGGAAAAGGACTATAATAAAGTCGAAGCGGCCACCCAAGGCTCTACCATAGGACTCTTTCAGTTACAGGCTATGGTAAGCCATACTGGTCTCATTTCGTCAACATCGGAAGGACACTACGTGTGTGATAGTCTTGGTGCAGATGGAGTCTGGAGGTGTTATGATGTTGGCCAGAGAACCAAAATAGGCTCAATCGCCGATCTCAGCCAGTACCGTGGACGGTCAGGCTACCTATTTTTTTATGTACATTGCTATTCAAAGAATTCCTTAGTGGTGTCATGACCAGCTACAGTATCTAACTATACTTAAAAAAAGAAAAGATAAAATTGCCTACATTTAACATGTTGGATATGATTATCACACAGTGCAACAAGACTGCATATTTATTTGGCTGTTGGCGAAGCTATAAATATTTAAGCAAACCAAACCTCATAATACCGTCGATGGCGATCAGATCTGCCCGGCGCCTTCTCTGTTGGTCTCGAATGGACTGGCCTTGAAATCCTCATATAGATGCGCCTTTACATGAGGCAAATATCATCTTGTTTTTGATCAAGAGTACGTAAGCAGACGAGCTTAATATCTTAAAAGCATGACCGGGTGAAGCTAAAGCAGGCATCCCGTAACAATAAAAGCCTGTCTAGGGTCTAACCCTACGATTTTGGCCACATTTTTATTTGTTCCTTTCATAAAGTGACATCGCACTTGTGATAGACACCAGGTTACATTCAACAACAAAAAGGGGTTGATTGCAATGATGTATTAGTCCGTGTCATTAACTACTAATCTCTCGAAGCAAAGCATATCTTAATAACCAACCATGGACTAATGACTTTTGGAAACTACATTAGCCCTGATCTGTCCGATGAAGGGCGATGTATACGATGAAGACAAGGACCAGGAAACACAGGAGTTAATGATAGGGCAATCACGGCATTGTCGCGCCTTGGAGGGAAATAGTCTGCTTCATAAGATGGACCATAGCCATGTATCCTATTTTTTTTTTTTTATTCTCAATTCATCTGAATTGTATATCTCTTCCTGCTGATCTAGATATTGTTCGTAATCAGATCGCCTTGGATGAGGATAAAAAATATTACCCAACAGTAGAGGAAATTTATGGCGAGGATATCAAGGCATTGGTTGAAGAGGATACCCAATCATTGACTGAACCTATTATTCAGCGTGTAAAATCCAAAATATTCTGGTTTGACGAAAAAGATTACATTTGACCCGATTCCGTAAACAGTAAGCGGCGCCTGTCGACTTTATTGATGAAATATCGACAGCGTTGCGTACCTTAAACGGGGCAGCACCAGTGATAGATGCTGTAGAGGCGCCATGTGCAATATTGAACGTATCATTGGACTTTGTATCTAGGAGGAAGTTTCACTCGCCATGGTTGTCAACGGTGTGGACCAGCTCATTCTGGAATTAAAACTTCCTCCCACATACATGTACTTTAGACTAAAGCATACAGTTGAAGGGATTAACACTACCATTTCACAAACTCCTGGTAGGGAGAGAGAGCATTAGGCTTTCGCCCGAGCTCGGAAATGTCAGTTTTGGGTCTCACAGATAGGCTGGTGTTTCACTCTCAAATCATTTGCCGAGCTCTACGCTGACTCATCATAATTTTATAGACGTTTTTATATATCTCTATATGGCACGAATATCAACAATTTAATCCTCTTTCGAACAGCTGGAGTTGATGTAAACAAATTCGCTTAGTGTTTTTGTGGGGCAATGTGTAATTCAACATAGAGACCAATCTGTGGTGACTGGTAATTGGGTTCTGTTGGCTTCTGAGTGCAGATCTAGCAGCAGAGCCTATTTATCGAAGAAGACACATTTTCTACACTGCTAGTCGTTTGTGTTACTCTTCGTTCTTGATGGCAAGCCCAAGGTAGAAAGAACTTGTATTACAATGGAAGTGCAGGCACCTGCCGACTGTGTTACTGCAGTGTATACAGCTCTGACCAGGTTTTTGCTCAGCAAATCTTTGACCATTGGCAAAACGTACCTGGCGATCCATTGAACAGGAGCATTGTTCTGCGCCTGCTCGAGCCCAGTCCAATTGAGCATTTGGCCAGGAACTTTATGATCAAGACACGTAGATGCAATTGCCTGAGTGAAGACGTCTCTGTCAACAAGTTCTTTGATCAGGACATGCTTCTCAACTTGGCACAACTCGACTCTGAAGGCTTTGGCTTTGGTATATAAGGAAAATCTTCATTTTCAATTAAACCTTTTTTTTCTATTTTCCTCTCATTGTAGACTGGAGCACTGAAATAGATGTAATGAAGATGGAACAAAAAAAAAAAAAAAAAAAAAAAAAGATTGCTATGATATTGGTATGTTTTATGACTTCATTTGAATAAAAGAAAAAAGAAGAATGCTAAAGAAATGCTGCGCGTAGATAGGAAATAATAGTGACAATAGTAATGGCTATGACTCTAGCTCTGACTGTACCAATGAGATCTAAGGCCTCTTTTTCTCATAAGCCCACTGTAAGAAAAAGTTAGTCACCATTGCAGTTAGAAGAATGAAGCACAGAAGTGTAGGCCCGATCCGGTCATCGAATGGTCCCAGTTCCTTGTTACGGATCTTATATGCACGCCAATGGTAGGTAACTACAGCATAAACCATAAACGACAAAGCCACGAACGTAAACAGACCTGCACTCACGCGCGAGACCTTGTCGCCAAAGTTAAGCAAACCCAATGAGAGACCACCCAGCAGAACCGTAAACTGGAGCCAGGAAAGGAACGTGCGCTCATTTGCAAAATAGACTTTAGGCTCAACACGGACAAGGGTTGCGATCTTTCGTCCCGGAGGCGTGATCAGATACGTTGTCTGATTGGCATTTACGGCCTCATCCTCGCCAAATGGATGCCCAGCTCTGTCCTTAGTACGGCGGAATAAGTAACGGAGTGTCTCTGCACCAGGCTTGAATGGTGAGATCAGCGAATTTTTGTTCTTGAGTTGGCGTCTTTGACTACCTAGAAGAGGTGTTCGTTCGCTCGAGGCGCTGCTCGAGGTTTGGGAAGGACGCTGGATCCAGTGGGTGGAAGGTTCTAAAGGATTCTCTTCGTCATCTTCCTCATCAACCCATTCATAATCTTGAGAACGCTTGGCTCCGCCTTGGTAACCTTGCTCCTCATCGCCTACTGTGATTCTGTCGTGGTCTTCATCGCTAGTCGCATTGGCTGGTGTACTATACCCACTTGGGTCGGGACGAGAAATGGATACATTCTTGTTGGGAGGCTTACGGATATCAATATCCATCTGATGGTACCAGAAAGGGAAGAGCTTAACGCGATGCTCAATCAAGGTTGAGACACCATGGATGAACTTTGAGAACTTGGGCACAGACTCGACTAGATGTGAGTTGACGAGCTCACGGACCCATTCTGGGGGTTCTTGACCATGCTGTGTCTGCAGCTTGACCTCAAGGACTGCATAAGGGAAGCGGCAGATATCGTCATCCGGAAGCTGACTGAAAGGCCAGTCGATGCCAATATCCATACGACGCCAGTTATTTCCAGATCTAACCCTGCCATCCATATTGTCTTCACGGATCAAAGTAAGCTCGGTGTCGAGAGAGATTCGAACACGAGCATCTCCAGGGAGCTGGAAAGCAGTACGATTATAGAATGTACGCAGCACTAGTATAGCATTGACCAAGACAAAAGAAATTATCCAGCATGTCAGTCAAAGGATGAAAGATTTGCATCCAATAAAGTTTTCGTTTTTTATGCATCCTTTTTTTTTTTTTTTTTTTTTTTTTTTTTTTTTACCTGGTCCGTAGTTCTTAGTCAAGATTCCATATTGGCACTCAGCAGCAAGTTGTTCAAATTCTTCAATCTCCTTCTCCGACTTCTTGCCTTCAGCTCTCATCTTGGCGACTGTAGCATCCATGGTATACTCGCCGCGCAAAAAAGCATTGACGTATTTCTCCTTGATAGGGAAACGTGCCTTGACTGATTTTTCACCAGTCCAATCCTCGCGATGTGTCTTTCTCTCCACAAAAATTTGCTGTTGATCCATGCCACCATACCACCTTAGACGGAGAGCCTCTGCGCCCTCCGATTTTTCCAAGCGTCCCATGTAGAGCTCAAACTCTTCATTATCAAAATAGATGGATGAGATAGCACTGTCAGCAGGGCTGAATTCCTTATTGGGATTGAAAACTAGGACAGGAAGATGTTTCAAAATGATCAGCTTAAGCTCCGTGATGTTGTCGGGATGGACCCAGTATTTAGTGGTTTGACGAACGAAGGCTTGCTGGTTGCCTCCTGCAGCTGAGTCTCCACCGTGCGCCTTCCCCCGTGTCCGGACAGTATCATAAAGATTCGAGAGCTTTACAATCAATGCATCGTAGTTTTCTTTATAGAAGGGCTTTGAGTTGAGACGGACCATAAAGATGGGCCTAAGGATCCAGTGAGTGATTTTCTATTTCAAAATAATCAAAGAAAGACCGAATTAGTTCTCGATTTGTTTACTGTGATCCATGACGTTTTGTAAAACAAAAAAAAAAAGATCATCTTTTTTGCTTTGCTAAATCTTTGGCTTCCTGCATCATGGGCTGTTTTCCGGTACTGAAGGTTTCCTTGTATTCAGAGCTGTTTCTCGCAATATGTATTGATTTTTTTTTCTTTTCTTTCTTTCCCTTTTCCAAGGTGTATGCGCACGTTTGAATGGACATCATGAAATAGATAAACGGAGAAAGAAAAAAAAAAAGGTTGTAAACATGAATGAGGAAGTAATGCTTACATCGTGTTTCTTGATGATCTTGAGGAATCCAGTGTAATTGAGTCGAGTGAATTTAGCAAGGTCGTGCACGTCAGCGATGATATGCTGAAGTTCCTCTTCCAAAAGGGCATAATCCTCGTTCTGTGCGTCGTTAGACTGAATGATCTCCTCGACTTCCTGCTTCGAATGTTGTAGACGACGCATGATTTCGCCGGACTTTACTTTTTGGAAGGAGTAGACCTTGTCAAGTTCCTTCTCCAGCAACTCTGCGAATGCCGTTTCGTCGTCCTCAGTCCAGCCACCATTGTTCTGGTTGATACGAGTCTTAAGTTCAGCCTTGAGCTTGTCGTAGGCAAGGTAATAGAAGACCCATTCTGGATAGAGCGAGGTCTTGAGTTGGTGACCGAATTTCATGGTTGATTTGTTGTGGTGTGGCTGAAATGGAGGAGTAACAATAGAATGTGAAAAAAGAAGGGCCGATGACGTTAAAATAAAATAAAATAGAGATAAATAGTAAAATAAGAATGAATGCACGCGTATGTATAAAAAAGAGGAAACTAGAGAGAAGGAAAGGGATTCGAATGAAAAGACATGGGAAGAGTGGAGAATGAGAAAGAGGAAGAGAGCTGATTTTGGCCAAAGTTAATAGCCGTGTGTGTGTGAAGAAGAAAAAATAATAAATAAAATAAAGAGATTGAGATGAAAAGGTGCACAGAGACTGGCCAGAGCGAGAGACGAAATAATGAAAAATTGACCAGCGCTGAGTATACGTGGGGTCAATGGAGATCAATGGTTGGACATTTCAGTCAGTCTGTTGTGTATTCCTGTTATTTAAGCAATTATACATTTATGGCGTATCCAATGCCCGTCGCATCCGTTGGCATGCCACACGGACTTTGGATCACACCCACCTGCGTCATACAGAGCCAGGTTCAACAACAACCGCCATTCTCACTTTTTTCGCTTTTTCTGATCTTCTCTCTTGACTTGACATACAGGTGTGTGTCTGCTGCGAGGAAAATGTCTTTTCTGACTCGTCAAACCGTTCACGGATCAAGATAGAAAAGAACAATATACAAATATAAATATACACTATCAGCTACCACCGTGATCACCAGAAGTACATGTCATCAATAACGATACCAACAACAACTTTATTTGTCAATCTAAGCTGGCATCTTTTTTTTTTTTCATTTGTCCTATTTAATTTTCCTTTGCATGCTTGATGAATTGTTACAATGATCAGTCTAGCCACCTAAATCAGAGATATCTAATCACTTTCCTTTGTTGTTGTTTTTTAAACATCCCACATTCGCAGAAACCTTGATGGGATACACAACAAAAACAGTGTTGGCCTCCGATTCCGATGCTGATGTTGATGCTGATGTCCACTGATGACGGTAGTAGTGAATGGCTCAATGTAGTTGTGTAGGCAAACGGTGTTGAAGTGTTGATAATGAAATACCCAAGTAGATCTTCTCTCCGCCTCAAAGAGAAAAAAATATTTATGAAAGCAAGATGGCGTTGTACACCAATCATGCGAGCACGTGGGGTGATGATTAGCCAGTGAAATTGACATCTGTTTGTCCAACCTTCATCTGCCCAGATAAGCAATTGAGCGCGTCCGATCCACAGCTACACAAAGATGAAATTTAGCTGATCTGACTTATTCATCGCTCACTTCTTTAGAGGGAGAGAAAAAGTTGGTCCGTTCGATCTCCACATGGCTCGTTTTTGATGCTCTGGAAACAAGGCTCATCTGGTGTGGATTTAATGGTCAAAGATTCGACCTCTTGATTTGCTGACTGATAAAGTGACTAATGTCGAAACGTTGCTTGTGCCATTTTTTGAATACAGTAGTGTATCCGGTAGGTACCTCCTACATACACTATACAAATATTCATGTCAATATATATATATATATATATAGAGGTAGTGAACAAAAATGGCAATGGAGCCGACGATCCTCGTTTTATTCCGCAAGTTATATGCACCCTTTTTTTTTTTTTTTTTTTTTTTTTTTGTTCCAGATATTTCTTGGTGCTAACTACAAAACATCCAAGAGCATGGACCTTGAAGAGTTACTGTTGTTCGACAGATATGGACTGTGTAATTAGATATGGGCTAATTTCAATAACAGCCTTGTTTCCATGATTACTCTTAGAAGCCAGCCTATAGGCCTATTGTTTCCAGTCCTGAGCATGCTCTTGCTATCTCATATTTATCGCTTTAATCTCCTTCTGAGTCCATTATAAGACTCACCCGTCTTTCCCTCTACTACGACATTGAAACCAACTCAAGTCTCTTAATGGAACTAGTTCGGATCCAGTAATCCTCTGGAATAGTAAGTCCATCCCTTTTTGCATTTGAAACTACCCAGAGTCTAGGTGTGAATGCTGATTGCATAACAACCTTTTTGGTCGATTGCGGTGGCCTTGTTCTTGATCTCCAAAAAAAAAAAAAAAAAAAAAAAAAAGTCCGTCACCTGTGCTGATAGATGACGTTTTGCTTTCTAATTCTTCGGTAAGATAGCGCAGGTTGCAACAATCAAAGCCGTTCCTTTGTCTAATGTCGACATTTTAATATTATTGGGACTATAGCCCTACAAGTGCAGGATGCTATCCTTTCCCTTAATGACGTTCCGAGCCCATGTCGGAAACTGATTAGTCTCTGTGACAATTGAGTCTTCTATTTCATCCTTTAAGCCAACTTCATCGAACGAAGGATATCTTCGTACTATTGCGTCCACATCTACATATAAATAAACGATAAGCTCCGATGCTCATTCCGGTGATCAATACTCTTGGCCATACCAGCATCCGACGAAATTCCTGCCATAATCATTTTTTCAAAGCACAGCACTACACTATAATTTAAGCTTTTGATAGTTCGGGGCGGCTACAGTGGCTTTGAGTTTGCTAAAGATCTCAAAGTCCGAGTCTTGTTTCATGTTGTGATAAGATTCCATGGCTGCGATCGACTTTGATACTAACATCTGTCTCGAAGGGGCGCGCTCTCATGGCATACCCTCTATTGACTATAAATCCATATAGAGTGTGGCGTTGTGAAATCCCCATACATGTTTCATCGAAGAAAGCATACTGTTCAGCCCTATGGCTTTTTTTTTTTTTTTTTTTTTTTTTGGCAAAGCCAACTATCCCAAATGTAGAACAAGATTGTCCAATGTATTGTAGACACTCCACTACTGTTTTCATAACAATCTCGTGAACTCGAGGAGAGCAGCGGTTGGGAATATAGGATTGAAAACGTTTCAATCTTATGACTGCGGCTCACATTAATGCTTGGTTCCTGAAAGTCAATTCGTTACCCATTATGGTCACGTGAAGGTTCGTCATCAACAGATAAAACGAGTACCAGCCCAGGAGACTTTGATTGTTCAGGTGAAGAACCTCCGCAACCCTTCAACAGTCATAGAGAGATTATTAAAGATCCCTCCTTTCGTTCACAGAATCATTTGAGTATTGACTGGCCTTGTTCAGTGTTTTTGTGCTTTGCAGTTTTTATGTATTTTTCTATCTCTGTAGTTGGAAGTGACCAGAACCACATCCCCCTACCCCAAATTTCCAACACTATCTAGAAGGAAATTTTTCCAACCAATCAGACCTTTGAACCATTGCTATGTTGAGCTGATTAATGTTTACACTGACGCACATTCTCTAAAGAGAACGCGTCTTCGACTATAACGTCATTGTTACCTACACCACTATTTATTTCTACTCCTTTTTTTTTTTTTTTTTTTTTTTTTCGCGATTTCCCCCCTCCAAATGCCCCATGTCCTTTTGGACCCACAGACAGGATAAGCAGCTCCTTGGCAGAGAGAAAGGCATGGAGCCAAGTAGAGATGTTAAATAAAAGCACCGAGTCTCCTTGATCCACAACCACAACCATAATCAAGTACAAGGGAGTGTTATAGATTTAATTTGATGTTTTGGTTTCTTGTTGAGACCTTGATTATCTCTTGCCTCTTTATTTTACTTTATACTCTTTTCCACCCATTACTTTTTTAATCTTCCACCATAATGAGATATGTGCGCTGCATGGTGGTAATAGATTATATTTTTAAACAAAAAGAGATGGTGAGCCAAAGAAGCGGGATAGTATATCGATTCCATAGAGAATAAAAAAGAGCCATGTAGCATGAAAATGTTCCATGTTTTTTTTTTTTTTCCTTTTTTCCTTTTTTTGTTGGTAACTGGAAGATTGAGAGCGGATTGTTTCTGATTCCTTCTTTCCTCTCTGTCTTTTTTTTTTTTTTTTTTTTTTTTTTGTTGGTAAGAATTGCACATCATTTCCTGTGCGTATTCGCCAAACTAGGCTCTGCTTCCTACATTCCGATGTATGTATAACTCATACCATGCTGCACACTAACTGTAAATTTTGAGAGAACAGCTCCATGCCTTCCCCGATTTTCGCACATGAGCTTTTTATTATTTTTTTTGCTTCTTAACTTTTTTTTTTTTTTCCTTCGGTAAAATACTCTATATAATATGTAAATGTATACATGTACATTGTACGGGATGTAAGCTATCGCTTTTTTTTTTTTTATTTTTTTTATTTTTTTTTTTATTTCGGCTTAAAGAGCCGAAAAAATAGATGGGACTGGGTTGAAAAAGAAAGTGGGTGTGCGAGCAAGTGTATGTCTTTGTGTTTGAGTTGAAAAGGACTTTGTGGAACACAAGGGCCTTTGGACAGAATTATTTTGAGTTTGCCTATTATAAATGCTGTGTTTTGTGCTCTCTCAGAAGACCAAAAAAAAAAAAAAAAAAAAAAAAAAAAAGTCAGGCACAGAATGGAATAAGTGGACCATTCACGTACCTTTAAAAAAAAAAAAAAAAGCGAATTCGCCCAAAAGGCTGAGAGTGAGCCACACACCGACTAAGCATCGGAGAGACTTGTACATCCATGTATACTGTAATCAACACAGAGAGGCAGAGACAGGGAGAGCATCAAAATAAAGAGCATAGCAGAGCAGATCAAGCCTGAGCAGAATGAGACAGATCAGGGAGCCCTTCTTTTTTTTTTTCCTTTTTCTATCTCGAATGTTTGCTGCATATCCTCAGTGCTACAGGGGTTGAATACAGCTTCAAAAGCTGCAAACAAAGTAAAATAAGGGGGAGGGAGGAAAGGGAAGAGAGAGCAAGAGAAAGGGAACACAAAAAAAAATAGGGAAAATGGAAGAAAAGGGAGGAAAGACGTTCCCGACTGCAATCTGCAGTCTACATGTACATGTACAATGCAAACAAATAAAATAAAAAATAAAATAAAAAAATAAAAAAATAAAAAAGTTTGAGATTTTTCAATGAATCAATGATCAACCTTCATGAATTTCATTCATTCAATTGTTCTTGAAAAAAAAAAAAAAAAAAAAAAAGAATTCGTCAAATTCGGACGACACGGTTTATTTATGTCATGGGTAAATGATCGATGATGATAATTGTGATTGATAAGGAGGAGTGATAGACTTCGGACTGTAAAAGTTAGCTAGTCTGTTAGGCTTGAAGACGCGTTCTATCGATGTTTATAAACAGTGATCGAGGATAGAAAAGTGGGTGGATAAGATTCCTCTCCGTTTTCCCTTTTTTTTCCTTCCAAACCTCCTGATATTCCATCTCCTTTCCTTCCCATCATTATTAAAAACAGCCGTGCGTCAAAACTGGTTGAAAAAGAAAAGGTTTTAAAGCAATTAAGTCAATGCGTGTTTTCCAGGCTGGGAAGAAATGTAGAGATGCAGAAGTGCATACGAAGCGCAGATAGTGGCGACTGTGCTCTCGCCTCGCGCGTTGTTGTCTTTGTTTGGAAATACAGATAAATATTTGTTGATGGGGTTGTTGATTATGATTATGATTATGATTATGACAAGAAGAGGAAGAGAAGGCAGGAAAAAAAAAAAAAAAAAAAAAAAAAAGGGGGGGTCAATTGGGGAAGGGGTAAATGCAATAATGCATGAGGCGTATGTGGAACAGATTACAGCTGCATCGACAGTCTAAATAGGTTCCTGATTATTCATTGTCTGACCTGAACTTTTTCCTTGTGGAGACAATTATGTATTGTCGACGTGTTATTTTGTTTATTTACAGTATTTGTTTTTCTTTTAAATAAGATAGAATAAAATAAAATAAAACAAAGAATAAAAGATAATGAATAAAAAATAAAAAAGAAAAAAATAAATAAAGAAAAAAAAAAGGTTCTGTCTACAGATTGTAGACATGGCGATGCCCCGGGCCCCCTGCCTGATGTTTTGAAGAGTTCCATGTGAGTGTGTCAGAGTGAGAGGCAGTGTGCGTAGTTGGAAACATTTAAAGTATATTGATGATGTCTTGGATGTTTATACTAAAGAACATTTATGTAAATATTTCTCCTGTGTTTGTACAACTGCATGCCTTTGTGTCCCTTTTTTTATTTTTTTATTTTTTTTTTGACGTTGTGTCTACTGTAAGATGCACTTGTTCCTGGGCAAAGTTGGTGATTTTTTTTTTTTTTTTAGTTGGAATCTTTGTGTTCAAAAAAGCATTTTTGTGTACATTTAGGTGGTTCCTCTCGCTCACTGCAATACCCTCTTTTTTTTTCTATTCTTGTCTCACTCCATCTCCATGTTGGTGATGGACTGATGTCTGCAAGACGGCGCCACTCTGGAGATCCATCTACTTTTTTTTTTTATTTTTATTTACTGAACTATACAATACCATATAATACAATACAATACAATACAATACAATATAATACAATCCAATAGGCGCCTCTTCGTCACACTCTCATTCTCTCTCTTACACCCACTTTTACTCTCTTACTCTCTCTCTTTCTCTCTCTTTTTTTGATTTTGATGACAGGCTCAATTCTTTTTTTTTTTTACTTTCCTTCGTGTTGTCATCAGATTCTTTGTTGTATTCCACTGCGTAAAAAAAAAAAGGACCGTAGTAGTACCAGTAAAAATATATTTATAATTTTGTATAAATATTTATACAATCGAGTAAACAGTCTTTGAATACTTTAAAACAGTCTCTACTCTATTGATCGTCTGTATAGTGTAAGCGAATTGTTTTTACTTCTGTCTCTTATTTCACTTGTCTTATTTGTTTGTTTAAATATGGAAGTTTAAATATATTTTGCCGCTCTTTCTCTCCACCCTTCCACATCGTTTCTTTTTCTTTTTTTTTTTACTTCTTCTTCTTCTTCTTCTTCTTCCTTCTTTCTATCTTCTTTCTATCTTTCTTCCTTTCTTCTTATTGTCCTCATTTCTCTTCTCTTTCTCTCTTTGGCTTTTGTCTCCTGTCTTTTTTTCGTTCTTTCTCATTCTTTTCTTTTCTTACTGTTCTTATTAGACCTCTTCTTGTTCGCTTACTTGACCTGCCTACTTCCTCTCCCCTGGTTCCCATTGCTTTCAAACTCTTTGTTTCTTTCTCTTCTTTGACATCATCTCCTTCTCTAGAGAACTCTCTTCTTTCTCTTCGCTTTTCCCTTGGCTTTTACTTACTCTTCACGTTTCTTTCTGCCCTACCATCATCCCAAATGCTCGCTCTTCAGTCTGCTCCACTCCACTTGCGTGATCAAAGTAAGCAGGAGAGGCGGTTTGATCAGCCTCTTCTTTTTACTGGTTATTCAGCTACTCTTCATCATCACCACCATAACCATAACCAGAGTCATCGCCAACATCATAACCATCCACGACATCATTCCTATCATCATCCGACCACGGTTTCTTCAGTCAACTCCATCTCCTCCTCAGCATCAACATCTCGACACCAACAGCACCAGGCACTGTTCTACCGCGAGTGTGATCTGAAACAGGATCTCTCTGTCACGAATGCAAAGATCATCATGCATCACAACTTAACCAACAACATCATCAATACCTCCAGCTCCAGTCCCAGCTCCGGCTCTAGTAACCACAGCAAGAACAGCATCCAATTTGACCCAACATACAACAACCTACCGAGTGCACCCCTCACACCGATCCAGAACTGCACCGGTCCTTATGAGGAATCAAGCCCTCTCCAGACACCTATTAAAAAGATCAATGATCGTATCGACCAAATGTCAATCGAAGACTGTTCCAAGGAGAAGATCGTTCTGATTCTGACAGGTACGGCTCAAAACAGATCAATTTTTTTTTTTTTTGTTTTTGTGTTTTTGTTTTTGTTTTATTCAGCGATGACATTATATTATGATGTGTATTCATTGGTGGGATAGTATTGTAAGATACGTATAAAAAAAAAAAAAAAAAAAAAAAAAACATGGACTGGGTGGCTGCCAACCCAAGGGCTGGATCGGAAAAAATGAAGCTGTGGATAGTGCTCCTTTGCAGTATCTTGTAAAAAATGTGGTGTGGAACTGGACTAAAAAAGCAGGTGGTGAATAGGTTGCTTACATTTACAATCCATACACCGATTGTGGCCAGTACGATGATCATTTCTTGTTCCCCTCCTACTTCTCCCCTTGCTCATTTGTTTCTTGATACCTCCATCTCTTGCTATCCTATTGCATTGTCCTACCATTTACACTTTTTTTTTTGTCTCCTTGGCACTTGTACATACATGTACACATACGCACATGTTGTCTCTTTTTATCCTCAATTGTCTGCAGGTTATCCCTCGGGAAATGCTGCATTCTCGATCGAACTCTTCCCCTCTATCTCTGCATTTAACATGTGCATCTCGGCTATTGGCCCTCACATGTTGGGGAGAAATGAGAGATTCAAAGGGGGAGGGAAATGTAGATAGACCGTGGATCAGAGGACAAGAAGTGTCCAGCCGTGTGTGGTGTAAATACATATTTGTAATGTGGAGAGGAGGGAGGGGGGGGGCGAATAATGGCTAGAGAGCAGTGCCAGATTAGTATTTTCCTTCGTATTTTCGATGCATGGTCATGCATATGGTTTGATGTATGTCGTTATGAATACATAAACAGTTGCGGCCGCCTGGGATAGCCATGACGACAGGCGACATCCGCAGCCATGGACACAAACAGTGGAGAGAAATTGGTCAGGGCTAACCCCTATTGCATCTTTGGCCATTTGGGTTTGGCATGTCCCTGTACAGCCCTCCCAACCCCACATCTCATTCTGCATTCTATCACAACAACATCAAACACGCAAAGACACAGGCCATGTCAATGGTTCGGGGATACCCTGTAGACTTTTGTGCTTTGGTGAGAGTAAAAAATAGAGCAAAGCATGCTTGGTGGTACAATAAACCACCCCACAGACACAGACATAAACACAGAACATTGCAGACCACCTTGTGATCACTTATTCTCTTTCGTGAGTCGTAATGGAACACAAAAATAAGGGCAAGAGAGGAGCGGCTTATGAGAGCACAAAAAAAAAAAAAAAAAAAAAGTCGATGACGGCGAGTGTCTGACCCCTTTTGCCTATCCTGTTTTGCCTGCCTAGTCTATAGCCTTTTTGAAACCTGTCTATCTTTCCCAATCAGTGCCCCAACCTCTTCTGCTTCCTGCTCATCATCACTCTTTGCCTGTGTTTATGTATTCTGTGTGCGTGTTGTGCATACTTGGACTTGTCCTACGTCTTTTTTTTCTTACTATCATCTGCTTCTGATCAAAATGCAGCCCCCTGTTCTGTTTCTGTTTCCACATTACCCCACAACTTGCACACAACATAGATGCGGGAGTGATAGGATAGACAGGGGCACCTGTTCGTTTAATCATTCAATCAATAACTGGCTAATCATGACAAAAGGGACAAAAGGGACAAAAGGGACAAAAGGGGTTAACAGGCACCCACACTTTGAAAGGGAAAGAGAGCAACTCTAAAAAAGCTAATTGGATATTACAAAAAAAAAAAAAACCATGTATAACTTTTGTCATCGCCCTGGACTGGGCCTCGGAGGAAAATAAAATAATTGGACAGGGAAGGTGTGTGATCGGGATGGAGAAATGGTGTGGTGAGGATAGAGTCCAAAATTGATTGTTTTTACACACGGGAACGGTGTGTGGATGAACTGTGAGCCTCTCTTCATTACTCATTTCCCTGCAGCCTTCCCAAAAAAAAAAAAAAAAAAAAGCCAAAAAACTTTATTTTTTTTTAACCAGGGTTTACGCCTTTTTTCTGTACTATAATCAATTATTTAGGTTCATTCTGTCCAATCCATGTACACCACATTGAAATGCTTAAGGCTGCCAAAGAAACCATGGAGAAGGGCCAGGATGGAATGGGCGCAGCCATGGTTCTTGGAGGATTTGTCTCTCCCAGTCACGATGCATATGTGGGTCAGAAGCTCAAAGGAGATGCCTTGTATCTGAATTCTGAAGAACGAATGGAGCTGTGCCGTTTGCAGACTGCGGACTCTGACTGGATCGATGTTGACCCCTGGGAGGCAACTCAGAGTGAATTCTATGACTATCACAAGGTCACATCGCGTCTGCAGCAGTTCCTGCATGAACAATGTCAGTCAAGGCTCGAGAGCAAGATGCACGCCCTTCTGCAGGACCAGCAGATGCATCACAACAACAATTTCATCATCAACCAAAACAACAACTGTAGCACCAGCAAAGAGATGTCACAAGGATCAGGGTCACTCGAATCAAAAAAGAATCCATTCAACATCAGGGTCGTATACATCTGTGGCGCAGACTTTGTCCTTCGAACAGGGGCACACAAACTCTTTGGAGGTCTTGTCGTAGTTGACAGGCCTCTTGGTCCTCCTTCCGGCAGACGTTCCATCCTGCTCATCAACTCTGGAGGACACATCAATGTACCAGTCTCAGACCAGGCTGATAGTAGTGAAATCTCAAACTCACTTTCACCGACAGGATCAACATCCGGCTTGACTGTCAAAGAAAGAGTATTTCAGAAGCTGACGAAATCGTATGGAGCACACTGGTGCGAAGCCAGCATGAACAACATCTGGTGGTTACCTACGAGAAGTAGTAGCGATACTGGTGACATCAGCTCAACTCGGATACGCAAGCTGCTCACAGAAAACGACGATTGTGCGGGTTTGCTTCATCCTGCGGTTGCTAAACGTCTTCGCGAGAAGCTAGACAGCAAGAAGAACGCTTAAGGAAACGCCGCCATGCGTTGATCGGATCTTTTCCCCCATACATCTACTCATTACCGTAAATTATCACTTACTCTGCTGTACCCTTTTATATTTTTTGTTGTTTCAATTTTTCTTTTCTTTTCTTTCTTTCTTTTTAGAGAAAGAAGTTGTATGTAGTTGTTGAATGTGTATTAGTACGTCGACGTCTTTAGGAGCTATAATCGAGACAATGGCTTTTTTAGACCTCCGTTTTTTTCTTATTATTTCCGTTTTATTCTTTTACTTTTATTTTCTCCTTGCTTTGTAAAATAAACCGATTATTATCATTTTCATTGATGCTGCAATGTGTTTTCAGATGTATCTATTTAATCACAAGCTTTTCTTTTTTTTTTTTTTATTTTAATGGCAATGCTGTTATGTTATATCCTAGGGTGTGTATTAGGATATAAGGATATAATAGAAGGGTGGGGAACGAAGGGCGCACGCAAGACTGGAAGACATGATAGTCAAAAGAATCCTCTGCATGCGTGTGTGTGTGTGTGGAGGAAAGCTGGACGGATTTTCTTCCTATGTAAATTATGTACATGGTACATATTCAAATGTACTCCCTATTTTTGCTTGCACACGCTTGCACACACATTTTGTGCCACAAACTTCAGTTCCGTAAGGGAGGGGCCATAAAATACAAACTAGTCAGTTTTTTTAAAAAAAACAGCCAATGTCACCAAAACCCTTAACAAGACACAGTGGATGGACCCGTTCAGTAAACCTTAACTTTACCTTGAGCTAAATCTCCACGAGTACAACAACAATAACAATAACAAAAAAAAAAAAACATCCAACACTCCTTTATGACTTCTAAGGTGTTCTATTGTGTAATTATACATGTATCATGTAGGCGAGTTCCTATTGTAGATTGTGAACAAGCTTTTTAACTATTGTTGGTACTTTCACGTCATCAATCGAAAGGCCTGATACCAGGTACCAAAATCATAGAAAATGTAAGACCCGATAACTCATGTCTATTAAGCTGACGGACGAACGCTGCTCTATAATATGTCAAAGGAGTATAAATTAAGTTTTATTTTTATTTTTATTTTCTTAATTATTGGCTCCAATGCAAAACCTGAGAGTGATCCCAATGGGTGGTCTTGTCTAATGAGTGCTCTCTCTTGATGCTATACATACATTTTGCTGTCAAAATGCCTTTTATTTAGAACGACTATAGGGGTTCTGCAATTCATCACATTCATTAAGATTGACCTCTTCTCCGTGTTGACAAATATATTATATCTTCGTCTAAAACTTGCGGTTAAAAGTTGAGCCTTTATCTTTCGACTTGATCTTTTGGCCGTCACTAGAGATATATACTTCTCGTAAGATCCCTAAAAAAAAAAAAAAAAAAAAAAAGTAGCAAATTAGTAACATGAAAAACTGTTCGTGTCATACGCGTTTATTTTTTTATGTTTATTATTATTATTATTATTATTCTCGACCATCTATTAATGGAACTTGTAAGTTTATATATACAATTAAGAATATGACAGATAAGCTATTTTTTTTTTTTTTTTTTTTTTTTTTTTTTCATCAGTACAGTGGAATCTCGATAATTGTACATTTTTGTACAAATTTCGAATTTGATATATTTCTAGGCCATTGGTTGGCTAAGAGCCTCTCAATTCAAAAATACTATTGTAAGCTGACCTCTCTATGTCAAACATGGCAGGAGGGCAGGTAAGTGACTGGCAAGTGAGGGAGATTGTAGCTAAAGGAAGGGATTGCAACTGAGGGAAGGTGATGGCGTAAGCTTGAAAAGATCTTGTGGTATTTTTTTTTTTTCTTTTGTCAATCATCAAACACGACACAATCATAGCATCAGCCATCAAGCAAGTCCCTCTTCTCTAGTCCGTTCTATTCACGATGTCGGCTACTCTCTCGAGCAACAGACACAGCTGCAGCTGCATTGGTCCCTCTCTACCCTTAGGGCAGGGAGAGTTTAACAGCCATCTTCGCGATGGCAAAATCCCACCATCTTCGCCATGGTGATGATTGTTAGTGACCAGCGCTGTCTCTGCAGTTGGTTTTCTGTCTGCTTCGAGGCCCTCCGCAAGCAAGAAGCAATTCTACAGGCTGGACGTCCAAACTCTTTCTCAAGCAGCAGACACAGTTGCAGCTGCATTGGTCCCTCTCTACCCTTAGGGCAGGGAGAGTTTAACAGCCATCTTCGCGGTGGCAAAATCCCACCATCTTCGCCATGGTGATGATTGTTAGTGACCAGCGCTGTCTCTGCAGTTGGTTTTCTGTCTGCTTCGAGATGGAGCAAGTCTTGATCCTTTTCACTGTCGCCTCTGTCATTCTCGCTGTCAATTGCCATAATAGTAACCACCTCAACATTTTTTCAGTCTACAGCTGATATAACATTTTGCCAGTACTCGATTCTAACTTTTTTTTTTTTTTTTTTTTTTAATAATATTAATAATCATATTATTACTATTATCAATATTATAACATACAAGACAAAAGAAGGAGGATCCGGAGCATCCGCAGCCGCACATGGACAAGAATGTTTGGCCTTTGTTGTTCACTCACCACTCACTCCCTCATACTTATTCGATATATAACATTTAATAAATCTACAGCTCGTCACTTTATTACTTTTTCCGGGGGGCTGGGAATGTGAAAAACCAAGTCTAAAAGTACTCCTCATGGATGGCACTTTGTGTGCATTGCATTACAGTACAGCGCAAAATTCTCAGCGTTGGGACGAGGGTATATCTGGAAATTTAGCCATAATCTTCGCATACGTTTCTTGTTGCTCTTGATGTTTAGCTTTTGCCTCTGCTTGGTCTGCCAAAAACTGCTTCTTATCATACTTGGTACTAGGATCTTCATAATCTGGGATCTCCGTTAGAAACAATTTGTCAGCATGCAACTGGATGATCTTTCGAGCATCGCCTTTTGCTATTGCTGCAGCAAGCATCATAACATCATGCCGTGCACCAGGAGACATATTCTGGACCCTCTCATCATAGTCTACTTGCTCTTCAGATCCATCAGTATCCATAGAAGAATCGTCATCTGAGGGTTGGATATGGACACGACTGACATAGGAGCCTCTCCTACTAGCTTTTGATATCGCGACATATTCGCCCAATTCCTCTGCATCACTGACATATACTTCGTGATCCTCGTCATCGTCATCATCATGCTCCTGCCAATCTACATCCATAAGTTCGGCGGCGCTTGGTCTTGGGGCGAGGTACGACAGAAGTTTCTCAGTAACTAAGCCTTCTTCTTCCAGCAATTCATTGATGGCATGGTATATGATGGGTGTCCCGTCAAGGATCCTCGCAAATGGTGCAACCGTATTCCTTAGTCTCGCTTCACGATCAGTGCGATTAAGGTCCCCGTAAGCTGCGCACACAAAAGGATCCTTAGAGCTTGGACTTGGTAGAGGGATGTTAGAACTTGGCACAGAAAGGTTAGGACTTGGTAGAAGAGGGTAATTGCGCCCCATGTCCGTTGTCGTGTTGCCAGTGTCGTTGGTTGCGGCTTCCTGTGCTTCATTATCGCACACTAGGGCCCAAAGCACATCTGGATCGTGCGCGACATTGCCTGAGAGCTCATTCTTTTGACGCCTACCAAAAATTGGGACATGACCAAAGCAGTTCCTGATACTCATACTTTTGACCTCGTCCCATGATCCAGCAATGATTCTCCATGCATCATAGTTAGAGACGGCATTCACCCGCCTACCATCTACATTGAAAGGGTCCAAACGCATGCTCAGAGTCTGATTCCTTACGTTGCTCTGATAGTATCGCTTAAAAACAGATATGATTCCTGCATCAAGCGGCTGCGTGACAGAAGTCGAGTTTTTTGGTAAAAAGATAACTCCGATGTTGGGGAAGCGCCGCCTGTCCTCATCCAGGAGCTTATGGCAGCCTGCATTATCAACAAGTAGCGCAACTTTTCGCTCATTATTTTGGGCAGCAATTGATTCTTGAAACCTCTCTAGCCAACTTAAAAACACGATTCTTGTCATGTAGTCAGGGCGATGGCGAGGCTTCTTTTGGCTTCTCGTATGAGTACTGCTCAGACTTTCGTCATGATCCTCAAAATCGCTGCCATGGCCCTGAGCAGCCTCGTTCCATGGATGAATCTCTATAAGTTCCTGAAGAATGCTATCATTATGGAAGCCTCGTGGAAGATATTTGCCTAGAAATACTCTGGTTATTACATACACTGTTTGAAATGCTTACACGCTTGAAAAATGAAAGGGGAAAAATATGAAAAATACTCTCAAACACTTACTGAGGACAAACGGCTTTCTTTTATCTGTCCCGGTAGCATTGGTACAAAGGAGTATAGAAACCCTTGTAGACGGAATCTTTATCCCTGCCAGCTTTTCAAAGTCCAAAGTCCATGAAGATAATGTCTGGAGAAACAAGCCAGTCTCATCGGCATTATAGATATCTTCAATGCGATACGCCTCCAAAGCAATCTTTATCTTTTCAACCTCCTCCGCAATAGCTTCCAGGTCAACTCCGCCCGCTTCTCCCATCATCTTATGGTATGTAATACCCCAATGGGCCTTGAATGAGTCGAACCACCCTGATGAAAATGAGGGCTTTGCAAATTCCAAAGGACCCAACTTTGTCACAAGCATATCATAAACATGGCCCGCCATTATCCTCATCAACGGTTGATTGACAGGCAGTCGGCGCTCTCGAAGTATTTGAAGCAAACGGACAAGAACTACTTCCACTGGATAAAAGGGCCGGCGGATAACTTTGAACTTATTGCCCCAATTGGCCCGCGGTTCGAGCTTGACTTTCTTTTCCCAATCGAGTAAGCGATTAATGGTATGTCGGCGAAGGTGATGCTCCTCTTCAAACGGTCCTTGCTTTGGGAAGGAATGCTTTCCGCCAAACAGCTGATGGTTGGCTACATGACTCTTCCACATTTGAAGGATATATTCCTTCACGTCAAAGCTATGTATTTCGTACTTTGAAGTGGATGGTTTGGGCATTAAAACCACAGGCTTATTGATGCGTCCCGCAGGCCCATGTTTAGAGCCGACAGATTGAAACCGTTGGGGGCTTTGTATAGGCTGTTGTCGGAACTGTTGTGGGGGCTGTGCCGCGGACAGCAGCGGATACTGTGGTGGTGGTGGTAGAAGGGGTGTTTGAAGCCGCTGTGTAAGTTGGGGCGCAGGAGATAGTTGATTCAGTGGTGTTGGGCGCTGCTGTTGAAGTTGTGGTGCGGGCGGCTGTAGATTGAGCGGTGGAGGGAGTTGATATGGAGTTTGCGGTGGAGGGAGGAGTGGATACTGTGCTAGTGGAAGCGGTGCAGGAAACTGTTCTGAAGATTGTGATGAAGGCAGCACGGAACTAAGCCATGGGGGATGTTGCTCTGACGAGTTTTGTTTTGATGAGCCTTGCATTGAGGAGTCTTTCTTTTGTGCATCAAGAATCTGCTGCCTATACTTCCATAAGTCCAAAGGAGCCTCTTGAGAACTCGTGGAAAGCTGTTGAGACTTTCTATGACTAGGCGAAGCTAGCAGATCGCTATGCATATTCGTCTCGTTGTAGTTCACAAATATCAAGCGCTGTTGAATGGGTGTTTGAGACTCCATTGTAAATAAATGCAAATGGTAAGAAGTAGGGAGATTATGAGTGGATGAGTGAAGCAGGAATAGTTTTGTTGTAGATTGAGGATTTTTATGCCAGTATTTATTCAAGGACTGTTGCCATGTTTAAGCGCTAAATGCTGAGTTGACTCTCTGCAAACTTTGATCAAGGTTAATTAGAGATGATTGTTATGATTATTATTGGCTCATGAGTTCCAAGGCCGATATTTTCGAGTCTTGAAGCCAAAGAGATTGTTGCCAGACAGAACTTTTTATTAAAGTCTCGCCTGACCGTCACACCATGTTCTAACCTAATGAAAGTGCCCCTGAGGTGCTTGCCTCGATACGCAACACACATCGCTTTCAGAGGCCAGGTGGCTCCATGGGGCTACTTAGAGTCACAATCATCCACAATTATCAATGATATTATTATAAATCTATCTGCGGATGGAGAGCGTGACAAAAATCGGAATTTCACGAACCTTTTTCAGCAAGTGGTGTTTGAAAGCTGTATCATTGGGCTTTATTGTGCATCTTTAGACCGGTGTCAATATTGCCAAAAGTTCCGACTTCTGAAAGGAATGTAAAAAAACAACCCGGGCAACCATTTGCCAGTGCTTCAGCCTTATTCGCGACGACGTATGAAATACGAAGGGCGAGTATATTTCAGATCTTGGGGTTCTTGGGGTGAAGGCCCAGGAGGCGAAGCCTGACGCCCACGAACCGCCTCTGCCACGCGCTGTACAAGCGGCTACGAGTAACAAGAAAACATTGAGCTGATTAATAATAGATCTAATTTATAATGCAATGTGGATCAAAGCTCGAACATGACAAGGGTACCTGCACGTCTTCCAGAATCCCAAGCCCACCACACATCCGTGAGAAAGTTGATCTATCGGTGGGCAAATGCATCCGACCAACTTCCTTCGGGATGTATAGTGCCTCGGACCTCAACTCCATCATGTAAAATCTCATTGCTGTACCTAAAACGCATTGGCTTTATAGTGTAAAAAACATATATATGTGCATACGTAAAATACAGATATCTGAAACCTACTTTGGACAAGCACACCAACAACCACTGGGTTATTGATGTTACCCCAGACCATCTTGTTTAAAGACAGCTTCATCATGGAGAGCAGCTTGAGATAATCAAACGATAGGAGTTTCCCAGCCTTGATCCCAGGTTTTTTCACTTCCACGAGGAGAACTGGAAAGTCATCTACCCGTGCGATGATGTCGGGTCGGAATTCTTCCAGACTGGCATCCAGGGATGGCATCTCCTCGAGGCGAGAATCTCTAGCAGATGTTAAGACATAAATCGAGCGTTAAACGATTTTAGGGGAAACTTTGCCGGTTGGCAGATACTTATAAATGAATTCGTGATTACATGGCAATTGTTGCTCCCAATCCATGCAGGAGCGTCTCAATTATAGGAGTAACGAAGAAATGCTGGTATGTCGCTTCATTGAGCGATTGGCCTTTCTTGGTCCCCCATATTCGATCGGTACAGGTCATATTCTGGATTACCTTGAACGTGAGCGAATTTCTGACAGCATTTGGTGCCTTGGAAAGCTTATCCTGGAAATGCTGATAATCCTGGGTACCCGCAGTTCGGGTACATCCTTTAAGGAAACTGCAATGTTCCTCGGGTATCCTGGTTACTTTCCTGGTCCCAAATATCTCTCCAAGAACCTGGTCACTAACCAGCGATTTAAGAATTGATTTCGAAAAGATAAAGTTGAGAGTTCTAGAGATATTACGGCAAGGGAGTTTTTAATATAAGTATCAACTCCGCATTCCACGCTCTACGAACACAGTTGCGAACACAGTTGCGAACACAGTGACATACAATAACTCATCAGCTTTTTTCAAAGTCGCTTCTTTCTTCACAAATATTTCCCGCGCCTCCATTGCCTTCAACGAAACATCTACGTTATTAATAATCAAGTGTTCTTGGGAAAGGCGGCAAGATGTTGTTCCTCGGCCGACGAGATTCGTAACAATAGAGAGTCCCTATTAGTTGCATGTTAGTTGCATATTAGTTGGCAGTTCAATGTTTTTGGAATGCTATTTCAGCACTTGGCAATCTAATTGAAAGGGAGAGAACACACTTTTGAAGAGTTGCTCTTTTTCTTATTGGCAGTAATTTTATTGGCAGTAGTGAATTTAGGCATGTTGAAGAAAATGTTGATTGAGAGTGTTGGATAATTGGATAATGGGTGATTCAGCTCTTTTTATAAATAGTGCAGCGTTTATCTTTTGGAACGGTAAAGCACGGAGCTCTCGGGACAGCATAATGTAATGCAATGCACACAAAGTGCCATCCATGAGGAGTACTTTTAGACTTGGTTTTTCACATTCCCAGCCCCCCGGAAAAAGTAATAAAGTGACGAGCTGTAGATTTATTAAATGTTATATATCGAATAAGTATGAGGGAGTGAGTGGTGAGTGAACAACAAAGGCCAAACATTCTTGTCCATGTGCGGCTGCGGATGCTCCGGATCCTCCTTCTTTTGTCTTGTATGTTATAATATTGATAATAGTAATAATATGATTATTAATATTATTAAAAAAAAAAAAAAAAAAAAAAAGTTAGAATCGAGTACTGGCAAAATGTTATATCAGCTGTAGACTGAAAAAATGTTGAGGTGGTTACTATTATGGCAATTGACAGCGAGAATGACAGAGGCGACAGTGAAAAGGATCAAGACTTGCTCCATCTCGAAGCAGACAGAAAACCAACTGCAGAGACAGCGCTGGTCACTAACAATCATCACCATGGCGAAGATGGTGGGATTTTGCCACCGCGAAGATGGCTGTTAAACTCTCCCTGCCCTAAGGGTAGAGAGGGACCAATGCAGCTGCAACTGTGTCTGCTGCTTGAGAAAGAGTTTGGACGTCCAGCCTGTAGAATTGCTTCTTGCTTGCGGAGGGCCTCGAAGCAGACAGAAAACCAACTGCAGAGACAGCGCTGGTCACTAACAATCATCACCATGGCGAAGATGGTGGGATTTTGCCATCGCGAAGATGGCTGTTAAACTCTCCCTGCCCTAAGGGTAGAGAGGGACCAATGCAGCTGCAGCTGTGTCTGTTGCTCGAGAGAGTAGCCGACATCGTGAATAGAACGGACTAGAGAAGAGGGACTTGCTTGATGGCTGATGCTATGATTGTGTCGTGTTTGATGATTGACAAAAGAAAAAAAAAAAAATACCACAAGATCTTTTCAAGCTTACGCCATCACCTTCCCTCAGTTGCAATCCCTTCCTTTAGCTACAATCTCCCTCACTTGCCAGTCACTTACCTGCCCTCCTGCCATGTTTGACATAGAGAGGTCAGCTTACAATAGTATTTTTGAATTGAGAGGCTCTTAGCCAACCAATGGCCTAGAAATATATCAAATTCGAAATTTGTACAAAAATGTACAATTATCGAGATTCCACTGTATAAAGTATGGACTTGCTCTTTTTTATTTTTTATTTTTTTTTTATTTTTACCAAGCGATTTTGATCTTAATATATTCCAAAAGGAGAGCTTCTATAGTTCTCTCTTAAACTGCAATCATTACAATATAGAACATCAATCCATGTTTTTTGCAGATCACTTTTTTTTTTTTTTTTGTAACTTGGTGAAAACCACTTTTCATTTATTTACAGCTCTCTCCGATCACCAATTCTTTCAAGTTACTACTTTATACAAGTCTGCATAAACTTATGCTGATTTCATTCGATGAGTGAAGTTCTTACTTCTTCACCCTATTCTCCTTTTTCCGAGGCCGTGCCTGGGTTTAGTTTGCCTTGTCTTCGGCGGCAGTGTCCTTCTCTTGGCGAGGAGTGTATTCCTGGCGAGGGGTGTACTCTTGACGGGGGGTGTATTCCTGACGAGGGGTGTATTCCTGACGAGGAGTGTAGGCTTCGGCGTCAGTGTCCTTCTCTTGGCGAGGAGTGTATTCCTGGCGGGGAGTGTATTCCTGGCGAGGGGTGTACTCCTGGCGAGGAGTGTAGGCTTCAGCGCCAGTGTCCTTCTCTTGGCGAGGAGTGTATTCCTGGCTGGGAGTGTACTCTTGACGGGGAGTGTACTCTTGGCGGGGAGTGTAGGCTTCGGCGCCAGTGTCCTTCTCTTGACGAGGAGTGTATTCCTGGCGAGGGGTGTACTCTTGGCGAGGAGTGTACTCTTGGCGAGGAGTGTACTCTTGGCGAGGAGTGTAGGCCTCGGCAGCAGTGCCCTTCTCTTGGCGAGGAGTGTATTCCTGGCGGGGAGTGTATTCCTGGCGAGGGGTGTACTCTTGGCGAGGGGTGTAGGCTTCGGCGCCAGTGTCCTTCTCTTGACGGGGAGTGTATTCCTGGCGAGGGGTGTACTCTTGGCGAGGGGTGTACTCCTGGCGAGGGGTGTACTCCTGGCGAGGAGTGTAGGCTTCAGCGCCAGTGTCCTTCTCTTGGCGAGGAGTGTATTCCTGGCGGGGAGTGTATTGCTGGCGAGGGGTGTACTCCTGGCGAGGAGTGTAGGCTTCGGCGCCAGTGTCCTCTTGACGAGGAGTGTATTCCTGGCGAGGAGTGTACTCTTGGCGAGGAGTGTAGGCCTCGGCAGCAGTGCCCTTCTCTTGGCGAGGAGTGTATTCCTGGCGGGGAGTGTATTCCTGGCGAGGGGTGTACTCCTGGCGAGGAGTGTAGGCTTCAGCGCCAGTGTCCTTCTCTTGGCGAGGAGTGTATTCCTGGCGGGGAGTGTACTCTTGGCGGGGAGTGTAGGCTTCGGCGCCAGTGTCCTTCTCTTGACGAGGAGTGTATTCCTGGCGGGGAGTGTATTCCTGGCGAGGAGTGTAGGCTTCAGCGCCAGTGTCCTTCTCTTGGCGAGGAGTGTATTCCTGGCGGGGAGTGTACTCTTGGCGAGGGGTGTATTCCTGGCGGGGAGTGTAAGCAGAGACGTTGTTTGCCTTAACCGCGATTGGAGCAGCTAAATATCAAATAATGGCGATAACGTGGGGGCAGAGAGAAAGTGGTAACAAATCGAGCGTTTAGCATACTTGGACAGTGTACAAATACAATACACTCAGGCGCGAACATGAACATATACGTGGACAGACGTAAAGATCTTACCTTCTGACAAAACCAAGGCGGCAGCGGCCACGGAAAGAGCAGCGGTGATTGAGAGCTTCATAGTGTGGAATGGGTAGTGGAGATCTGAGGAGCTTTTTGCAGTGTTGAAGTGTTTGATGAAGAAAAAAAGAGGCGTGAATGTGCCTTCTTTTATACGAGAAAACATGTATACTAAACTACTTGTCTCGCTGAGCTTGACAGATCGAGCGACCATAGCAGTCTACGAGTCTACGGATCTACAGGTCAAAGACGTTATTTCAGGTCGGTTCAGTTGTATATCACCAAATAAAGAACAGAACGTTTGCACATGTACTAACTGGTATGACAAAGTGAGACTTTGAGGTACGGGGTCAGAACGTTTGATTCGCATAATTTAAGTTGTGCGTCATTTGGCGTCAAATAGTACAATAGTGGAGCGATATGCCGAACACCCCAACATGGAAATCTAGCCATCATACAAAACTAATGAGACACATAAGGTTATCGTAGAATGGGTAAATATAGTCCATATATGTGGGGTAGTTGAAGAGAAAGGTATACTCGCGTATTATAAACCCAAGCAGACAAAGCTGCTTGCCTTTGCTACCATTATGCTGGCCAATGCATTTGCTTTCGAAATACTCAATAAGGTCAAACTGTTCACACTTTGCCAATATGACGACATCTTATCTTTGGATTTTTTACCCCTTGACAGCCAAATACCTGAATTTACTTGTACGTACTTTGTAGAGAAACGACAGTAGCTAAATTGGGTCTGTTTCTTATGAATCTAATTCGACAATGCATTCAAGAAATACCTTGTTTGAGTTAGAGGCTGTAGTCTTATTGCCCATTGGCCCTAGGTTTCATCAAATAAAATGATATCCACTCGTCCAGGGTTACGAGAAACTAGGACGTGAGCCGTAGGCTCGATCCCTTTCCTTGTTATGTACTGTAATAGGTAGTGTCTCTTTCTCTACGACAAATGGGACTTGGAGCTAAAACCTAGCAACGTAGTGGGGTAGTGAAACATAATTCGGCAACAATTCACAAAGGCTGCCGCCTAGTTTCTACTTGAAATAAGTATATCGCCCAGATCCAATCTTGCAAAACCAGATCTTAGATTACAGCTATGGGTAGTCTAGTGGCTACTATCTACACTCCAGTCTCACTGTTTTGCAAAATGTGCAAAAAAGTGGATTTTATATACGTTCTGCGATGCTCATTGGCTAGATTCACATTTAATTCAAAAATTTTTATTTTAAATTGGCTGGCAAAGGGTAAGAGGAGAAAGACAAGCAAAAAATCAGCCAATTGAATTGTGGTTTTAGAATAAATATTTTGAATTTAGCCAATGAGCATCGCAGAACGTATATAAAATCCACTTTTTTTGCACATTTTGCAAAACAGTGAGACTGGAGTGTAGAGTGCAAGGTATGAAAAGAGGCTATGTAAGGGAGTGCTGTGTATGCTCCAACAATAGAAGTAAGAGAGTAAAGGGTACAGTCCTTTGATATAAAGCTAGCGATATGCTATAAATGAGCGCCAGCTTCTTTATAAGCCTTTCAGAGCTAGAAGCGCCTTTTATGGGCTCTTTGCAAGTACTTTTGTCACTATAACTAGATATGGATTTAACGATCAATGGTACACAGCGTTGGCTAAATTTTGCACGGACGCACAAATAGTGCGGTGAAGCTCATTTATTTTATATTATACTTTAACGCGGGGGGGGGGTTTCTTTTTTTTAAAATGGCAATCTCTGCTTGTGCCACTTATTCTCAAGTGTTTGCTCTTCTCGTTGTGGAAGCGCTGGTTCGAGGGGCTCCAGAGTGCCTTAAAACCTCTTTTGGGCTTGTGGTCTTTGTGGATAGTCAGTATCTTTATCCCTCAGCTTTTCCAGAGGCATCAAATGCTGAATGTTGATGGCGCTACGACATGTCCTGAGAGCAGTATTTGGGCCATCCTCTTGACTAGGCACCAGCATTTCCAGTTGTCATTGAGATTTATATCCCTATTGACCAACGCAAAGTGGCCTGGTAGGGAGCATTCCCAGCTGTACCAAAGCTATATGCCTACTACAGGCGCTGATCATGCTGAAGTAATGGCAGGAGCATGAAATAATATGGCGTCTAGCTTACACCTTTCTTGGAACAAGATTACACACGAAGAGTGTCATCCTCTACCAAGATGAATAGAAAGCCTCGTATCCTCCCGACTTATTGGCCTAGAGATGTTCTGCTGCTCTTTTTGAGGGGATTTATCCTGCCGAGGTTAGCATTACTCCTCTACGCTTGTTTGAAATATGAAATTACCGAGACAGTAAGGTGTAATTGACCGTATCGGCTCGTCGCCGATGCTTAACTTTAAAAATACCGTTTTAGGATATTGGTATATTTATTTATATCAATACTAGAATACGAAACATCTTGGCGATAGCATAACACCTAAGACTTCTACGCGTCCATGGCTTGCGGCTCATAGGACTCGAATATAGCTTTGCCGAAATAGTCATTGTCCAAATACTCCAGCGTCGCTCTTTGGCCCTATTATGTTTCATGGAACGACTTAGTGAGGTCCATGGCTGTGGTCTTATCTTTTTTGTAAAGAATCTTGCGAAAAACTATCTTAGCTTTTGTGAGTGCCGTCAGAGCACAATGTATTCTCACGGATATAGCTACCACAGAAGCCGCAATTATAAAACACAAAAGTGCCATCTCTAGCAAATCCTTCCATCCACAATCGAGCTGATAATGCCAAAGTTTTTTCCTACTGTGGTAGCAAAGAGGAGAGAACAGGAGCAATGATAGGGTAAGTAATGGAGGCAAGAGCAAGGAACAAAGAGTGGAAGCAGTGAACAAGATTAACATCGGAACAAGGGCAAAAAAATGTGAGTGACAACTGGAAACGGTTACTCAGAAGTGGTATCGAACTTCCATTGCAACCATGACAGAGTTTTTTCTGACTGATAACACCTCGTTGCTATACTTTCTCATGGCTGATGTAAAAAAGACTGACAATGATCCCTAGAAGCTGACAGAAAATAAGAAAACGAATAAAATAAAAAATAAAGAAAATGGACAGAAATGGCAATAATAAAATAGTAAAGTTAAGGATCGATCTTGGTGGAAGAAGGATTGGTACTCCATACTAGCAATGCACCAGCCTCTAGATAAGAGTGATAGTACTAAAGGAATGAAGAGAAACTCACCTGCAAAATGGTAACCAAAAGGAGTGAAAGATGAATGCTATTTTGCAGTGGAAAGGACGCAACTTAAATAACAGAGTTGATGATAGGAAATGAACGGACTGGATACGTAAATGGAGCGCTTAACGACATGGTAACGGTTGTGATCCGATGCCAGATATTGTAAACATCATCATATAATGAAATCATCACGAGTGAGTTCCTGATGGTTCCCTCGCAAATACCCTGTGCTTCATTGTCAACTCCTGTATCATGTTTCGGAGCTTTTCCTCTATTATACCCTAGGGCCCGAAAGCGCTCACCAATCTCAAAAGATATCGTGAACCCAAGCCACTCGATCCCAGACTCCAACCCTTGTATTTTTTGACGAACTGCAATCGCCTTTTCGTACGTTCTTCATTTGAGCATAGTCTTTTTTATTTTATTTTTTTTTACTACAATCTGGTTGAAAATATTCAGCTTCTGCAACTGCTCTCCCCACTTGTTTTTTTTTTTTTTTTTTTTTTTTGGTAACTGAGTGATGATATCCTTAAGAGTGTCCCTCCTGTGTGGCGTATGGTGCTTCTGACGTCTCCTTCACCTATCAAAATTTAGGTCGAAGCGTGAGTGGTGGTTGACATTATGCATTGGAGATCGTCGGCGCGTATCATGCCACATATGGCCAACAACCAGCACAATTTGCATGTTGTTATTGTCCCCTAGCGAATGTAAATGCTGGTAAATCAGTCCTAAATTGATATCCATATGCCGGATTCACTTAATGCCTGTGGCTACAGCTGCTTTCATGAAAAACTGAAAGTCGGGATCAGTCGTGATGACGGTTGAAGGTGGGTACCCATGCAAGATATGACTCTTGTAGTTCTGTATCGTAGTGACAGCCCATCCGTGGGTATAGTAACCATAAGCGAAGTAGTTCATCATGTTTATTGCCGTGGGGTTTCTCCAGCCATATCCAGTCTCCTGAGCCCATGCTTCAAATGCCGACTGGACTGACTCGCATTGATTTTGCTAGCGTCACATCGCAAGGGTATCGGAAATTAGTTTAGTAACATCATTGCTGGCGACTACTAGTATCAATAACCGCCGTTGATGTTCCAAGCGCAAAGAACCCACTTTTGGTTCCGGTCT